TGTTTCCTTGTTGTTTTCGGGGTTACCCTCTCTTTCTCCAAACTTTTAATTTTCAATCTGGATATGTACAACATTTATATCTTAACGTCCTTGTTTCGTTGCATTTACGTCGTGATAGTGGTTGTATGCAAGGTATTCCCACATGCACTATATATACGTTTACATTATATTCACATTTCTTTGCCCCCTGCATGCCGTTGAACAATGCGGTACCATTCAGATTCACAAATGCAGGCGCTGATCAACGGTATAGGGCGATTTAAACTCATTGAAATGATTCATTCATGCATGGGCGTCGCCTGCCTAAAGAATCTTTATTATTATATGAACAAGAAAAGCGTTTATTATACCTTACAGGCCACGCATATGCAAGATTGTTTTTTTTATATTCATATTAAACTAAAGATCACTTGCCGCTTCAACTGCGTGTATTTGTAATGGGTCCCTAAATAGAGCGACGCTTATGCGCTATTCAGTTCAAACGAGAATTTCTACGGCGTCAGTCGCCACCTACTTCTTTCCCATGTACTGTGAATAATGTAGAAATATAAATGTACAATGTCATTTTCGGATAAATCGGCAATTCCATGGATATTTCTCGTGTTGATTGGCTGTTCCTATTCGCAGGGTAAGTTCACTTTAGTTCACTTAAGGTATCTACAAGACAAATGAGTAAGTGGTTTTACGCCGCGTTTAGCAATGTTACAACAATATCACAGCTGGAGACAACCGAAATGGGCTTCACACGTTGTACCAATGTCGGGAATCGAACCCGGGTCTTCGGCGTGACGAGCGAACGTTTTAACACCAGGCTACCCGACCGCCATCTACAAGACAAGAACAGATGTACATGTAAGACATGGGTCGGATTTCTACTGGTAGTTTTTGTAAAGATTAAACAAATGCTTTGTGATGTGAATGTATGACAGAAAACGGAAACAACACATTAACACCCGAATGATATGTTGCTCAGCGTAAGAGTAGGGGTGCTGACGGAAGAATGGTAGGAGATTATAAAATTTGTAAAAATACAATTTTGTGTTGTTTTACTCGACAATCGCCTTATGGTTTAAGGAACAATGACTATATGTTCGCAATGACTACAGAAACATCAATTGTGATATTTCTTACAGAAAACCATATTCATAGACATTCTCAGAGTACCTAAATAGCGATAAATCTGATACAATTCTAAGGAACGCGAAATGTAACACTGAAGAATATGCTTATTTTATTCATATCAATTAGGAACAAAACAATGTTAATCATGTTGAGATCACAAAGGAAAGAGTCAGTGTACAACAAATGACACATGAAGAAAGGTCAAGGTTAAACACTGTCAGTAACGGTTATGACCACCATCAGCGGTAATGATTGTCTGGCATCGTCTTCCCATAGACTGAATCAAATTCCGGAAAACCGGTTTTGGAATGTTCTGATACTCGTCCCGAAAAGCCCAAAACAAAGCTGGTTAGGTCTGTGGCGGAGGATGGCGTCGTCGCAAACGTCGATCCAGATTAGATAGGTAATATATACGTCAGGAGAATGAATGAATGAATGAATGAATGAATGAATGAATTGTTCTACACAGACATATTTTGCAGTTTGCTTACGCCAAACATATTCAAATACTATTATCATTTGATCGGAAAAGGCATGTTACGATCTCAAGGCAGTCACGGTGATAGCTATCGCCTTGTACTATATTTACATCAAGACGTCAAAATGGCCGACATGATAAACGTGACTGGAGATATTTCCGAAGTACTTCATGAACCTATAGCGATTTCAAGTGGTAGTCATCTTTGATCAACTGATTTTCCCAGGGTTTTCCCAAGGAATGTGGAAATAGTCGATGTCAAGAATACTGTCAAATTGAATGTCAAATTGTGTAGTTTGTTCGCTTATTAACGTCCATTTCGCGATTATGTGCCCGGCCTTTCGTCCCATGTATTCTTGTATACTAAACATTACAAAATTATAAATGAATAAATATTGACTCTTTAGCGTAATGTTTATTTTTCCCCACCTCGATCATTTCAAGTGAGTCAAAACAATGATAATTTATATAGACTCATTAACGCCGTACAACGAGACTTCATTTGGGTAAATAACGAATTTGTCACCTTGGTACATCATAAGTTATTATTAATGTTGTTTGAAACGCTCAATTTGTGAATCTGTTCGTGTTACGGGATCACATGACAGACCACATGGAATGCAAGGTTTACTCCAAAGTCAAAGCGTATGTCTTTGATTTACCATAGAAACGATGGAAATTCCCTCAAACATTACTCTCCGATTTTCACTTCGCACTTAGCAAAAAGCTACTGTCAGAGCCATTTTGGCTACACTTCTAAGTGTAACTCTCAATCTATTTCTTAGCGAGGTTAGAGTACTCTTAAGAAAGGTCTCATGAGATTTTGTTATGAATACGCCCCCTGACTACCACTAGCTCAGTTGAATTGCAAATGGTTATCATGCAAAACATGATGTCTAAAAAATAATCGCTATGTCGACCGATTGCTCTCATTTTCATGAATATACATATGCCTGTTAACCTCGATTGTAATCAAATACTACATACAGCATACATAGAACTAAATATTAAAACAGCTCGTATTTAGTTATATCCATCTTTTTTCTATCAATTCTGAATTTGTTTTAAATCTTTTATAATGGCAGATTATAACATGTTGGTAAGATTCGTTGTAGCAGTATCACTCGGGGGACATATGGTTTTATGTATCCTTCGTTAGGTACTATAAAATCTAAAGCTTGACGAAGACAACCTCATGTAACCCTCGTGATACTGCTACAACTTATATTATTCTCGTGTATTTAGCCAAAAGCTAGGCATACCTGTGCGAAGTGAGTTGGAATTATACAACTGTGGTGCAAGGTGTATTCATTACAAATGCGTTCCAGCACAGGATCGTCAAATATTTTCATATTCCTACATTGCATGTTCGCGTTAAACGGACTTTTAAACTTAGTGATATTTTTATAACTTGGGTGCATTAAACGCGGTACATTTTTAATCATATATTATTATATTATTTATGAAACGTACATGTATATTACAAAACGATTGATGAATGTTAGATAGACTGAACACGAGGTCCTTTTAAACAGGTATTGTGATGGTATGTTTTCTTGAAAACACGTCTTTAAAAGTAACATTTAATGTAAAGACTGACCTACCATGTACCCATGACAGGTGCATGTCTAGAATCAACCAATAACCATTTATCACAGTAAGATGTTCATCCCCACATCAGCGTGGCTTGATAATCATTAACACTTTATGTAAAAGCACGATGAAGAAAATACATGAACACATATGAAAGAATTTTGCTTTTGGTAAAGAAGACAACTAAGAAAGGAAGAATATATTTAGCTTGAGGATCAACCCATGTATATAATGGCTGCTGTGTGACCATACACATGAATGTCTGATTAGGATTATTGGTAATCCACTACAATTTTGACAGACGTATTGAACCTAGACCAAATCATATTTCTCTATAACTTTGCCTTAAAAATATGTACATTATGATCTTATACTCACTAGTTGCATTGTGCTTTCGAGAAAAGTTGCCAAACGCATGTGAACCAGATGCATAACTTATCTCGACAGACACTCTTAGCGATGTCATTCTTCAGAATCTACTGTCCTTTGTATTCAATACTTACTCGTTGTCATGGGATTTCAGCTACATAAGCCTTGGTTTAAGATGAACGTGTCTTGTGTATAGTTTTTTTTCTGGTACATACCCACTTGGAAAAAATCCTTCAGAAGTAATCGAGATGAGGCTTGGTCGTCCTAATAAGAACTGAACACCTGCAAAAACCAAAAACATTATCGCTTGGAACGCATTGTTTGGGTATTATAGAGTCTATGTATCTGTTAGTATCTTCAACTCTATGTCACTGATTACCTGTCATATTCAAATCTATATATAACCATCTACGGGGAAGTTTGAACATGAAAAATGACGTTACGCTACTTTGCATTGGGCGTGGCCTGCAGGGCCCCGTTTCATAAAGCGATCTAAATGCCACGAATGTGATTTGCAAAGGACGATTTCTTAGTGCTGAGAGAAGATCTTGACACAGGAAGCTCATCGTAAAAAGAATAATTTTACCATGAATTGGGATATTACTCGATTCAGATCAATCAAAGGTTATGAAATCACAATTAACCCCCCTCTAATTGAGGAAGGAAGGAATACATACTTAGAGAATATAACTTCTTTTTCAGTGAGTGTCGGTAGGCATATATAAATAGGTATGTGTGCGATAGTAGGTTACACAAAGCGAAGGTGCAGTACTACAATATTCAAATGATGTGTGGCAATACATTCAGTGCAGAAAACACAATAGAAACCTACAAAAGGAATGTATTAAACAGACAGATTGGAATTTGGCGCTTTCTATATACGACTTTGACATTATTTCCTTTGCGTCACAATGAACGATATAACGTCATTATAGGGACGTGCTGTGTAGAATGAAACAGATGCAAGGCTTGTTTAGTTTTCTTCAGGGGCGCCCACCTAATGCAAGCTTACGCAGTTGCTGTACTACATGCTTTCAATGCCTGTCAAATGTACGAGTGAAGTATTACTGAGTAAAATCTGCGTGAGCATAAACAGCACCATGTTTTATTTAATAGACTGTTGTCGGTGATTCCATAATTCCGTTTTTATCGAACTCCCGATATCTCATTATATATTACGTAGTCCATTGCGGGTCCTTTCCCTCTGCAGGTGGCCTCAAAATGTTTGTAATCTCATGTTACATCCAGGTAAATATGAAGCATGTATGTATTGTTGGTATATTCATACTTTTGAAAGAAGAACTATGGTGATACCCGAACATTAATACAACAACGTTCTTCAAAACGACGTCTTTTATTACCTGGTTCTGTGCTCTATAAACATGCATGTAGTCTTTTGTTGGTATAAAGGCCTATCAGTTCCTATTCAACTCCATAGGGGAATCTGAAGAAACCAGTTATGCCTCAAGTGAAAAATGCTATCGTGTATTCTGAGTTACGGTCTACACCCACTTTCAGATTTGCCAGTTATCAGACAGGTGTGTCTGTGATAACCTGTAACCCGTAATAGAGTAATGGTTGATTAATAGTTGCATGTTGTGAAAGGAGCACGTGTGCATTCACTCCGTTTGTTGTTTAACGCCATTGTGTGCAACGCTCCAGCTCTAAGACGGCGGACTGTTAATAATCGATCCTGAAGCAGACAAACAAGTTTCACAACATGGACAACGTCCAACGCACCCAAAACAGACAACTACAGCTTCACAATCCAGCCATTCAGTCACTTCGCACGACAAGCATAACTTTCATGAGACTCATTCATACCCGGAATATCAACGGGCTGATAAAGTCAGAATCGTACACAGTACACTTTTTGTAGAGATGTCTCACAATTATGATTTTTGTCGCTTTTATTTATTTTACATGCATTTGCATATAGAGAAAATCCTTGGAAAAAAGTCATGGTATGAACGCTCGTACAAACCTGTCAATGTGTAGAATGACCTCTATTTACATAGAGTCGACTGAACGCCAAACAATATTTCAACATGCTGATTGCTCTGTAATGCATTTGGTTTTCCTTTTCTTAATGTATATTCTGATGATGTGTGTATCAGATAGAACAACGCATTATTTGTATAAAATTTTATTCTCATTTTACTTGTTTGGAAGGGGGCACGGGTGGCCCAGTCGTCTAAGGCGCCGCGATTCACTCTGCAGAGTTGCGTCGTTAACGCACGCCAGAAACCTATGATTTTGGGTTCGAATCCCGGTTCGCCCCGATTATGTTTCTAGGTTTGTCAGCACTATACCCGTGCTCGTGGTGGTAAACGTCTGAGACCTGCATCACTTCGGGCTTTCCTCCCACATTAAGCTGACACGCTGTGATATAACTGGAATACTGTTAAAAGCGGCGTTAAACCCAACTCACTCACTCACTCACTTGTTTGGAAAGGGTTGAAATGGAAATTTCATTTATTGAAAGAGAATGGTAACATCTGTAGTCATATCGGAACATTTGCATTCGCACACGCATCAGCGACCAAAACGATCTCCGATGCACCATGACTTCTTCAGTAACTTCCCGTGTTTTTTCAGCTGAACCCTTGATTTACCAGTGCGTGTCATTGTGACGAGTGCCAACGGTGGCGCAAGGTATTCTCACCTTTTCGCGAACAGCTGGTATCATCACTATTTGACAGTGATTTATAAACACATGTGTATCCTTTTAGCAGAGATTTGTTATTTATTGTTTGTGATTATATTTTTTATTTATTTTTATTCATCTTACTGAGTTACGAGACGACCTAATCCGATGACATTTGACATTTTTAACTGGTTGACACAATTTTCTTCTTTATAATACATTAACTTTCTTTTGCATAAGAAATTTGAATATAAGAAAGTTATAATTACTTTCCTGGTGTTAACAATATGTACTTAATATACTGTGGTTACTGAAGCAATAAATTCAAATAGAGGACGTTGTTCTATTCATATATCAATTTGACCATCTGTTTGGAAGAGGTTCGTGTTTGTATAAATTGATGCAGTGTGTTTGCTGGTGTATTGATTTTGTGTGAGTTCTTCTTAATCTTAATTTTGACCTGTGTTGTATTCAAGATCCATTTTTCTAAATCAATCTAGATAGAGCTCACCTTTGAACGCAGCCAATATATGTTTTCAATCGTTTCTTCATCTTTATTTTCACATATCTTAAGACTTCTTTATGCTTAATCTGACTTGTTTCACCAACGTAGCTTGAAACTGTTCTATAACACAGCCAGGTGAGTCAGCTATTGCTGAAAAGAAATGAATGTGTTTTGGAGGTATCAACGATTTTCACACTGTATTTCTTCATATGTGATTTCTATTTTTTATTGACTATCTTGTCATTAAGCTTTCACAATCCTTTTAAATTGTTTATGACTCCAACTAAGCTTCCGTTTTTGAGATAGTTTCCTTTTTTATCTTTTCGTTGATCCTATCCATATTACTCTCGTTATGTGGCATCTTTCGAAACCATCAAGAAACCAGTTGGTGTCATCATCGAATTGTACATGTGATGGTAAATACTCAATATTTCCTATTTCTATTCCCTTGATATGTGGATCGTTTCATATCAACATTGCCAGTAATTGTGCACAAAGAATAAATATGTATGAAGAGAAGGGGTCTCCCTGACAACATCCTCTAGATATTAAAAAAAATGATGCACCAAATCCATTTTCGCACGATTGTGTACCATTTTAAAGGGTGCTCATCAAACTTTTAAATGAATCGCCCAAACCCCCAAAAATCAAATGATGTTTGAATAAAAGATCAATCGATAGTGTCAAAGGCTTTCCCAAAGTCCACAAGCAATAATTGTCCTAGAATGTGATAATTTTCAGTGTGTTAAATTAAGTAATATACTAGTATTTGTCTTGTGATTTCTCCATTATATCTCCCAGACATAAGGACTTTCTTGGTCCCCGCTTATTGGTATATTCAGCACTTTGTTAATTCCATTAGTATTGTTGATTTTCAAAAGTAACACTTGAGATATATAATCTTACCTTGCTTTAATTCAGTATTTTTGGTCAAATTGGCAGTTCCTCGTATACAACGTGATGAACGCCTTAGGGGTATTATTGGCATTCATCAACCTGGTAGAAATCAGCAAGAAGTAGCCAATGTCTTCAGTGTGTCCCAGTCTGTGATTTTCAGATTTTGGAGCAGGTTTCTGCAGACACAAAATGTTAATGATCTGTCCCACACAGGGGCCCCTACGTCGAAAACACAAGTCCAGGATAAAATAATCAGAAATTAGGTTTATAAAATCGAGCCCGAACAGCCAATCAAATCGTTGTTCACTTGCTCCATGCCACCATAGTTCAAGTCACTGATCAGGCGATTAGAAATTGTCAGCATTCCGCTAAACCCCCGGAATTTCAATTTTGAGCTGGCTGAGAACACCCCGATGTTGACCAGAAGGTTCTCTTTCTGATGGTGAAGGCGGAGTTTTAATTCTAGACACAAGTGTCCTCCTGACATAACCTGGTTGTAATTTCTGTGTGACTTTGTCTTTCTTCAGGATACAATCTGCATTTCTAATTTATTATTTTTACGATAGGAAAACACACTCGGTTAATAGTCTCTAGTCATCCATTTCACGTTATACATTGTATCCGTGGTTACCGAAATATAATGATTGATTAAACAAGATGTAACGCCCGGACATCAACGCTGAAACAGCCAGGTTACACTACCACCCCTTTTGCATATGTATTTGGAGGTGATTACGTACACCATGCATTTGCTGCCAAACTGACCTTATACCAAATAGGTAAATTCCAAGTTTGAAGGATTATCTAAGGGCACGGTATCAGTGTAAAACATTTTCCTTTCAAAAAGGTAAGTTGTGACATGCAGAAAAGAGGACACCCTACAGCAAGAAAGATGATATTAGTTCCCGGCCAGTATCACCTACAGGATGTACATTTTAAGAACATATGTCATCTCAATTTTCTGTTGCATCTTCAGATATAGATGGTGGCGTCTCCGAATGGCAGGAATGGGGTGATGTCACATGTGCCCAAACATGTGGAGTAAATGTGACCGGCACAAGAACGAGACTGAGGAGCTGTGACAATCCGTTACGTCAGAACAATGGAAAGACCTGTGTGGAACAAGGACTTGTGCAGCAGGAGTCTTCACGGATACTGTGTGACAATATACCGGAGTCCTGTGGTAAGGGTACCTTGGGCTCAAAGAATATTGTTTGAAATTTATATTTTTGTGTTTGATTCGTTTGTCTCTAAAGTACCATGCTCCAATTGAATCATACTTTTTTATCAGTATGGTTTTATGACGTCAATTATACCATTGAACAATCGATTCAATGATCTGTACTTAGGGCATTAGTACCACATGTGAGTAAGTGAGTGAGTTGGGTTTAATGCCGCTTTTAACAGTATTCCAGTTATATCACGGCGTGTCAGCTTAATGTGGGAGGAATACCCGAAGTGATGCACGTCTCAGACGTTTACCACTTCGGAGAAACCCACGAGCACGGGTATGGTGCCGACAAACCTAAAAACATAATCGGGGCGAACCGGCATTCGAACCCAAAACCCGTACGTTGAATGTGTTTTATTTTGTTATTTTCACATAGGTTATCGTGGTACCACTTCCACTATGCATGGTAGATATACATTGTTTGTTTCAGCATGTAATGGCTGGCAATAGACTTGAAGATGACATTCATGATTGAGGCAGATATGTATCAGAATAAATAAGATGCTCGAGGAAAAGTGTATACATTTGTCAATACCTAGAGCAAAATATGTTTAAGGTATCCCAGTTGATGGTGCATATGAGGAATGGAGTTCATGGTTGGGAGAATGCCCTACAACCTGTGGCCTCAATGTTCGATACGTACGAAGGAGAAATAGGACATGTGACAGTCCTAAACCACAAAATGGTGGCCTTGACTGCCAAGGTTCCCATTCTGAAGAAAAGACTAGTCCATGCGACATACCTCCTTGTCCAGGTAAAGAATGAATCGGAATTTGTCATCATGACGTATCTATTTCAAACGTGTTATTTGTAACGCTGAAGGGGTGCTTCATAACAGAATTTATCGAAATACATTTAATGAGGGTGAGTTAGTATGTGATTAACACCTTTATGAACAGTATTACAGTTACATAACGGTGTGAGGGGAAATCCCGAGTTGTGTTGTGCACTTTTGTTGAACACATGAACACTGGTGAATTAAGAACTTAGGCTTCAGAGAATCGAATCTACCAAACCTTGAATAAAATTGAGGAAGAGATGATCACGAAATGATATGAACATCAGTCAACACCTTGAGTAAATATTTTTAAGGTAAATGTTAAACGTAATATTCTATGAAATCATGATATTATTACGTACGTTTTTAACTATTTTTCAAAATATTGTATATTGATATCTTGTATGCACCAGCTTATAAACATTTGTATCTGTGTTTGCTGTCGTTGATCGGAGATGCAGTTTGAGTTCCATGTTGATATATTTCCACACACCACTCACTCCTTTTAAGATGACATAATCAATGGCACCTATGGAGAGTGGGGCCCATGGGCTGCGGATCAATGTTTACTAACCTGTGGAGTCAAGGTTCAGACAGTAGTAAGGAGAAATAGAACCTGTGATAGCCCGGCACCACAAAATGGGGGATTGCCTTGTCGAGGGCCGTCTACCGAAGCACGACTAATTAATTGCGAGGGTGTTGCACCTTGCCCAGGTAGGTTTTGCTTGCCTTATACTGGCAGTGTAGCATTAATATATATAGAAAACTTCATATCCCTTCCCACATCCAGTATAAAGCTCTGCATGAAGCAGAGTCGATTGTACGATTCCGACTATATCATGGGCATGTGTTTATGAAGTGTTTGTAAAGTAACCAAACAGTGAAATAGGTTTTCGAGAAAATGTGCGCGTTTCAGTTATGTTTACACCGTGATTGCACCATCGACCTTTACCCGTGATGCAAGTTGTAATAACAAGAACTCTAAACATTTGTTGGAGTATACATTCTAATAATGCTATACACTTTATACAACCTCACATCCTACCTCATTCCTAATTCAGGTACACGAGTTCGCTTAATACATACATCCTCATTCCGAGCTGAAGCGTTATTGTAAGTAAGCGTTATTGTACTAATAAAACTTGGACAGCACCCAAGTATATGGCAAATGTTTTTTAATGTTGAACGACAACTTACCTACATTTTAAATGAGCTGTTAAGGTCCGAGTAATATCTTTTAAAGGTGACATAGTTGATGGTGGTTATGGAGAATGGAGTCAGTGGGCTGGAGCGACGTGCACAAAGACTTGTGGAGTCGGAGTAACCGTTAATATTTATAGAAACAGGTCATGTGACAGCCCTGCACCACAAAACGGTGGACTTCCATGCAGTGGTACCAACTATGAATCAACATCCATGGAGTGTAACATATCTCCGTGTCCAGGTAATGGAGCCGACAGATATTCTACTCTATACTAACGTACAATTCAAACGCGGAAGTATTACTTCCATGCATTCAGTTGGTTAGGATGTACCAATCCGTTGGTGTAGTTTGAGTTCCGTTCATTATGCAAATAAAACTAGCAAAAATAATCCTGATTGCAACAAGTATATGAAAATATATTTAAGCAATATTTTTATTTGGATTTTTTATTATTATTTTACTGCTGATTGTGTTTAGAATGTGAGAATACTCATTTGCGATTAATGAGCTTTTGGAACCTGTGACTTTCCCCTTTAAGACGATGTCGTTGACGGCGGTTACAGCCCATGGGGCCAGTGGAGTGCTGATAATTGCTCTGCAACATGTGGAGTGCAGATTACAAAGCTGCTGAACAGATATAGGCGTTGTGATAGCCCTGTGCCATTAAATGGTGGAAAACCATGTGAAGGATCCTATTATCAACAAAAGTATGAAGTATGTGAAGGCATTCCTCCATGTCCAGGTAAAACAATAATATTTGCTCTCTCTCTAACACGTATTACAAATACAGGCATTATTATCCTGTATTTAAAATCAACCAGAACTGAGTTCAAAATATACACTGTTATAGATCCTTACATAAGAACGTATTTCTGTTAAAGCATACATTCTTGATACATGTTGTCATGATACATTGTCGACTATATTGAAAACACACGTGTTCTATTTTATAATAGTAATGGATGACGAAGGAAAAGGAAGGACTGGGTAGTTAATTACGTTGGGGACAAGAATTATCGCCTTGAAAAACAATATGTGAACCAGCATGGCGGGCAAACGGCACAACTATTGGCACCTGGTTTGGACAAAGAGGAATGGGAAAACGGGAGGGCTTCCGAACACCTATTTATTCACTCTGATGACGGAGTTCTGAAAACAATTGACAAAAATAATAAATCTTTGTTTTAACACCAAATATTCATACAATCACTAAATATACATGTATAAAATACACCTCTTAGTGAAAGTCTCTTGGCATTAAATTAATTACTCTCAATTGTACAATGACTCGGTGTTACTAATTTTCTCTGGAATGCCTTATATTATTTATGAAATAATTATCAAATAAATATATAAAATAGTGTAACAAAATATCAGGAAACCGATAATATATAATTTCTTTTGCACTCTTACTAAAAAATACAGTGCACGCAAAAATCGCTGGAAGCTTTCATACACTTGTTACTTCCAAAAAAAACCTCAATTGAAAGTTCACTTCTCTAACGAAAATAATTGCAAAATACTCGGAAATATCTTTAGATATTCTATAAAATACCAAATAGCAAATTAATTAACGCTTTTGAAAATATATAACATTTACTTGACTCAAAAATGTAAACAAACACTGAAACTAGTGTGACACTGTCAGCCAGCCGGCCTAATGCCGAGATTTGGACTAGTCTATTTTACTCGAGGGGAAAAAGGTTGTGCGCTCAAGTAAATGTACTCAAAAAGGAAAGCCTAACAAACGTCTAAATAAAGCGAAAACGCTAAACATTACAAATATTGGAAATAAATTGAAAATAAAGTGACTTTGCTCTAATAAATGTACTTTTAAGAAAACATCCCTACGATAGAATATAATGGACTGTTCCAAGAGTCAACAGTTGTCAATATCCTACACTTTTCCTTGAAATATGCATGAATATAAAATTACATGAAATAATACATGAAAAGCTACTATAAGCATTAATAAACAATATATAGAGGATATTTAATGTGTTTTCTCAAATACCACTTTTATCTCATCGAGTGAAGTGGGGAGAGTCTGATATTTTCACGAGTGACGCAGTCACGAGTGAAAATATTAGACTCTCCCCAATTCACGAGATGAGATAAAAGTGGTATTTGAGAAAACACATTGAATTTTCTATTTATTATATACATGTTTTATTTTTATTACTTGCAATTTGTATATTTTTTCGAAAACAGTGTCTGATAAATTACTAAGTTCTCCCTGTCGCCTCTTTACCATCGCCGTATAAAGTGGGTTTGCGTAAAGAATATAGTTCGTGAATAAAACTAGCCCTGTTAATATATGATATGCGAAATATATTATTTCATATTGAGTATTAAGTTACGTGGACATTTTTTTTGGTCATAATTAAACATTCCTGTTTAAAATGGATAACTCTTTAATGTTTTGATTCAGGAGAAAGTAGTTCCGGTACCTTGTTTATATCAGTCACTAGTGACTGATATAACATTTTTATATCAGTCACCAGTGACTGATAACTTGATCTATCGTTACTGATAAATTCCAGTATTTCATTCATATGTATATAATAAAAAGTACAACTAATTACCTGAAGAGTAAACCTCCCATATTTTTGACAATTTCTCCCTCTCTCGCTCGCTTGACTCTTTCTGTTGGAACGCATGTGATCGAGTGCTCGGGCGGAAATACAATGAGTTGAAAAATACTATCTATTCGAAACAATCGATATAGTTAGAATTTATTGATGATTCTCTGTCGACAAAAGAAAAAATATAATGACTTACAAAAAGTACAAAAAGACGACTTAAGCTTTTAAAATAGAAAATGTATTACAAAATTATAAATTGAATATTTTCTTCACAAAATTAATTCAATCCAGCACCAGTATGTTGTAATCCTTCCATAAACAATATGCAGTGGCGTTCTGGCAATCACTGTGATCCCGCCGCATGTCATACAGACCTACCACCAAATCTGTCATATCGACAAACGTTCACGTTCGCAAGACTTTCGTTAAAGACATATCAGCGATTGGCCCAGTTTCTACACTCTAAACCCCATTGGTGTCAGGCTGACATGTTTCGACGATGCTGATGACGATGGCGTATTGTCTGGTCAGATACTTGAACTGTGGTGTCCTGGCGCAAGTGAACAGCGATTTGATCGTTTTTGTTGTTGACGTAGCGCATATTTCTTTTCTGCAGAAACCTGTTCCAAAGTCTGCAAAAACATGTTCAAAAGTTAGTTACTAGACGTTCACAGTTACATGTGGTTGTTGAAACTGTATATAATCAAGGGATCAACCGTTTTATACCTTGCATGGATGGCGAAAGAGGGCAAATGTACGTGTTCCAACAATAAGTATATTTAACACACCTTGGAGGATTCCCTTGGAGGAACGTGTTGTGTATTTTTCAGGAAACAATCCCTCTTATCATGCGACCTCGTCATTGTACGAATGTTTGAAGCTAGTTTTTCTTTGTTTATAAAACACAAAACACAATCACTCGATATCACTTGAATATGTCGCTGCAGCATATACATGTGTACATACAAAGAGCACACTGTCTGAAACACTTTTGTTATCGGTTTATTCGTCTTAGGTCAAGTCGTGAATGGCAGTTTTAGTCAGTGGAGTGAATGGACACAGACTTCCTGCCCAAAGACTTGTGGAGTCGATGTGGAAACTTTACAGAGAAGGAGTAGGGCATGTGACAACCCTCCTCCATTCAATGGTGGGCTTCCATGTGACGGTTCAACTTCTCAGGAAAGAAATTGGAAATGCACGAATCTATCTCCATGCCCAGGTGCTGTAGCTTTTCTTTATATACATGTACATTGAACATTTCAACGTGTATAATATTCAATCAGGAAAGGGCGGTCGGGTAGCCTAGTGGTTAAAGCGTTCGCTCGTCACGCCGAAGACCCGGGTTCGATTCCCGACATGGGTACAATGTGTGAAGCCCATTTCTGGTGTCCCCCGCCGTGATATTGCTGGAATATTGCTAAAAGCGGCGTAAAACCATACTCACTCACTCACTCAATCAGGAAAACGGCATATGTTAGTATACTTAACACGGCCAATAAAAAACATGAATATTCGTTCCTATACCACTGTACATTCAGGATATTGTGAATTACAATACAGATGAAGATGCACATATAACGATCCCTAATGAACTCATTGTACAACCATATTGAAAGTTAAAGGTAGGACAAAAGAAAGAAGAATTTAGTATGTTTCACTGTTATGAGATATTCTGCGACTATGCATTATTGCAATTGAAATTGATCGTGAAAAGAAATGGACATAATTACGCTTTTACACGTACCCTTGTCTTGTCTATTCTAGTGACACTGTGATTTGTCTTAATTCCACCTCTTGACACCACCAATCTTGTATATTTCCTTAGTTAATTAACTTTGGTTCTATTGTCACTGTATGAATGCTGGAAACGATTGATGTATCGGATATAAATGTAGAATACGCATTTATTCAACTTTCCAAATTCGTAACCATTTTCAAACATTTGAAATTAATTTTTTGTTTTCACAGTTGATGGTGGAGTGTCAGAATGGGGAGGGTGGGACACTCCACGGTGTCCAACATGTGGGGAGAATGTTACAGGAGTATCATTAAGGCTGCGCCCATGTGACAATCCTGTTCCTGCCAATAATGGATCATTCTGCATTGAACCAGTGCAGGAGATCGTCGTCAGATCGTGTGAAGTCGCTCGTTGTCCAGGTATGTGTACTACTGTCAACTACCATGCAACTACCATGCAACTACCATGCAAATGCAAAATCGTAAATCCAAAGTGTTTGAAATTAGCAATAGTACGACGGAACCAAGCTCAACATTAAAAGTTGTTTTCTTAGAAATAATTTCGTTGTTCAAAGTATCCAGATCAACACATTAAGGGATAGAGATGCGCATTGGGTATGCCAGTTAACATTTAGAGGAGTTTTAGGTGAATTTTGCCATAAATACAATAAAACCAGGGTTACAATTTACTTTCAATTTAAAAGCGTAATTAGTCCACTCTCTACTAACTACTCATTATCTATATATGTTTATTATGTGGTACATATAACGTTGTTACTTAAAATTGATTAGATAAACCTTATTGAGAAAAACTAACAAATAGATTAGCATATATGTGTGTATTTAAGAAATAAACGACGAGTGAGAGTTGGTTCTCGTACAATAAAGCACTGCAGGGAGAATAAACTATGAGATGTGCAGCAGTGTTTTATTGTATGATAAACAACGACCACGATTCGTTTATTTAATATATTAGATATCAACATTATGTGCAGCCGCTCTATTGTTAGTCATAAAAAGATAGTTGAAGACGTGAATTGTTAATTTAGTTATTCACAATCTTTTCTTACACTCAGCAATGAACGTAGACTTCTGTAGGAACAGAAATAGCAACCCCTTTAATTAGATCTTAATTCACCGCTTCCTGCTAAGCATCTGAAGATTATGTAGTAGATAGACGCTGCAGCCACGTGAACATATCAAACATTGAAAACGTGTACCGTTGACATCGCGGTGAATTATTTCTTGTGAATTACACTTTAACTTAAATTTATTTGGTCAATTTCCCATGTTTTGAAATGCTCAATCAGAGCAGAAATTCCGATTCATATGTACAGAAACAGATCAGCAAAGAGGGGAGCACAATAGGTACCGATGGGGATGTTAAAGTCCAGCATTTTCTCTCTGTGTAAACTTTAGATGACATTTGCTTTCAGTGTTTGACAAATTTCTCACATCCTTTGAAGATGAAAATAAAATTTTATCTATTGTCGCTATTTTTAGTGACAAAATGCTCTGTGGGTCAATGAATGAAGTTTTTCCATAAGCTTGTCGTGTGGGATAATAGTTTGCAAAATTGAAAACCAAATGTTTTTGCTAAATATTGAACGTTTGTGGGATATATTTTTGAGAATTTACTTAAATATGCATGCACGAAATACATGTAGGAAATATATATCATATATACATTAGCGACAATAGAAACGTGTGATCAGCTTTAGTGTATAGGTTTATACAAGGGCACATTTAAAGCCATACCTGAATATCAGATAGTCCCGGGAAAGCCAAACTCATAATTCGAGGGAATCTGGTGTTGGTACCACGAGCGCCACGTCGATGGATCGGTGGTGAATGTGGTGAACTGTGAATTCATAGAGTTTTATGATTTAAACGAGGCATACAGAAATACATTAGTAGACATATGCTTGTTCAGAAAGTGCAAATACATAAAATGCAATAAACAAACGTAAAATTAATCAGATCACAAGATTCTCAACACAAGATGTGGATGTTATTACATATACAACGCTTGTTTTAGAAGATCAAACATATCGCAGTGTTTTTTTATGCTGAACTGTAATAACACTGAGATGATATTAAGTAAAGAAGCTATAAAAGTCATATCTTCAATAATAATACAAGCCGAAAATTACAAAGGCAGAAGGTGACCGAATACATCAACAAAATGTAGCCCCCTTGAGTTATTGGTGTCGGAAACAGGAGTTTAACATGTACATGCATGGTATCATTTCCGGCACTAGGTAATGAGTGAGTGAGTGAGTGAGTGAGTGAGTGAGTGAGTGTGGTTTTACGCCGCTTTCAGCAATATTCCAGCAATATCACGGCGTTGGACACCAGAAATCGGCTTCACACATTGTACCCACGTCGGGCATCGAACCCGAGTCTTCGGCTTGTCGATCGAACGCTTTAACCACCATGCTACCCGACCGCCCCTCGCTATGTAATAAGAACTTATTCAGTCTGGATCGCGTACCGGATCGCCATCGGCTCCCAACCGGACCCGACCGGATTCTTCCTTAATCCGACTTAATCATGACAACAGTTGTTCATTGACGGGATATATATTGCACGTGTGCACCGAATGTGCACATATGATAATTATGAAGGCCGTACATGTAGGTGGCAACAGACATTCTTTCATGAAACCCTGTGGAGAGGTTTCGTGGATCTCACATTTGTAATTGTGGTAAGGGTCACTAGTATGAAGCTGTGACAGGTCAAATCATGCAGTCGACCACAAATGAATGTAAATATAAAGCGTCAACGTCAGAGAATAACCAGTATCGATGATCTGCCGGTAAATAATGGTTACTAATTCATGAATTGATCACGGAAAATCAGTGCTGACATCTGGTGTTTTCGAAAGACTGGTGACACCCGCTACTCACAAACTAAAAAAACGTGGCATGTAAAGAAAAGAATCATGACCAGACAATGTACTGATTATATTGAACCTAAAATGATATGTTCAGTTTAAATTACATCTGCGGCTATCAAATAAAGACAAACACGTCGTTTTGCTACACAGTGGGAGATGGGTTTCGGGAGTTGGAGGATAAACACATTCAGCTGGTATTGTAGCAGGTGTATATATTTGTATTTTAGCCTTGTTTGTAAATAAAATTATTAAAGTTTTGTTTCTGTTCAACTATATTAAAACAGAGGTTTGTTTTTATCCCATCATTCTAAGTCAAGCCCTCTATTGATCAATCCCAAGCTATCCTGTGATTGGTCAAATTCAAACTTTACCTTCTTGCTCTGACTAGCTCCATATTGTCACTTTCACTATGCACTGCATTTGGAGCATTTGTAGATCACCACTAAAGGTTAGTTAATAATTTATCTTTACTTCTAAATAGGATTAAATAGTAATCAAAGATTAGGCATTATAAATAAGCATCTAACAAGTAATTATATTTACATTGAATCATATATTTCTATTTATGTTGATGTTTTGAATGAATGTGTTTTAGAGGCTGAACTTTAACCTTAGCAATAGTGTATTTTAATATTATCTTGTATACATGCTAACTTATATCTACATTAATGGACTTGCACAAACTATGCATTTTGTTATTCATTTCATTGTATTTAGTCACTCTAAGTATTTATTCCTGCTCTGTAAATTACGGCCCTATATATGGCGGTACTGTCCACAGTCGCGTCATGAACACCTCTTGCCAGCCAAAGTTCAACATGTCTAAAGAGCGCATATCTTTTTACATTCTGATTCCGAATGACTATCTTCAATTAATGCTAAATATTCAACCAGTGTGGTTTGCATATCTGGCTGTTCAAAAACGTGGTTTCAGAGCCGCTGTTACATTATGTCAACGCGTATAATCCACTTTAACTGACAGGTTAGCTTCTAAAAGTGTTTACGTCCTAAAAATAACAGCACGTTTAAACAAATACGAAATGTAATAGCGAGATACACAATCTGACATGTCTAAAGCGAGGGCGCATATGTTTTTTACATTCTGATTCCGAATGACTAACTTTTAATGCTCACTATTCATCCAGTGTGGTTTGTATATCTGGCTGTTCAAAAACTTGGATTCTGAGCCGCTATTACATTATGTCAACACGTACAATCCACTTTAACTGACATTTTCGCACTTGCTTAGGTTAGCTTCTAATTATAACATCACGTTTAAACAAATACGAAATGTAATAGCGAGATACCAATCCGACGTTTCCTCAAAAGTTGCCTTTGAGCTGTTGCGGTTGTGACGTTATTGAGTACCGAACACTACCTGTGGGTAAAGGTATCTGGTACACTAAGACATGTAATTTATGCAGAAATGACTTCACAGTAAAACACCGTGCTCCAATCACTTTATCAAGTCACCTTTTAAAAGTGTTCTTCATGTTTCTAGATTCACATACATGTAGAAGGAGTTTGCCCATTGCAAAAACAACAATATATTCATTGGCACAACTGGCCTTTGAAATAGTCCGGGTAAACTACATTTTCAGACAATATCATCTTTACTGCACATGTTAGGAATTAATTGCAATCAACAATAAGTACAATGTATATGAAACGTAACTACTCTTATAGTGCTCTAAGTGCACATAATAAAAAAAGCTCTTTACTAAGGCGGAGTAAGGTTTGATTGTGTTTTGCAGTTGATGGTGGTTTTAGTGAATGGGGTGAATGGAGTAACCCTGACTGTCCTGTCACCTGTGGACGTGAAGCCAAGAAAGTAGTTTCTAGAAATAGGAATTGCACCGAACCACCTCCACAGTTTGGGGGAGCCAACTGTACAGGACCATCCGAAGAGAGTGCAAACAGAAGTTGCAACCACACAGAATGTCCAAGTATGTATCTCTTATAAACTTTTTTTTGACTTGAAAAACGTATAGATTCAGCCAAAGATTAAAACAATGTCCCCTTTTGTTGCACATGTTTAAAGTGGTATGTGGTTTGCACAGTAACAAGCCATAATAAATGTTACTATTCTAATTGTTCAATAATTTGTGGACTATGAAGCACTAACATATTTGCTTAAGAAATAAGGTGAATGGTCTATTATGAAGTTGTACAGATGGTATGTAAATATTGCATAGTATTATTAAAGTATTTGCTGTAGTTGCTAAAAATAATTTTGTATAGGTAAATTAAATTATTAGTACAATCAACGTTGGAATACTTTGTTACCAGAATGGCACTAAACGTGGTGACGTATTCCCAATACACAATATAAAGTTACAGCTCAATCACCCAAACTGGGCTGATCGGTTCTTACCATATTGCCAATGTATATATAACATAAGCTTCACCAGATTTCCAATCTATGTTTTTCGTTGTCCCGTATTCACCCGGATTATGATCCTTTCTTTGTCATCATCATATCGGTTTCTGTGTATCATCAAAGTGGTAAGCATCTACGACTTGTACCACTTTGGGCTGTCCACCAAATATTAAGCTTATACTCTGTGATGTAACTGAAACTCATTTGAACACATCACAATCACAACCCACTAAAACATTCAATTGGGGAAAAGAACGTTTATCAAATGATTTAAGAATCCAAGAGTAACGTTTGATTGTGTTTTGCAGTTGATGGTGGTTTTAGTGAATGGGGTGAATGGAGTAACCCTGACTGTCCTGTCACCTGTGGACGTGAAGTCGAGAAGATCGTTTCTAGAAATAGGAACTGCACCGAACCACCTCCACAGTTTGGGGGAGCCAACTGTACAGGACCCTTTGAAGAGAGTGCAAACAGAAGTTGCAACCACACAGAATGTCCAAGTATGTATCTCTTATAAACTTTGTTTTTGACTTGAAAAACGTATAGATTCAGCCAAAGATTCAAACAATGTCCCCTTTTGTTGCACATGTTTAAAGTGGTATGTGGTTTGCACAGTAACAAGGCATAATAAATGTTACTTTTCTAATTGTTCAATAATTTGTGGACTATGAAGCACTAACACATTTGCTTAAGAAATAAGGTGAATGGTCTATTATGAAGTTGTACAGATGGTATGTAAATATTGCATAGTATTATTAAAGTATTTGCTGTACTTGCTAAAAAAGAATTATGTATAGGAAAAGTAAATTATTAGTACAATCAACGTTGGAATACTTTGTCACCAGAATGGCACTAAACGTGGTGACGTATTCCCAATACACAATATAAAGTTACAGCTCAATCACCCAAACTGGGCTGATCGGTTCTTACCATATTGCCAATGTATATATAACATAAGCTTTAGCAGATTTCCAATCTATGTTTTTCGTTGTCCCGTATTCACCCTGATTATGATCCTTACTTTGTCATTACCATATCGGTTTCTGTGTATCATCAAAGTGGTAAGCATCGACGACTTGTACCACTTTGGGCTGTCCACCAAATATTAAGCTTACACTCTGTGATGTAACTGAAACACATTTGAACACATCACAATCACAACTCACTAAAACATTCAATTGGGGAAACGAAACGTTTATCAAATGACTTAGGAACCCAAGAGTAACGTTTGATTGTGTTTTGCAGTTGATGGTGGTTTTAGTGAATGGGGTGAATGGAGTAACCCTGACTGTCCTGTCACCTGTGGACGTGAAGCCGAGAAGATCGTTTCTAGAAATAGGAACTGCACCGAACCACCTCCACAGTTTGGGGGAGCCAACTGTACAGGACCCTTTGAAGAGAGTGCAAACAGAAGTTGCAACCACACAGAATGTCCAAGTATGTATCTCTTATAAACTTTGTTTTTGACTTGAAAAACGTATAGATTCAGCCAAAGATTCAAACAATGTCCCCTTTTGTTGCACATGTTTAAAGTGGTATGTGGTTTGCACAGTAACAAGGCATAATAAATGTTACTTTTCTAATTGTTCAATAATTTGTGGACTATGAAGCACTAACACATTTGCTTAAGAAATAAGGTGAATGGTCTATTATGAAGTTGTACAGATGGTATGTAAATATTGCATAGTATTATTAAAGTATTTGCTGTACTTGCTAAAAAGAATTATGTATAGGAAAAGTAAATTATTAGTACAATCAACGTTGGAATACTTTGTCACCATAATGGCACTAAACGTGGTGTCGTATTCCCAATACACAATATAAAGTTACAGCTCAATCACCCAAACTGGGCTGATCGGTTCTTACCCTATGGCCAATGTATATATAACATAAGCTTTAGCAGATTTCCAATCTATGTTTTTCGTTGTCCCGTATTCACCCTGATTATGATCCTTACTTTATCATCTCCATATCGGTTTCTGTGTATCATCAAAGTGGTAAGCATCGACGACTTGTACCACTTTGGGCTGTCCACCAAATATTAAGCTTACACTCTGTGATGTAACTGAAACACATTTGAACACATCACAATCACAACTCACTAAATCATTCAATTGGGGAAACGAAACGTTTATCAAATGACTTAGGAACCCAAGAGTAACGTTTGATTGTGTTTTGCAGTTGTTGGTGGTTTTAGTGAATGGGGTGAATGGAGTAACCCTGACTGTCCTGTCACCTGTGGACGTGAAGCCGAGAAGATCGTTTCTAGAAATAGGAACTGCACCGAACCACCTCCACAGTTTGGGGGAGCCAACTGTACAGGACCCTTTGAAGAGAGTGCAAACAGAAGTTGCAACCACACAGAATGTCCAAGTATGCATCTCTTATAAACTTTGTTTTTGACTTGAAAAACGTTTAGATTCAGCCAAAGATTCAAACAATGTCCCCTTTTGTTGCACATGTTTAAAGTGGTATGTGGTTTGCACAGTAACAAGGCATAATAAATGTTACTTTTCTAATTGTTCAATAATTTGTGGACTATGAAGCACTAACACATTTGCTTAAGAAATAAGCTGAATGGTCTATTATGAAGTTGTACAGATGGTATGTAAATATTGCATAGTATTATTAAAGTATTTGCTGTACTTGCTAAAAAAGAATTATGTATAGGAAAAGTAAATTATTAGTACAATCAACGTTGGAATACTTTGTCACCATAATGGCACTAAACGTGGTGTCGTATTCCCAATACACAATATAAAGTTACAGCTCAATCACCCAAACTGGGCTGATCGGTTCTTACCCTATGGCCAATGTATATATAACATAAGCTTTACCAGATTTCCAATCTATGTTTTTCGTTGTCCCGTATTCACCCTGATTATGATCCTTACTTTGTCATCACCATATCGGTTTCTGTGTATCATGAAAGTGGTAAGCATCGACGACTTGTACCACTTTGGGCTGTCCACCAAATATTAAGCTTACACTCTGTGATGTAACTGAAACACAATTGAACACATCACAATCACAACTCACTAAATCATTCAATTGGGGAAACGAAACGTTTATCAAATGACTTAGGAACCCAAGAGTAACGTTTGATTGTGTTTTGCAGTTGATGGTGGTTTTAGTGAATGGGGTGAATGGAGTAACCCTGACTGTCCTGTCACCTGTGGACGTGAAGTCGAGAAGATCGTTTCTAGAAATAGGAACTGCACCGAACCACCTCCACAGTTTGGGGGAGCCAACTGTACAGGACCCTTTGAAGAGAGTGCAAACAGAAGTTGCAACCACACAGAATGTCCAAGTATGTATCTCTTATAAACTTTGTTTTTGACTTGAAAAACGTATAGATTCAGCCAAAGATTCAAACAATGTCCCCTTTTGTTGCACATGTTTAAAGTGGTATGTGGTTTGCACAGTAACAAGGCATAATAAATGTTACTTTTCTAATTGTTCAATAATTTGTGGACTATGAAGCACTAACACATTTGCTTAAGAAATAAGGTGATTGGTCTATTATGAAGTTGTACAGATGGTATGTAAATATTGCATAGTATTATTAAAGTATTTGCTGTACTTGCTAAAAAAGAATTATGTATAGGTAAAGTAAATTATTAGTACAATCAACGTTGGAATACTTTGTCACCAGAATGGCACTAAACGTGGTGACGTATTCCCAATACACAATATAAAGTTACAGCTCAATCACCCAAACTGGGCTGATCGGTTCTTACCATATTGCCAATGTATATATAACATAAGCTTTACCAGATTTCCAATCTATGTTTTTCGTTGTCCCGTATTCACCCTGATTATGATCCTTACTTTGTCATTACCATATCGGTTTCTGTGTATCATCAAAGTGGTAAGCATCGACGACTTGTACCACTTTGGGCTGTCCACCAAATATTAAGCTTACACTCTGTGATGTAACTGAAACACATTTGAACACATCACAATCACAACTCACTAAAACATTCAATTGGGGAAACGAAACGTTTATCAAATGACTTAGGAACCCAAGAGTAACGTTTGATTGTGTTTTGCAGTTGATGGTGGTTTTAGTGAATGGGGTGAATGGAGTAACCCTGACTGTCCTGTCACCTGTGGACGTGAAGCCGAGAAGATCGTTTCTAGAAATAGGAACTGCACCGAACCACCTCCACAGTTTGGGGGAGCCAACTGTACAGGACCCTTTGAAGAGAGTGCAAACAGAAGTTGCAACCACACAGAATGTCCAAGTATGTATCTCTTATAAACTTTGTTTTTGACTTGAAAAACGTATAGATTCAGCCAAAGATTCAAACACTGTCCCCTTTTGTTGCACATGTTTAAAGTGGTATGTGGTTTGCACAGTAACAAGGCATAATAAATGTTACTTTTCTAATTGTTCAATAATTTGTGGACTATGAAGCACTAACACATTTGCTTAAGAAATAAGGTGAATGGTCTATTATGAAGTTGTACAGATGGTATGTAAATATTGCATAGTATTATTAAAGTATTTGCTGTACTTGCTAAAAAGAATTATGTATAGGAAAAGTAAATTATTAGTACAATCAACGTTGGAATACTTTGTCACCATAATGGCACTAAACGTGGTGTCGTATTCCCAATACACAATATAAAGTTACAGCTCAATCACCCAAACTGGGCTGATCGGTTCTTACCCTATGGCCAATGTATATATAACATAAGCTTTAGCAGATTTCCAATCTATGTTTTTCGTTGTCCCGTATTCACCCTGATTATGATCCTTACTTTATCATCTCCATATCGGTTTCTGTGTATCATCAAAGTGGTAAGCATCGACGACTTGTACCACTTTGGGCTGTCCACCAAATATTAAGCTTACACTCTGTGATGTAACTGAAACACATTTGAACACATCACAATCACAACTCACTAAATCATTCAATTGGGGAAACGAAACGTTTATCAAATGACTTAGGAACCCAAGAGTAACGTTTGATTGTGTTTTGCAGTTGTTGGTGGTTTTAGTGAATGGGGTGAATGGAGTAACCCTGACTGTCCTGTCACCTGTGGACGTGAAGCCGAGAAGATCGTTTCTAGAAATAGGAACTGCACCGAACCACCTCCACAGTTTGGGGGAGCCAACTGTACAGGACCCTTTGAAGAGAGTGCAAACAGAAGTTGCAACCACACAGAATGTCCAAGTATGCATCTCTTATAAACTTTGTTTTTGACTTGAAAAACGTATAGATTCAGCCAAAGATTAAAACAATGTCCCTTTTTGTTGCACATGTTTAAAGTGGTATGTGGTTTGCACAGTAACAAGGCATAATAAATGTTACTTTTCTAATTGTTCAATAATTTGTGGACTATGAAGCACTAACACATTTGCTTAAGAAATAAGCTGAATGGTCTATTATGAAGTTGTACAGATGGTATGTAAATATTGCATAGTATTATTAAAGTATTTGCTGTACTTGCTAAAAAAGAATTATGTATAGGAAAAGTAAATTATTAGTACAATCAACGTTGGAATACTTTGTCACCAGAATGGCACTAAACGTGGTGACGTATTCCCAATACACAATATAAAGTTACAGCTCAATCACCCAAACTGGGCTGATCGGTTCTTACCCTATGGCCAATGTATATATAACATAAGCTTTAGCAGATTTCCAATCTATGTTTTTCGTTGTCCCGTATTCACCCTGATTATGATCCTTACTTTGTCATTACCATATCGGTTTCTGTGTATCATCAAAGTGGTAAGCATCGACGACTTGTACCACTTTGGGCTGTCCACCAAATATTAAGCTTACACTCTGTGATGTAACTGAAACACATTTGAACACATCACAATCACAACTCACTAAAACATTCAATTGGGGAAACGAAACGTTTATCAAATGACTTAGGAACCCAAGAGTAAGGTTTGATTGTGTTTTGCAGTTGATGGTGGTTTTAGTGAATGGGGTGAATGGAGTAACCCTGACTGTCCTGTCACCTGTGGACGTGAAGCCGAGAAGATCGTTTCTAGAAATAGGAACTGCACCGAACCACCTCCACAGTTTGGGGGAGCCAACTGTACAGGACCCTTTGAAGAGAGTGCAAACAGAAGTTGCAACCACACAGAATGTCCAAGTATGTATCTCTTATAAACTTTGTTTTTGACTTGAAAAACGTATAGATTCAGCCAAAGATTCAAACAATGTCCCCTTTTGTTGCACATGTTTAAAGTGGTATGTGGTTTGCACAGTAACAAGGCATAATAAATGTTACTTTTCTAATTGTTCAATAATTTGTGGACTATGAAGCACTAACACATTTGCTTAAGAAATAAGCTGAATGGTCCATTATGAAGTTGTACAGATGGTATGTAAATATTGCATAGTATTATTAAAGTATTTGCTGTACTTGCTAAAAAAGAATTATGTATAGGAAAAGTAAATTATTAGTACAATCAACGTTGGAATACTTTGTCACCAGAATGGCACTAAACGTGGTGACGTATTCCCAATACACAATATAAAGTTACAGCTCAATCACCCAAACTGGGCTGATCGGTTCTTACCATATTGCCAATGTATATATAACATAAGCTTTACCAGATTTCCAATCTATGTTTTTCGTTGTCCCGTATTCACCCTGATTATGATCCTTACTTTGTCATTACCATATCGGTTTCTGTGTATCATCAAAGTGGTAAGCATCGACGACTTGTACCACTTTGGGCTGTCCACCAAATATTAAGCTTACACTCTGTGATGTAACTGAAACACATTTGAACACATCACAATCACAACTCACTAAAACATTCAATTGGGGAAACGAAACGTTTATCAAATGACTTAGGAACCCAAGAGTAACGTTTGATTGTGTTTTGCAGTTGATGGTGGTTTTAGTGAATGGGGTGAATGGAGTAACCCTGACTGTCCTGTCACCTGTGGACGTGAAGCCGAGAAGATCGTTTCTAGAAATAGGAACTGCACCGAACCACCTCCACAGTTTGGGGGAGCCAACTGTACAGGACCCTTTGAAGAGAGTGCAAATAGAAGTTGCAACCACACAGAATGTCCAAGTATGTATCTCTTATAAACTTTGTTTTTGACTTGAAAAACGTATAGATTCAGCCAAAGATTCAAACAATGTCCCCTTTTGTTGCACATGTTTAAAGTGGTATGTGGTTTGCACAGTAACAAGGCATAATAAATGTTACTTTTCTAATTGTTCAATAATTTGTGGACTATGAAGCACTAACACATTTGCTTAAGAAATAAGGTGAATGGTCTATTATGAAGTTGTACAGATGGTATGTAAATATTGCATAGTATTATTAAAGTATTTGCTGTACTTGCTAAAAATAATTATGTATAGGAAAAGTAAATTATTAGTACAATCAACGTTGGAATACTTTGTCACCATAATGGCACTAAACGTGGTGACGTATTCCCAATACAAAATATAAAGTTACAGCTCAATCACCCAAACTGGGCTGATCGGTTCTTACCCTATTGCCAATGTATATATAACATAAGCTTTACCAGATTTCCAATCTATGTTTTTCGTTGTCCCGTATTCACCCTGATTATGATCCTTACTTTATCATCTCCATATCGGTTTCTGTGTATCATGAAAGTGGTAAGCATCGACGACTTGTACCACTTTGGGCTGTCCACCAAATATTAAGCTTACACTCTGTGATGTAACTGAAACACATTTGAACACATCACAATCACAACTCACTAAAACATTCAATTGGGGAAACGAAACGTTTATCAAATGACTTAAGAACCCAAGAGTAACGTTTGATTGTGTTTTGCAGTTGTTGGTGGTTTTAGTGAATGGGGTGTATGGAGTAACCCTGACTGTCCTGTCACCTGTGGACGTGAAGCCGAGAAGATCGTTTCTAGAAATAGGAACTGCACCGAACCACCTCCACAGTTTGGGGGAGCCAACTGTACAGGACCCTTTGAAGAGAGTGCAAACAGAAGTTGCAACCACACAGAATGTCCAAGTATGTATCTCTTATAAACTTTGTTTTTGACTTGAAAAACGTATAGATTCAGCCAAAGATTCAAACAATGTCCCCTTTTGTTGCACATGTTTAAAGTGGTATGTGGTTTGCACAGTAACAAGGCATAATAAATGTTACTTTTCTAATTGTTCAATAATTTGTGGACTATGAAGCACTAACACATTTGCTTAAGAAATAAGCTGAATGGTCTATTATGAAGTTGTACAGATGGTATGTAAATATTGCATAGTATTATTAAAGTATTTGCTGTACTTGCTAAAAATAATTATGTATAGGTAAAGTAAATTATTAGTACAATCAACGTTGGAATACTTTGTTACCAGAATGGCACTAAACGTGGTGACGTATTCCCAATACACAATATAAAGTTACAGCTCAATCACCCAAACTGGGCTGATCGGTTCTTACCCTATTGTCAATGTATATATAACATAAGCTTTACCAGATTTCCAATCTATGTTTTTCGTTGTCCCGTATTCACCCTGATTATGATCCTTACTTTATCATCTCCATGTCGGTTTCTGTGTATCATCAAAGTGGTAAGCATCGACGACTTGTACCACTTTGGGCTGTCCACCAAATATTAAGCTTACACTCTGTGATGTAACTGAAACACATTTGAACACATCACAATCACAACTCACTAAAACATTCAATTGGGGAAACGAAACGTTTATCAAATGACTTAGGAACCCAAGAGTAACGTTTGATTGTGTTTTGCAGTTGATGGTGGTTTTAGTGAATGGGGTGAATGGAGTAACCCTGACTGTCCTGTCACCTGTGGACGTGAAGCCGAGAAGATCGTTTCTAGAAATAGGAACTGCACCGAACCACCTCCACAGTTTGGGGGAGCCAACTGTACAGGACCCTTTGAAGAGAGTGCAAACAGAAGTTGCAACCACACAGAATGTCCAAGTATGCATCTCTTATAAACTTTGTTTTTGACTTGAAAAACGTATAGATTCAGCCAAAGATTCAAACAATGTCCCCTTTTGTTGCACATGTTTAAAGTGGTATGTGGTTTGCACAGTAACAAGGCATAATAAATGTTACTTTTCTAATTGTTCTATAATTTGTGGACTATGAAGCACTAACACATTTGCTTAAGAAATAAGCTGAATGGTCTATTATGAAGTTGTACAGATGGTATGTAAATATTGCATAGTATTATTAAAGTATTTGCTGTACTTGCTAAAAATAATTATGTATAGGTAAAGTAAATTATTAGTACAATCAACGTTGGAATACTTTGTTACCAGAATGGCACTAAACGTGGTGACGTATTCCCAATACACAATATAAAGTTACAGCTCAATCACCCAAACTGGGCTGATCGGTTCTTACCCTATTGCCAATGTATATATAACATAAGGTTCACCAGATTTCCAATCTATGTTTTTCGTTGTCCCGTATTCACCCTGATTATGATCCTTACTTTATCATCTCCATATCGGTTTCTGTGTATCATCAAAGTGGTAAGCATCTACGACTTGTACCACTTTGGGCTGTCCACCAAATATTAAGCTTACACTCTGTGATGTAACTGAAACACATTTGAACACATCACAATCACAACTCACTAAAATATTCAATTGGGGAAACGAAACGTTTATCAAATGACTTAGGAACCCAAGAGTAACGTTTGATTGTGTTTTGCAGTTGATGGTGGTTTTAGTGAATGGGGTGAATGGAGTAACCCTGACTGTCCTGTCACCTGTGGACGTGAAGCCGAGAAGATCGTTTCTAGAAATAGGAACTGCACCGAACCACCTCCACAGTTTGGGGGAGCCAACTGTACAGGACCCTTTGAAGAGAGTGCAAACAGAAGTTGCAACCACACAGAATGTCCAAGTATGCATCTCTTATAAACTTTGTTTTTGACTTGAAAAACGTATAGATTCAGCCAAAGATTCAAACAATGTCCCCTTTTGTTGCACATGTTTAAAGTGGTATGTGGTTTGAACAGTAACAAGGCATAATAAATGTTACTTTTCTAATTGTTCAATAATTTGTGGACTATGAAGCACTAACACATTTGCTTAAGAAATAAGCTGAATGGTCTATTATGAAGTTGTACAGATGGTATGTAAATATTGCATAGTATTATTAAAGTATTTGCTGTACTTGCTAAAAATAATTATGTATAGGTAAAGTAAATTATTAGTACAATCAACGTTGGAATACTTTGTTACCAGAATGGCACTAAACGTGGTGACGTATTCCCAATACACAATATAAAGTTACAGCTCAATCACCCAAACTGGGCTGATCGGTTCTTACCATATTGCCAATGTATATATAACATAAGGTTCACCAGATTTCCAATCTATGTTTTTCGTTGTCCCGTATTCACCCTGATTATGATCCTTACTTTATCATCTCCATATCGGTTTCTGTGTATCATCAAAGTGGTAAGCATCGACGACTTGTACCACTTTGGGCTGTCCACCAAATATTAAGCTTACACTCTGTGATGTAACTGAAACACATTTGAACACATCACAATCACAACTCACTAAAACATTCAATTGGGGAAACGAAACGTTTATCAAATGACTTAGGAACCCAAGAGTAACGTTTGATTGTGTTTTGCAGTTGATGGTGGTTTTAGTGAATGGGGTGAATGGAGTAACCCTGACTGTCCTGTCACCTGTGGACGTGAAGCCGAGAAGATCGTTTCTAGAAATAGGAACTGCACCGAACCACCTCCACAGTTTGGGGGAGCCAACTGTACAGGACCCTTTGAAGAGAGTGCAAACAGAAGTTGCAACCACACAGAATGTCCAAGTATGTATCTCTTATAAACTTTGTTTTTGACTTGAAAAACGTATAGATTCAGCCAAAGATTCAAACAATGTCCCCTTTTGTTGCACATGTTTAAAGTTGTATGTGGTTTGCACAGTGACAAGGCATAATACATGTTACTTTTCTAATTGTTCAATAATTTGTGGACTATGAAGCACTAACACATTTGCTTAAGAAATAAGGTGAATGGTCTATTATGAAGTTGTACAGATGGTATGTAAATATTGCATAGTATTATTAAAGTATTTGCTGTACTTGCTAAAAATAATTATGTATAGGTAAAGTAAATTATTAGTACAATCAACGTTGGAATACTTTGTTACCAGAATGGCACTAAACGTGGTGACGTATTCCCAATACACAATATAAAGTTACAGCTCAATCACCCAAACTGGGCTGATGGGTTCTTACCATATTGCCAATGTATATATAACATAAGCTTTACCAGATTTCCAATCTATGTTTTCGTTGTCCCGTATTCACCCTGATTATGATCCTTACTTTGTCATCACCATATCGGTTTCTGTGTATCATCAAAGTGGTAAGCATCGACGACTTGTACCACTTTGGGCTGTCCACCAAATATTAAGCTTACACTCTGTGATGTAACTGAAACACATTTGAACACATCACAATCACAACTCACTAAAACATTCAATTGGGGAAACGAAACGTTTATCAAATGACTTAAGAACCCAAGAGTAACGTTTGATTGTGTTTTGCAGTTGTTGGTGGTTTTAGTGAATGGGGTGTATGGAGTAACCCTGACTGTCCTGTCACCTGTGGACGTGAAGCCGAGAAGATCGTTTCTAGAAATAGGAACTGCACCGAACCACCTCCACAGTTTGGGGGAGCCAACTGTACAGGACCCTTTGAAGAGAGTGCAAACAGAAGTTGCAACCACACAGAATGTCCAAGTATGTATCTCTTATAAACTTTGTTTTTGACTTGAAAAACGTATAGATTCAGCCAAAGATTCAAACAATGTCCCCTTTTGTTGCACATGTTTAAAGTGGTATGTGGTTTGAACAGTAACAAGGCATAATAAATGTTACTTTTCTAATTGTTCTATAATTTGTGGACTATGAAGCACTAACACATTTGCTTAAGAAATAAGCTGAATGGTCTATTATGAAGTTGTACAGATGGTATGTAAATATTGCATAGTATTATTAAAGTATTTGCTGTACTTGCTAAAAATAATTATGTATAGGTAAAGTAAATTATTAGTACAATCAACGTTGGAATACTTTGTTACCAGAATGGCACTAAACGTGGTGACGTATTCCCAATACACAATATAAAGTTACAGCTCAATCACCCAAACTGGGCTGATCGGTTCTTACCCTATTGCCAATGTATATATAACATAAGGTTCACCAGATTTCCAATCTATGTTTTTCGTTGTCCCGTATTCACCCTGATTATGATCCTTACTTTGTCATCTCCATATCGGTTTCTGTGTATCATCAAAGTGGTAAGCATCGACGACTTGTACCACTTTGGGCTGTCCACCAAATATTAAGCTTACACTCTGTGATGTAACTGAAACACATTTGAACACATCACAATCACAACTCACTAAAACATTCAATTGGGGAAACGAAACGTTTATCAAATGACTTAAGAACCCAAGAGTAACGTTTGATTGTGTTTTGCAGTTGATGGTGGTTTTAGTGAATGGGGTGAATGGAGTAACCCTGACTGTCCTGTCACCTGTGGACGTGAAGCCGAGAAGATCGTTTCTAGAAATAGGAACTGCACCGAACCACCTCCACAGTTTGGGGGAGCCAACTGTACAGGACCCTTTGAAGAGAGTGCAAACAGAAGTTGCAACCACACAGAATGTCCAAGTATGCATCTCTTATAAACTTTGTTTTTGACTTGAAAAACGTATAGATTCAGCCAAAGATTCAAACAATGTCCCCTTTTGTTGCACATGTTTAAAGTGGTATGTGGTTTGAACAGTAACAAGGCATAATAAATGTTACTTTTCTAATTGTTCAATAATTTGTGGACTATGAAGCACTAACACATTTGCTTAAGAAATAAGGTGAATGGTCTATTATGAAGTTGTACAGATGGTATGTAAATATTGCATAGTATTATTAAAGTATTTGCTGTACTTGCTAAAAATAATTATGTATAGGTAAAGTAAATTATTAGTACAATCAACGTTGGAATACTTTGTTACCAGAATGGCACTAAACGTGGTGACGTATTCCCAATACACAATATAAAGTTACAGCTCAATCACCCAAACTGGGCTGATGGGTTCTTACCATATTGCCAATGTATATATAACATAAGCTTTACCAGATTTCCAATCTATGTTTTTCGTTGTCCCGTATTCACCCTGATTATGATCCTTACTTTGTCATCACCATATCGGTTTCTGTGTATCATCAAAGTGGTAAGCATCGACGACTTGTACCACTTTGGGCTGTCCACCAAATATTAAGCTTACACTCTGTGATGTAACTGAAACACATTTGAACACATCACAATCACAACTCACTAAAACATTCAATTGGGGAAACGAAACGTTTATCAAATGACTTAAGAACCCAAGAGTAACGTTTGATTGTGTTTTGCAGTTGTTGGTGGTTTTAGTGAATGGGGTGTATGGAGTAACCCTGACTGTCCTGTCACCTGTGGACGTGAAGCCGAGAAGATCGTTTCTAGAAATAGGAACTGCACCGAACCACCTCCACAGTTTGGGGGAGCCAACTGTACAGGACCCTTTGAAGAGAGTGCAAACAGAAGTTGCAACCACACAGAATGTCCAAGTATGCATCTCTTATAAACTTTGTTTTTGACTTGAAAAACGTATAGATTCAGCCAAAGATTAAAACAATGTCCCCTTTTGTTGCACATGTTTAAAGTGGTATGTGGTTTGCACAGTAACAAGGCATAATAAATGTTACTTTTCTAATTGTTCAAAAATTTGTGGACTATGAAGCACTAACACATTTGCTTAAGAAATAAGCTGAATGGTCTATTATGAAGTTGTACAGATGGTATGTAAATATTGCATAGTATTATTAAAGTATTTGCTGTACTTGCTAAAAATAATTATGTATAGGTAAAGTATATTATTAGTACAACCAACGTTGGAATACTTTGTTACCAGAATGGCACTAAACGTGGTGACGTATTTCCAATACACAATATAAAGTAACAGCTCAATCACCCAAACTGGGCTGATCGGTTCTTACCATATTGCCAATGTATATATAACATAAGCTTTACCAGATTTCCAATCTATGTTTTTCGTTGTCCCGTATTCATTCGGATTATGATCCTTTCTTTGTCATCACCATATCGGTTTCTGTGTATCATCTAAGTGGTAAGCATCTACGACTTGTACTGCTTTGGGCTGTCCGCCAAATATTAAGCTTACACTCTGTGATGTAACTGAAACACATATGAACACATCACAATCACAACTCACTAAACATTCAATTGGGGAAACGAAACGTTTATCAAATGACTTCAGAACCCAAGAGTAACGTTTGATTGTGTTTTGCAGTTGATGGTGGTTTTAGTGAATGGAGTGAATGGAGTAACCCTCTCTGTCCTGTCACCTGTGCACGTGAAGCCGAGAAGATAGTTTCTAGAAATAGGAACTGCACCAAACCACCTCCACAGTTTGGGGGAGCCAACTGTCCAGGACCCTCTGAAGAGCGTGCAAACAGAAGTTGCAACCACACAGAATGTCCAAGTATGTATGATACTTATAATCTTTGTAAATGACTTGAAAAACAATTTCAAACAATGTCAACTTATTTGCAAATGTTGAACGTATTAACTTGACTACAGATTGAAAGAATATTAGATTGATGGGAGATGTTGCATATGAACAAAGCGTGATGAAAATACCTATTCTAACTGTTTGATAACGTTTGCAAAAGTGCTGATTATCTTCGCCATGCATCGCTTTGGGCTGTCTGCGAAACTTTAAGCTTACACTCTGTGATTAAACTGAAATATATTTGAAAGCCAATTAACACAACACTCACACCACACCACTCTGAGTGAAGGAAACACCCATAAATCCATAAAGGACTCAAGAGAAACCCAGTTAATTTTGCTCTCCCGTCATCTGATATTTTTAGAATAAAAAACTTTCTCAAATCACTCTGCAAATAAATCGATCCATTATATCAGAAATAAAATCAAGTGTCACCCAATGAACCACATTTCATGTTACTGCTATTTAAGTTTCAGCTTTATGAGGACACTCATATGAAAAAGTTGAAGGAACCTATTTAATAAATATTTCACAAAATATGTTCAGATGATGTTTTCATTGATCACATGGTTCAGAAATTACACGCATTACACATGGTTATCCAATTACTGTAACATTTCATCACTTTCGATGAACCAATGTCAGCACTCAATCAAGCTTTTTATTTGTGAGAAATAGTGATCAAGTGAGACAAGATGGAAAGGACCCATTTTAAACACATGTATATCCTCTGTTCAATAATTTGAAGATTCATGTGAATTAGAAATACTGAACAACAAAAGTTCCTGTGGCATTGAATAAGATTTAATTAAAGACTCCTGTAAGTGTTTAAATGGTTAAATTAGCCATATTGAATTCAGAAAATGCGTGATTTCATACAAAACCATGAAAATGCCAAAATGTCAATTTACAAATCAATATTGTGTGTGTCCACCTCTGGTTGCGATGCAAGCAACACATCTTCGTCTCATGGAATGGACAAAGCGGGATATCTGTCCATATCTGCTAGAGCATGTTTCGAAGTTCCTGGAGTGTCTGTGGAACACGTTGTTAACGACAAAAGGCGCCCATCCATCTCATCACACATGTGCTCGATTCGATTCGAGAGATCAGCGGAGAGAGCCGGCCAGGGGATGACATTCACGTTGTTTTCTTGAAGTGAATCCTGAACAAGTCGAGAAATATGAGTTGTCATGTTGAAAGGTAATGTCTGGGCCATGACGACGCAAAAACGGTAGAACAACAAGGCCGATGATCTCCTCTCAGTAGCGCTGTCCATTAAGATTTCCTTCTACCACTATCAAACGGGTCCTCTGTCTTGCTGTAATCTCACCCTATACCACAACGCTGCCGTCCCCGAACCGATCTTCTTCCATGACACGGGGCACTGGTGGCCCAGTCGTCTAAGGCGCCGCGATTCGCTGTGCAGAGTTGCGTCCCTTGGGCACGGCAGAAACCTATGATTGTGGGTTCGAATCCCAGTTCGCCCCAATTATCTTTCTAGGCTTGTCAGCACCATACCCGTGCTCGTGGGTTTCACCGAAACTGGTAAATGTCTGAGACCTGCATCACTTTGGGATTTCCTCCCACATTAAGCTGACACGCCGTGATATAACTGGAATACTGTTAAAAGCGGCGTTAAACCCCACTCACTCACTCACTCACTCACTCACTCACTCACTCACTCACTCACTCACTCACTCACTCACTCACTCACTCACTCACTCACTCACTCACTTTTCCATGATACAATGATTGACGTAACGTTCACCTCGACGTCGGTACACTCCAATCCGTCCATCGCTGTGGCTGAGGTGAAAACGAGACTCGTCAGTGAATAGAAGTTGTCCCCACTGCACGGCCGCCCAGCGTAGATGCTGTCTGTACCACTGTAGACGTGCTTGACGCTGGTTTCCTGTCAAAATGGGACGTCTCGCCAGAAAGGCGACAAACACTGCACATCAGAGGCGACGACGTACGGTTTGTGAAGATATTCGTCGAAGGCCAGGGATGCTTCTTGCAGTCACTGTTGCTGGCTTAAATCGATTTCGTTGGTGTTTTGTTCGAATCCAGTTGTCTTGTCGATTATTGGTTACACGTGGCCTGCCACTCCGAGGATGGCCTCTAACTGCATTCGTCTGTTGCCAACGTTGCCATAAACACCAACTGGTGTTTCTGTGGACGTCAAATTGTCTTGCAACATCACGTTGACTCGATCCTGCTTTAAGCATACCAATGACTCCCAGACGCTCATTTCCGGACAGGCGTGACATTTCGTAATGTTGAATAATTGCGTAATTTTGTAATTTTTCTGAGTGGTTGTTGTCAGCACGATGCTAAACAATGTATATGGAATCACGTTAACGCACATGTTTTTATACCCATTCTTGGGTTGTGCAATGAATGGGGCTTGCATAAAAGTAAACGTTTGCATGGAATGCATGTTTTTCTGTAGCAGTTGCGTTTTTGTGACTTGATCCCATACATATACTACAATATTGAAAATCAAACTTTACTTGTTTGAAAAATACACGAAAATATTGGTGTCACAGGAACGTTTATTGTTGAGTATACAACTAATATATCTGCAGGCTAACAGGTTTGCTCGTGACATGGGATGAAGAGGGCACATACTACTTTAAAACTCTTATTTAAATATTAATTGCGGACAAGGCGAACGTATCTAGGCGGACGTTCCCTGTTACAGTATGACTGATGGTGTTTCGGTGTGCCTGAATGATCAACAGTAGCCATGATCTTTGATGGTACAGTAGAGACGGATTGAGGGTGACTCACCAGCTACAATAAATGAAATTATATTCATGTCATAGTGTATGAGAAAGGCCAAAATCAAACTGTCATAAAATTGGGAGTGCGTTGTATCAGTGGACGAAGAGGGGATTGAAATACTGTGTTATCACTTATTCAGAAATAATGCAACAGACTGCTGAGCGTGCAGCTCACCCCACGATGTACATGTATCTCCTGCATTTACTGAATGCCATATGTGTTTACTTTTCAGTTAACGGAAGATTCACGATGTGGGGTGAATGGGATAACCCTGAATGTTCTGTAAGCTGCTCCATCAATGCCACGAAAGTGGTTGTCAGAATCAGAAATTGTATACCTCCGGAATTTGGCGGTGCAATGTGTGAAGGACCTTACAATGAAAGCGAAACTCGAAACTGTCTCCTCAATCAATGTCCAAGTAAGTTTATTTAACTGTGTTTCAAAACGATATTTGATAAATACACGTTAGATCTGTCTATATACATGAGTAAATACATACATGTGGGTATTGTGGAGAAAGGGTCTTGATTTAGATTTCTTGATGTCGGTAAGAGGACAATTCTCCCAGTGTTTTAATGCACACACACACACACACACACACACACACACACACACACACACACACACACACACACACACACACACACACACACACACACACACACACACACACACACACACACACACACACACACTGTGCTTTTGGTCATAGTCTGAACCAGTGAACTAGTACACACTAGAACGATTGCAATAAGGAGCATTTACAAAAGATTAGCCCAACCGAAGTTTGAGGATGTCTTAATACTGAGCATTAAGCAAGCTAAATCTTTGCAGCTTTAAGTACGAATGTGATTGGTATTCCAGAAAGTGGTGAGTAAATAAGAAAACATTCAACTTTATGGAAAACACTTCTCGTTTATTAGAGCCGTACACCGTTATCACGTTAGAGTGAATACAACCAAGGGAAGAGAGGTATATATGCATATTATGTTGTGATAAGCAGCAGATTAACATTAACAACAACATGTAATGGATAAGAAGTAGGACACAGATGATTGGCTGAAGCCAGATGTACAGTAAGAATATCAAATAGCACACACGCAATGAAGCCAGATGTCCTTTTTGACACCCTGCTTGGTTACTATGTGAAAATCAATTGAATAGATCTTCATGGGGAGACGAGATGTAATTCCCTTTATCTCTGTTGACAAGATGTTTGTGACGGCGTATTTATATAGCTTCTTAGATTCCAATTCCTATTATAGTTTGGTTGAGAGGATTTGGACTTGTCAAACTGAATTTGATGGCTTGTGAATGTTTGCTGGTGGCCTGAGAGGGTTGATTTGCTGTCTTCTTTGGCTGTTGAAGTCGTTTGTTCTTTCAGGCAGGTATCTACTTGGTTTGAGGTGCGAGTCACCACATTCACAATTAATCGTATAGATCGCAGCTGCAGCCCTCTTAGATAAGGTGGAGTGTTTGCACCAAAAACATGTTTTGTACAATAAAAGCAAAAGTGGTTATTTATTTAACCGGAACTTAGAGCACAAGAGAATTAAACATTTAACACATTAAACCAAAGGGGCACTGTCCTTCAATCTGAGCCTGGCCACACTGTTGTATTATGCATGTCATAATGTGCAATTTGTTTTCTAGAAACAAACTCCCATATTATGACAAATAAGAAAAGTTTTGGATTATTGGATATAGTTAATAATATTCGCAGATTTGTTAATAGTTTATTCAATAGAATGAGGGCAGTCGTGGTATCAGAAGAGTGAAGTAAAGATCTCACGTTTACCGATGCATTTAAAATCGAATTAGAGTTAAATAGTTCCAAGCATTATTAATATCAGAGAACAAAACACAGAGTCTCACCCCTAAAAGTAATTTTCACTGCAAAGGCCTCTCAGTAACGAACGTCTAATGTTCCAATGTGGTGATGAAAAGTAACTAGTGTACTATAGGCACCTTAACGTCTACCTTGCAGTCGACGGCGGGGTATCTGAATGGGATGATTGGAGCAAACCCCTGTGTGGAGAACGCTGTGGGACAGATATCCAGGGATTTGTCATTCGAACAAGAACTTGTACAAATCCGCCCCCCACGTATAATGGTCTATTTTGTACGGAACATTTGCAAGAAACAGCTACAAGTCCTTGTAACCTTCCACGTTGCTCAAGTTAGTTCGTAATGCTTACTTCTAACGAAAATTAACACATGGCCATAAACATATGATACGCATATACATATGGATGTTATAAAGTAACAACTATCAGGTCGAAAGTGTTATTATCATTGTGCATAGATCCGGACCAGGAACTAATACTTAACCTAATATCCCGAGTTTGGATACCATAACACAATGTTGTGAACAGCACATTAAGGAGTTTGTTCAGGTTTGTACAATTACATTTAACGGTGCAATGACAGTGTTATACTATTGAAAGGAATACTATAATCTTTTTAAAAAAACCCATTCATTTAATGTGACATTTACATGATATACGGCTGTTCCATCGGACCAAAAAATCAATCACACGACCGCAAAATTGACGTTCATAAATGTATGAACGACACAATTAGACGTTCATACGTGTTTCACGAGACTGAATTCTTGAAATGACCTAAACACTGGCGGACTAAGTATACCTTCCAGGACGGGTGCCTGGGAATTCCCTAGCACGAATAGATACAGAAGCGTTATTTCTGATCCTTTAGACCCTTTAATCTTGTACTCAGCTTTAAGCATACATTGAGAAACGTCAGAGAGTTTGACTGTATGCATCGTTTACGGATATCCTCGCTACGACCAATCCTACTGAACCATCCCAAGAAATGTACATTCAATGCATCATGGTATTGACTCGATCCGTGTCTACGGCAATCTATGAATTTATCTTAGTACACATCCTTATAATCACCTTCCAGTGATTGGTCCGATAATAATTATGACTAATACATGTTATCGCCACAGGTTCATTAAAAATCTTCTGAAATCTCACCCGTCACGATTGTCGTGTCGGCCAATTGTACTTGATGTAAATGAAGTACGAAGCATTGTCATTTTGACTGACTTCCTGAGATAGTTCTTAACGGACGTTTCCCATCCAATATTATTATTATTTGAATACATTTGCTGTAAATAAACTACAGATAAACAGATATTCTTATGGAGCCTGGGGGCACGGGTGGCACGCCAGAAACCTATGATTGTGGGTTCGAATCCCGGTTCGCCCCGATTATGTTTCTAGGTTTGTCAGCACCATACCCATGCTCGTGAGTTTCACCGAAGTGGTAAATGTCTGAGACCTGCATCACTTCGGGCTTTCCTCCCACATTAAGCTGATACGCCGCGATATAACTGGAATACTGTTAAAAGCGGCGTTAAACCCAACTCACTCACTCACTCGTGTGGAGCCTGTTGAGCATACATACCCATGTCACCTTTCGTTTAGGGAAACTAGTTTATTCCACTTTACAGCTGGTTCTTGCATGGTGGTCAGTGGAAACATAAAGTCACGTGTACCAAATTAAACTGTGTATAGATGTAGGCCTACATCATTCGAGGTAAAAAACATAGGCTGACATTCACACTGTTTGGCCCTCATTCTTGGCAAGGTTCATACTCCAGTGAACTCACACGAAGTCAAACATTCTTTTCAACAGTGCCTGAATTTCGGTTCACGAACGATGTCACAATGCAGCGGTTAAATGCATAATTAAGATGCGTTAATGAAAGCCAACATACCAACTTAATAACTCTTTTCAGGTAATGACAACGTTACGGACTGGACGAATTGGAGTGAGCCAGTGTGTACAGTCACTTGTGGAAAAAGAATAAACGGAACTGCCAGCAGAACCAGGATGTGTACTTCGCCATCCAACGGAATTAACTGCGTTGCACGTCTTCTGGAAAGTGACACGAGAGAATGCAAGCTCCCTGACTGCCCAGGTAATCTTTTGCCCAGGGCATATGTTACATATGCTTTATTCCAAAAACAAAGACATCCGAAGGTAAAGAAGGGTATCAATCGTTTCGACACCAGATGCACAGGAAATTGTGGTCACAGGTTAAAGAGTTGTACATATAGGAGGGCCTCAAGTTGGTGCAGACCTTTTCTCATACATATTTGTTGGTCACTTTTCGGGCAGACATGTCATTTTTGTATTCAAAACACATGACTATGTCTCTGTCAGTGATGTATAAAAGTCTGTCCAGTACAAACGTTATAACTCGATGTGTACCAGTTTGGACATCGACGCATTTAAATGATGTTGTACATGGCACAAGGAAATACAAGCACTGTACGGGCGCGACGGATATTTGTATGGATTTGTAGAAAACGTTTTGCGACATCTTAAATTTACACAACCCCCAGTCCAACTAAATGTGAAACAGCATTGTGATAATCATTAACTGACTCGTGAGAAGTTATCTTTTATCTCTCATGGGCATTGTCTAGACTTCGAAATTTCTTCTTCTTGGGTGGCATAAAACTTACTGTATGGTGATCGCAGTATTACCCTGCTCAACCTGGGGTATCTCAATCAACATTTGTACAGAGTTCGATTCCATCCCTCGAGATGATTTGTTGGCGTCGACCGACTGCTCAATGAGATATTTTGTGCTTCTTGATAAGGTGTTTGGTGTTAATGGTGGTCGGGCATCCTCTGTGGAAACATTACCAATGAATGGAAGTTTGTGATCTGTTGAAAACAAACAAGTACAGAGCCCTCTTGGAATTGAGAACAAACTGAAAATCAGTCTGCGAATTTGGCACAGTGGAACACTGTTTCTTCTCTGTAATTTCTTTTAAAGCCAAATGATTGATATTTTCACACATATTGTGTCACGCATGAGATGCCCCCTTAAACCACTTTTGTCTTACCAATCAGAAATGGGGATCGCACAAATGGGGATCCCAACAGTGGCGGAATGTTTCGTTTCGGGACGATTTCCCCTGTGGTTTTTCATCGTCTGTATTACACCTATTCCTTTTTTTAAAATAAATTCAAACATTTGTGATTAAGTATTCCCTAAAGTATCACAATGAACAAAGATGATATTTGGATTAGACTTACCCCCTAAGAAACCCATGCTTTTCGCAAGAGGATAACTAACGGTGATCAGGGTCCTTGACTTGGTTGATGCATGTCATCGAATCCCAATTACGTAGATCGATGCTCATGATATCAGTGACTGGATTGTCTGGTCCATACTCGGTTATTTACAGACTTATCGCTCCTGATTGTTTTAATGAAGAAAGAAGTTGCTTATCAAAAACTATTGTCCTTACTTAATATAGCAACGCCCATAACAGATATAAGTTGTACATAAATATCACACGTAGAATCACGTCGCCAAACGTTTTGGTAATATACCATCTTACGACAACTGTACATTTAAATTGTCATACGAATTAATCGTCACAACACCAATGAAGGTGATTGTTACAGAATGAAACAGTACTCTTCAACAAGAATGATACTAAACTATAGCTTATCGTTGATAATTTTTTAGATGAAATCTGAAATCTGAAATCCTTGGCAAATATAGCCAGATGCTAATACGATTGACAAAAACCTAAAACCACAAACCTTGAATACCTTAGAATACTGTCACCAACCTTTTAATAAACTTCTTATTGATTCTATTCATTTTGTTTCCTATTTTAAGTTTAAACATTGTATTTTATAATAATTTTAAGTGAGATATACACAAACGAACGAAATTCAGTTTTAAAATGTCACGTTGACATGAGAGATATGATAACATATCAATCTCTAATGTTTCGGGAGTATATTTAATGTTCAGCATATACACCATTCCACACACACTCCAGTAATTAATGACACACGTCACAACTGACATTGCTCAATAATTCCAAAAATGTTGTCATCCTGATAAAGCATCTTCAGAGCAAGAGTCATATGACGCTCTTTGAAATAGACACAGAAGGAAGAGACTCTGTCGCACTTCAAAAGTTCGGAAATGTACCTTAGACCGTAGACATAAATATAAGTTGACTATGTTCAAGGTAAAGTCACCCTTCTTGTCACACAAGCTTGTGGATAGTTTGTTGTCACTCTGGATTATGCATAGTTCTAAATTTCAAATAGACGAGGCTTTTTCCCTGGATTCTTGTATACCTAGTTCAGTTCTTTTCTTTTGTAAAACCAAATCTACACTGTAAAGAAGAAACGTAGGAACTTGACGTAACCAAATTCTACATAACTAAATTTTAACATGACACTGAATAATGCTTGATTCTTATTCCATTATACATCTCAAAATAGAAAAGTCTTTTCAGACAAACACGTGCGTGTGAATGCATCGATGTTTTGACAGCCTACAGACAGATAGAATAGATCAGGTGGTCAGGCTCGGTAACTTGGCTGACTGCCTGTCATCGTACCACGACGGCGTGGCTTGATGCTAAAAATATAAATCATTGGATTCTTTACCACCAGCCGTTATGTAGCTGGAGTGGTACAGATTGCGGCGTTGAACAAAAAAGAACAAGCAAACATACACACACATTTGGTATTAATCACATTTCTAGTTCTGTGTATTCACAGTAAAATCAACTTTAGTAGAGCACCTTCAAAAATGTTTAAGGAAATGAACGCTGAAGGACGAAGGTGTATGGAACGTGCTGATATTGCAATAAGAAACCACAAAACGTCTCTTTGTGTCGGACGTTTAGTTGACGTGTACACATGAATGTCCGGTTATTAGATAATTTGTTGGTCGAAATTGTGGTAGGCACTTGCGGGAGGGAAAGATGTAGGGACAAAGTGGAACATAGGAAAGAACGAGGAAGGCTAAGACATGATGGCACCAGGGTGAGACGGCAATTGAATCACATCTGGTCAAAATTGAGAGTAAAAGTTGCTCTTGATTGAAGTTATAGTTGCTGTTACCAGTAGGCATTTTTTATGTGAAGTACAGCTGCAGCTGCAGCTTTGAAAACAACCGTATGACAAATGACTTGACACATACATTTATTTGCATGCTTCGACTCACGTGCTTTAAAATGCGACACTAATTGAAGCGGAAATAAATCCTCACGCCTCATGAATTAAGTTGAAAAGATAATCATGTTGAAAAATGGATGTTGAAAATGAAAATAAACTGACCCTATCTGAAAATGTGCCCCTACAGCTAATATTTAATGCCAAAAATTGAATATAAAAATCAACATCAGACATTAATCAGTCTCGATTTTCTGCGAAAACAGATTTCACCTGGCATACAAGGCAATGAAGTGGTGCAAATTATATCAATGGGTTACTGTAAATCAGTGATGACACCAGATGTTCGCGAAAACAATAATCATATTCTGGAATACTGGTAGTAGCCGTCAATGACATAAAAAGTCACTCTGCTTATTAACTTCCCTTCCAATGTGAGGAGCCTACGTAATTCGATGACGAGAGCAAACTATGTACATCTCTGAAAGTAAACAAAGAATACCAAATCCCTCTCCTCGGTTTCTTTTTCTTGGCACAAACTGAACCTTTCCCGATTTCACAATAGGCAGCAAATAGTCGGATGAACATAACATCAGCATTTGCTACACAATTGTAACATTTATTAGTCATAATATATGTATTGCTAGCATATCACTGTGTTGACCATGTTGATACTTTGCAGTTGATGGAGGGCTGTCAAACTGGACATCGTGGTCAATCGTACCCTGCCCTCTCACATGTGGAGTAGATGCCATGACAAATCAGAGCAGACGTAGGGATTGTGTCAATCCCGCTCCGGAAGCCGGTGGCAAGAACTGCACAGGTCCACTGATGGAAAGCAGTCAGACACACTGCAATGTCCCTCCATGTAGTGGTATGTGAGGGCCAATTTATCATTCAGTTTATACTTCTGTAGTGTACATGTACAACTTTGTGTTTAATTATTGGAGGACGAAACTTTGCCTTTCTGGTCATATGTCGAACCACAAAGATCAGATGACATCTTAAGAGTTGTATGATCACACCCAATCTTATGCACTCCCATATGGGTGTTGGATATGTGTCTGTTACAACTAGCAGCAGTTAAAATACGCATAACTTCTGGACGTGTAGAGCGACTGTCGTAAAGATACCAGGAGTATTTAAACTAAAGAAAGCAAGAGTATGACAAACCTTAAGAAGAAATTCACATTCCTTATATTGATCATATATGTTATGTTTGTCAGATTAAGCCTTTTGTACTGACTCTCTAATGTTCATTCATCGGTATAGAAATGATAGAAATATTGTCAAGAGAAATATAGAGGCAATGCACGAAACAATGACACGATTTGTTTATTCCAACCACTAGGCGACGACGGCGTTGGCGAGTGGAGCCAGTGGAGTGCTGCAGTATGCACAACCACCTGTGGTGAAGGCCAAAAGGGAAGCGTGGAAAGAAGCAGAAGTTGTGTTACGCCAGCCAATAACATCAGCTGTACGGCCGCACTAACAGAAACCCAAATGGGAAACTGCGGCCTGCCTAAATGCCCAGGTAAATGTGTAGCTATGTATAAATGTACCACCTTCTTGTACTGCAGTATATAAAATGTAACAACTCTACCCAGAGAAGTAACTCCTTTCCTGTATATTCTGAGTGCTCTATGTCCACCATCACAGTATGGAAAAGCCTCACCTCTTTGACTGAAGCAGCTCTGACAGAGCGAGTTTGTATGTAAAGGTTGTTGGCATTAATAGTGTGTCTCCAAGTTAACAAAGTAATACGAGTGGAATATCAAATCCGCCTCCAATGCACTTGCTCGTATGACACGTTCCCAAAATAAGATATTAAAAACCATGTCCATTTTATGCTGTAAATCAATCGCCAACTGTTTTCATTAACTACATTTTGAAATACATGGAATATCCTGATAACATTATGGATTAATTTCTAAAGGCATCAGATAGATCATCACTTTGCTATATTTGACGCACACTGTACAGGTGAGACATGGGCAGCACCAAAACGAATGGTAGTGAATAAACAACACTGGTTTCTTTTTCTACGTGCAAAACAGAAACATCCCTTATTTCACAATCCGCAGCAAATAGTCGGATGAACATAATATCAGCATTTGCTACACAATTGTCACATTTGTTTTTGATAATATATGGATTGCTAGCATATCACTGTGTTGACCATGTTGATACTTTGCAGTTGATGGAGGGCTGTCAAACTGGACATCGTGGTCAATCGTACCCTGCCCTCTCACATGTGGAGTAGATGCCATGACAAATCAGAGCAGACGTAGGGATTGTAACAACCCCGCTCCGGAAGCCGGTGGCAAGAACTGCACAGGTCCACTGATTGAAAGCAGTCAGACACACTGCAATGTCCCTCCATGTAGTGGTATGTGAAGGCCAATTTGTCATTCAGTTTATACTTCTGTAGTGTGCATGTACAACTTTCAGTTTAATTATTGGAAAACGAAACTTTGCCTTTCTGGTCATATGTCGAACCACAAAGATCAGATGACATCTTAAGAGTTGTATGATCACACCCAATCTTATGCACTCCCATATGGGTGTTGGATATGTGTCTGTTACAACTAGCAGCAGTTAAAATACGCATAACTTCTGGACGTGTAGAGCGACTGTCGTAAAGATACCAGGAGTATTTAAACTAAAAAAAGCAAGAGTATGACAAACCTTAAGAAGAAATTCACATTCCTTATATTGATCATATATGTTATGTTTGTCAGATTAAGCCTTTTGTACTGACTTTCTAATGTTCATTCATCGGTATAGAAATGATAGAAATATTGTCAAGAGAAATATAGAGGCAATGCACGAAACAATGACACGATTTGTTTATTCCAACCACCAGGCAACGACGGCGTTGGCGAGTGGAGCCAGTGGAGTGCTGCAGTATGCACAACCACCTGTGGTGAAGGCCAAAAGGGAAGCGTGGAAAGAAGCAGAAGTTGTGTTACGCCAGCCAATAATATCAGCTGTACAGCCGCACTAACAGAAACCCAAATAGGAAACTGCGGCCTGCCTAAATGCCCAGGTAAATGTGTAGCTATGTATAAATGTACCACTTTCTTGTACTGCATTATATAAAATGTAGCAACCCTACCCAGAGAAGTAACTCCTTTCCTGTATATTCTGAGTGCTCTATGTCCACCATTACAGCATGGAAAAGCCTCACCTCTTTGACTGAAGCAGCTCTGACAGAGCGAGTTTGTATGTAAAGGTTGTTGGCATTAATAGTGTGTCTCCAAGTTAACAAAGTAATACGAGTGGAATATCAAATCCGCCTCCAATGCACTTGCTCGTATGACACATGTTCCCAAAATAAGATATTAAAAACCATGTCCATTTTATGCTGTAAATCAATCGCCAACTGTTTTCATTAACTACATTTTGAAATACATGGAATATCCTGATAACATTATGGATTAATTTCTAAAGGCATCAGATAGATCATCACTTTGCTATATTTGACGCACACTGTACAGGTGAGACATGGGCAGCACCAAAACGAATGGTAGTGAATAAACAAGACTGGTTTCTTTTTCTACGTGCAAAACAGAAACATCCCTTATTTCACAATCCGCAGCAAATAGTCGGATGAACATAATATCAGCATTTGCTACACAATTGTCACATTTGTTTTTGATAATATATGGATTGCTAGCATATCACTGTGTTGACCATGTTGATACTTTGCAGTTGATGGAGGGCTCTCAAACTGGACATCGTGGTCAATCGTACCCTGCCCTCTCACATGTGGAGTAGATGCCATGACAAATCAGAGCAGACGTAGGGATTGTAACAACCCCGCTCCGGAAGCCGGTGGCAAGAACTGCACAGGTCCACTGATTGAAAGCAGTCAGACACACTGCAATGTCCCTCCATGTAGTGGTATGTGAAGGCCAATTTGTCATTCAGTTTATACTTCTGTAGTGTACATGTACAACTATCAGTTTAATTATTGGAGGACGAAACTTTGCCTTTCTGGTCATATGTCGAACCACAAAGATCAGATGACATCTTAAGAGTTGTATGATCACACCCAATCTTATGCACTCCCATATGGGTGTTGGATATGTGTCTGTTACAACTAGCAGCAGTTAAAATACGCATAACTTCTGGACGTGTAGAGCGACTGTTGTAAAGATACCAGGAGTATTTAAACTAAAGAAAGCAAGAGTATGACAAACCTTAAGAAGAAATTCACATTCCTTATATTGATCATATATGTTATGTTTGTCAGATTAAGCCTTTTGTACTGACTTTCTAATGTTCATTCATCGGTATAGAAATGATAGAAATATTGTCAAGAGAAATATAGAGGCAATGCACGAAACAATGACACGATTTGTTTATTCCAACCACTAGGCGACGACGGCGTTGGCGAGTGGAGCCAGTGGAGTGCTGCAGTATGCACAACCACCTGTGGTGAAGGCCAAAAGGGAAGCGTGGAAAGAAGCAGAAGTTGTGTTACGCCAGCCAATAACATCAGCTGTACGGCCGCACTAACAGAAACCCAAATGGGAAACTGCGGCCTGCCTAAATGCCCAGGTAAATGTGTAGCTATGTATAAATGTACCACCTTCTTGTACTGCAGTATATAAAATGTAACAACTCTACCCAGAGAAGTAACTCCTTTCCTGTATATTCTGAGTGCTCTATGTCCACCATCACAGTATGGAAAAGCCTCACCTCTTTGACTGAAGCAGCTCTGACAGAGCGAGTTTGTATGTAAAGGTTGTTTGCATTAATAGTGTGTCTCCAAGTTAACAAAGTAATACGAGTGGAATATCAAATCCGCCTCCAATGCACTTGCTCGTATGACTCATGTTCCCAAAATAAGATATTAAAAACCATGTCCATTTTATGCTGTAAATCAATCGCCAACTGTTTTCATTAACTACATTTTGAAATACATGGAATATCCTGATAACATTATGGATTAATTTCTAAAGGCATCAGATAGATCATCACTTTGCTATATTTGACGCACACTGTACAGGTGAGACATGGGCAGCACCAAAACGAATGGTAGTGAATAAACAACACTGGTTTCTTTTTCTACGTGCAAAACAGAAACATCCCTTATTTCACAATCCGCAGCAAATAGTCGGATGAACATAATATCAGCATTTGCTACACAATTGTCACATTTGTTTTTGATAATATATGGATTGCTAGCATATCACTGTGTTGACCATGTTGATACTTTGCAGTTGATGGAGGGCTGTCAAACTGGACATCGTGGTCAATCGTACCCTGCCCTCTCACATGTGGAGTAGATGCCATGACAAATCAGAGCAGACGTAGGGATTGTAACAACCCCGCTCCGGAAGCCGGTGGCAAGAACTGCACAGGTCCACTGATTGAAAGCAGTCAGACACACTGCAATGTCCCTCCATGTAGTGGTATGTGAAGGCCAATTTGTCATTCAGTTTATACTTCTGTAGTGTGCATGTACAACTTTCAGTTTAATTATTGGAAAACGAAACTTTGCCTTTCTGGTCATATGTCGAACCACAAAGATCAGATGACATCTTAAGAGTTGTATGATCACACCCAATCTTATGCACTCCCATATGGGTGTTGGATATGTGTCTGTTACAACTAGCAGCAGTTAAAATACGCATAACTTCTGGACGTGTAGAGCGACTGTCGTAAAGATACCAGGAGTATTTAAACTAAAAAAAGCAAGAGTATGACAAACCTTAAGAAGAAATTCACATTCCTTATATTGATCATATATGTTATGTTTGTCAGATTAAGCCTTTTGTACTGACTTTCTAATGTTCATTCATCGGTATAGAAATGATAGAAATATTGTCAAGAGAAATATAGAGGCAATGCACGAAACAATGACACGATTTGTTTATTCCAACCACCAGGCAACGACGGCGTTGGCGAGTGGAGCCAGTGGAGTGCTGCAGTATGCACAACCACCTGTGGTGAAGGCCAAAAGGGAAGCGTGGAAAGAAGCAGAAGTTGTGTTACGCCAGCCAATAATATCAGCTGTACAGCCGCACTAACAGAAACCCAAATAGGAAACTGCGGCCTGCCTAAATGCCCAGGTAAATGTGTAGCTATGTATAAATGTACCACTTTCTTGTACTGCATTATATAAAATGTAGCAACCCTACCCAGAGAAGTAACTCCTTTCCTGTATATTCTGAGTGCTCTATGTCCACCATTACAGCATGGAAAAGCCTCACCTCTTTGACTGAAGCAGCTCTGACAGAGCGAGTTTGTATGTAAAGGTTGTTGGCATTAATAGTGTGTCTCCAAGTTAACAAAGTAATACGAGTGGAATATCAAATCCGCCTCCAATGCACTTGCTCGTATGACACATGTTCCCAAAATAAGATATTAAAAACCATGTCCATTTTATGCTGTAAATCAATCGCCAACTGTTTTCATTAACTACATTTTGAAATACATGGAATATCCTGATAACATTATGGATTAATTTCTAAAGGCATCAGATAGATCATCACTTTGCTATATTTGACGCACACTGTACAGGTGAGACATGGGCAGCACCAAAACGAATGGTAGTGAATAAACAAGACTGGTTTCTTTTTCTACGTGCAAAACAGAAACATCCCTTATTTCACAATCCGCAGCAAATAGTCGGATGAACATAATATCAGCATTTGCTACACAATTGTCACATTTGTTTTTGATAATATATGGATTGCTAGCATATCACTGTGTTGACCATGTTGACACTTTGCAGTTGATGGAGGGCTGTCAAACTGGACATCGTGGTCAATCGTACCCTGCCCTCTCACATGTGGAGTAGATGCCATGACAAATCAGAGCAGACGTAGGGATTGTAACAACCCCGCTCCGGAAGCCGGTGGCAAGAACTGCACAGGTCCACTGATTGAAAGCAGTCAGACACACTGCAATGTCCCTCCATGTAGTGGTATGTGAGGGCCAATTTGTCATTCAGTTTATACTTCTGTAGTGTACATGTACAACTTTCAGTTTAATTATTGGAGGACGAAACTTTGCCTTTCTGGTCATATGTCGAACCACAAAGATCAGATGACATCTTAAAAGTTGTATGATCACACCCAATCTTATGCACTCCCATATGGGTGTTGGATATGTGTCTGTTACAACTAGCAGCAGTTAAAATACGCATAACTTCTGGACGTGTAGAGCGACTGTCGTAAAGATACCAGGAGTATTTAAACTAAAAAAAGCAAGAGTATGACAAACCTTAAGAAGAAATTCACATTCCTTATATTGATCATATATGTTATGTTTGTCAGATTAAGCCTTTTGTACTGACTTTCTAATGTTCATTCATCGGTATAGAAATGATAGAAATATTGTCAAGAGAAATATAGAGGCAATGCACGAAACAATGACACAATTTGTTTATTCCAACCACTAGGCGACGACGGCGTTGGCGAGTGGAGCCAGTGGAGTGCTGCAGTATGCACAACCACCTGTGGTGAAGGCCAAAAGGGAAGCGTGGAAAGAAGCAGAAGTTGTGTTACGCCAGCCAATAATATCAGCTGTACAGCCGCACTAACAGAAACCCAAATGGGAAACTGCGGCCTGCCTAAATGCCCAGGTAAATGTGTAGCTATGTATAAATGTACCACTTTCTTGTACTGCAGTATATAAAATGTAGCAACCCTACCCAGAGAAGTAACTCCTTTCCTGTATATTCTGAGTGCTCTATGTCCACCATCACAGTATGGAAAAGCCTCACCTCTTTGACTGAAGCAGCTCTGACAGAGCGAGTTTGTATGTAAAGGTTGTTTGCATTAATAGTGTGTCTCCAAGTTAACAAAGTAATACGAGTGGAATATCAAATCCGCCTCCAATGCACTTGCTCGTATGACTCATGTTCCCAAAATAAGATATTAAAAACCATGTCCATTTTATGCTGTAAATCAATCGCCAACTGTTTTCATTAACTACATGTTGAAATACATGGAATATCCTGATAACATTATGGATTAATTTCTAAAGGCATCAGATAGATCATCACTTTGCTATATTTGACGCACACTGTACAGGTGAGACATGGGCAGCACCAAAACGAATGGTAGTGAATAAACAAGACTGGTTTCTTTTTCTACGTGCAAAACAGAAACATCCCTTATTTCACAATCCGCAGCAAATAGTCGGATGAACATAATATCAGCATTTGCTACACAATTGTCACATTTGTTTTTGATAATATATGGATTGCTAGCATATCACTGTGTTGACCATGTTGACACTTTGCAGTTGATGGAGGGCTGTCAAACTGGACATCGTGGTCAATCGTACCCTGCCCTCTCACATGTGGAGTAGATGCCATGACAAATCAGAGCAGACGTAGGGATTGTAACAACCCCGCTCCGGAAGCCGGTGGCAAGAACTGCACAGGTCCACTGATTGAAAGCAGTCAGACACACTGCAATGTCCCTCCATGTAGTGGTATGTGAGGGCCAATTTGTCATTCAGTTTATACTTCTGTAGTGTACATGTACAACTTTCAGTTTAATTATTGGAGGACGAAACTTTGCCTTTCTGGTCATATGTCGAACCACAAAGATCAGATGACATCTTAAAAGTTGTATGATCACACCCAATCTTATGCACTCCCATATGGGTGTTGGATATGTGTCTGTTACAACTAGCAGCAGTTAAAATACGCATAACTTCTGGACGTGTAGAGCGACTGTCGTAAAGATACCAGGAGTATTTAAACTAAAGAAAGCAAGAGTATGACAAACCTTAAGAAGAAATTCACATTCCTTATATTGATCATATATGTTATGTTTGTCAGATTAAGCCTTTTGTACTGACTTTCTAATGTTCATTCATCGGTATAGAAATGATAGAAATATTGTCAAGAGAAATATAGAGGCAATGCACGAAACAATGACACGATTTGTTTATTCCAACCACTAGGCGACGACGGCGTTGGCGAGTGGAGCCAGTGGAGTGCTGCAGTATGCACAACCACCTGTGGTGAAGGCCAAAAGGGAAGCGTGGAAAGAAGCAGAAGTTGTGTTACGCCAGCCAATAATATCAGCTGTACAGCCGCACTAACAGAAACCCAAATGGGAAACTGCGGCCTGCCTAAATGCCCAGGTAAATGCGTAGCTATGTATAAATGTACCACTTTCTTGTACTGCAGTATATAAAATGTAGCAACCCTACCCAGAGAAGTAACTCCTTTCCTGTATATTCTGAGTGCTCTATGTCCACCATCACAGTATGGAAAAGCCTCACCTCTTTGACTGAAGCAGCTCTGACAGAGCGAGTTTGTATGTAAAGGTTGTTTGCATTAATAGTGTGTCTCCAAGTTAACAAAGTAATACGAGTGGAATATCAAATCCGCCTCCAATGCACTTGCTCGTATGACACATGTTCCCAAAATAAGATATTAAAAACCATGTCCATTTTATGCTGTAAATCAATCGCCAACTGTTTTCATTAACTACATTTTGAAATACATGGAATATCCTGATAACATTATGGATTAATTTCTAAAGGCATCAGATAGATCATTACTTTGCTATATTTGACGCACACTGTACAGGTGAGACATGGGCAGCACCAAAACGAATGGTAGTGAATAAACAACACTGGTTTCTTTTTCTACGTGCAAAACAGAAACATCCCTTATTTCACAATCCGCAGCAAATAGTCGGATGAACATAATATCAGCATTTGCTACACAATTGTCACATTTGTTTTTGATAATATATGGATTGCTAGCATATCACTGTGTTGACCATGTTGATACTTTGCAGTTGATGGAGGGCTGTCAAACTGGACATCGTGGTCAATCGTACCCTGCCCTCTCACATGTGGAGTAGATGCCATGACAAATCAGAGCAGACGTAGGGATTGTAACAACCCTGCTCCAGAAGCCGGTGGCAAGAACTGCACAGGTCCACTGATTGAAAGCAGTCAGACACACTGCAATGTCCCTCCATGTAGTGGTATGTGAGGGCCAATTTGTCATTCAGTTTATACTTCTGTAGTGTACATGTACAACTTTCAGTTTAATTATTGGAAAACGAAACTTTGCCTTTCTGGTCATATGTCGAACCACAAAGATCAGATGACATCTTAAGAGTTGTATGATCACACCCAATCTTATGCACTCCCATATGGGTGTTGGATATGTGTCTGTTACAACTAGCAGCAGTTAAAATACGCATGACTTCTGGACGTGTAGAGCGACTGTCGTAAAGATACCAGGAGTATTTAAACTAAAGATAGCGAGAGTATGACAAACCTTAAGAAGAAATTCACATTCCTTATATTGATCATATATGTTATGTTTGTCAGATTAAGCCTTTTGTACTGACTTTCTAATGTTCATTCATCGGTATAGAAATGATAGAAATATTGTCAAGAGAAATATAGAGGCAATGCACGAAACAATGACACGATTTGTTTATTCCAACCACTAGGCGACGACGGCGTTGGCGAGTGGAGCCAGTGGGGTGCTGCAGTATGCACAACCACCTGTGGTGAAGGCCAAAAGGGAAGCGTGGAAAGAAGCAGAAGTTGTGTTACGCCAGCCAATAATATCAGCTGTACAGCCGCACTAACAGAAACCCAAATTGGAAACTGCGGCCTGCCTAAATGCCCAGGTAAATGTGTAGCTATGTATAAATGTACCACTTTCTTGTACTGCAGTATATAAAATGTAGCAACCCTACCCAGAGAAGTAACTCCTTTCCTGTATATTCTGAGTGCTCTATGTCCACCATCACAGTATGGAAAAGCCTCACCTCTTTGACTGAAGCAGCTCTGACAGAGCGAGTTTGTATGTAAAGGTTGTTTGCATTAATAGTGTGTCTCCAAGTTAACAAAGTAATACGAGTGGAATATCAAATCCGCCTCCAATGCACTTGCTCGTATGACACATGTTCCCAAAATAAGATATTAAAAACCATGTCCATTTTATGCTGTAAATCAATCGCCAACTGTTTTCATTAACTACATTTTGAAATACATGGAATATCCTGATAACATTATGGATTAATTTCTAAAGGCATCAGATAGATCATTACTTTGCTATATTTGACGCACACTGTACAGGTGAGACATGGGCAGCACCAAAACGAATGGTAGTGAATAAACAAGACTGGTTTCTTTTTCTACGTGCAAAACAGAAACATCCCTTATTTCACAATCCGCAGCAAATAGTCGGATGAACATAATATCAGCATTTGCTACACAATTGTCACATTTGTTTTTGATAATATATGGATTGCTAGCATATCACTGTGTTGACCATGTTGATACTTTGCAGTTGATGGAGGGCTGTCAAACTGGACATCGTGGTCAATCGTACCCTGCCCTCTCACATGTGGAGTAGATGCCATGACAAATCAGAGCAGACGTAGGGATTGTAACAACCCCGCTCCAGAAGCCGGTGGCAAGAACTGCACAGGTCCACTGATTGAAAGCAGTCAGACACACTGCAATGTCCCTCCATGTAGTGGTATGTGAGGGCCAATTTGTCATTCAGTTTATACTTCTGTAGTGTACATGTACAACTTTCAGTTTAATTATTGGAAAACGAAACTTTGCCTTTCTGGTCATATGTCGAACCACAAAGATCAGATGACATCTTAAGAGTTGTATGATCACACCCAATCTTATGCACTCCCATATGGGTGTTGGATATGTGTCTGTTACAACTAGCAGCAGTTAAAATACGCATGACTTCTGGACGTGTAGAGCGACTGTCGTAAAGATACCAGGAGTATTTAAACTAAAGAAAGCAAGAGTATGACAAACCTTAAGAAGAAATTCACATTCCTTATATTGATCATATATGTTATGTTTGTCAGATTAAGCCTTTTGTACTGACTTTCTAATGTTCATTCATCGGTATAGAAATGATAGAAATATTGTCAAGAGAAATATAGAGGCAATTCACGAAACAATGACACGATTTGTTTATTCCAACCACTAGGCGACGACGGCGTTGGCGAGTGGAGCCAGTGGAGTGCTGCAGTATGCACAACCACCTGTGGTGAAGGCCAAAAGGGAAGCGTGGAAAGAAGCAGAAGTTGTGTTACGCCAGCCAATAATATCAGCTGTACAGCCGCACTAACAGAAACCCAAATGGGAAACTGTGGCCTGCCTAAATGCCCAGGTAAATGTGTAGCTATGTATAAATGTACCACTTTCTTGTACTGCAGTATATAAAATGTAGCAACCCTACCCAGAGAAGTAACTCCTTTCCTGTATATTCTGAGTGCTCTATGTCCACCATCACAGTATGGAAAAGCCTCACCTCTTTGACTGAAGCAGCTCTGACAGAGCGAGTTTGTATGTAAAGGTTGTTTGCATTAATAGTGTCTCCAAGTTAACAAAGTAATACGAGTGGAATATCAAATCCGCCTCCAATGCACTTGCTCGTATGACACATGTTCCCAAAATAAGATATTAAAAACCATGTCCATTTTATGCTGTAAATCAATCGCCAACTGTTTTCATTAACTACATTTTGAAATACATGGAATATCCTGATAACATTATGGATTAATTTCTAAAGGCATCAGATAGATCATCACTTTGCTATATTTGACGCACACTGCACAGGTGAGACATGGGCAGCACCAAAACGAATGGTAGTGAATAAACAACACTGGTTTCTTTTTCTACGTGCAAAACAGAAACATCCCTTATTTCACAATCCGCAGCAAATAGTCGGATGAACATAATATCAGCATTTGCTACACAATTGTCACATTTGTTTTTGATAATATATGGATTGCTAGCATATCACTGTGTTGACCATGTTGATACTTTGCAGTTGATGGAGGGCTGTCAAACTGGACATCGTGGTCAATCGTACCCTGCCCTCTCACATGTGGAGTAGATGCCATGACAAATCAGAGCAGACGTAGGGATTGTAACAACCCCGCTCCAGAAGCCGGTGGCAAGAACTGCACAGGTCCACTGATTGAAAGCAGTCAGACACACTGCAATGTCCCTCCATGTAGTGGTATGTGAGGGCCAATTTGTCATTCAGTTTATACTTCTGTAGTGTGCATGTACAACTTTCAGTTTAATTATTGGAGGACGAAACTTTGCCTTTCTTGTCATATGTCGAACCACAAAGATCAGATGACATCTTAAGAGTTGTATGATCACACCCAATCTTATGCACTCTCATATGGGTGTTGGATATGTGTCTGTTACAACTAGCAGCAGTTAAAATACGCATAACTTCTGGACGTGTAGAGAGACTGTCGTAAAGATACCAGGAGTATTTAAACTAAAGAAAGCAAGAGTATGACAAACCTTAAGAAGAAATTCACATTCCTTATATTGATCATATATGTTATGTTTGTCAGATTAAGCCTTTTGTACTGACTTTCTAATGTTCATTCATCGATATAGATATGATAGAAATATTGTCAAGAGAAATATAGAGGAAACGCACGAAACAATGACACGATTTGTTTATTCCAACCACTAGGCGACGACGGCGTTGGCGAGTGGAGCCAGTGGAGTGCTACAGTATGCACAACCACCTGTGGTGAAGGCCAAAAGGGAAGCGTGGAAAGAAGCAGAAGTTGTGTTACGCCAGCCAATAATATCAGCTGTACAGCCGCACTAACAGAAACCCAAATTGGAAACTGCGGCCTGCCTAAATGCCCAGGTAAATGTGTAGCTATGTATAAATGTACCACTTTCTTGTACTGCAGTATATAGAATGTAGCAACCCTACCCAGAGAAGTAACTCCTTTCCTGTATATTCTGAGTGCTCTATGTCCACCATCACAGTATGGAAAAGCCTCACCTCTTTGACTGAAGCAGCTCTGACAGAGCGAGTTTGTATGTAAAGGTTGTTTGCATTAATAGTGTGTCTCCAAGTTAACAAAGTAATACGAGTGGAATATCAAATCCGCCTCCAATGCACTTGCTCGTATGACACATGTTCCCAAAATAAGATATTAAAAACCATGTCCATTTTATGCTGTAAATCAATCGCCAACTGTTTTCATTAACTACATTTTGAAATACATGGAATATCCTGATAACATTATGGATTAATTTCTAAAGGCATCAGATAGATCATCACTTTGCTATATTTGACGCACACTGTACAGGTGAGACATGGTCAGCACCAAAACGAATGGTAGTGAATAAACAACACTGGTTTCTTTTTCTACGTGCAAAACAGAAACATCCCTTATTTCACAATCCGCAGCAAATAGTCGGATGAACATAATATCAGCATTTGCTACACAATTGTCACATTTGTTTTTGATAATATATGGATTGCTAGCATATCACTGTGTTGACCATGTTGATACTTTGCAGTTGATGGAGGGCTGTCAAACTGGACATCGTGGTCAATCGTACCCTGCCCTCTCACATGTGGAGTAGATGCCATGACAAATCAGAGCAGACGTAGGGATTGTAACAACCCCGTTCCGGAAGCTGGTGGCAAGAACTGCACAGGTCCACTGATGGAAAGCAGTCAGACACACTGCAATGTCCCTCCATGTAGTGGTATGTGAAGGCCAATTTGTCATTCAGTTTATACTTCTGTAGTGTACATGTACAAATTTCAGTTTAATTATTGGAGGACGAAACTTTGCCTTTCTGGTCATATGTCGAACCACAAAGATCAGATGACATCTTAAGACTTGTATGATCACACCCAATCTTATGCACTCTCATATGGGTGTTGGATATGTGTCTGTTACAACTAGCAGCAGTTAAAATACGCATAACTTCTGGACGTGTAGAGAGACTGTCGTAAAGATACCAGGAGTATTTAAACTAAAGAAAGCAAGAGTATGACAAACCTTAAGAAGAAATTCACATTCCTTATATTGATCATATATGTTATGTTTGTCAGATTAAGCCTTTTGTACTGACTTTCTAATGTTCATTCATCGATATAGATATGATAGAAATATTGTCAAGAGAAATATAGAGGCAATGCACGAAACAATGACACGATTTGTTTATTCCAACCACTAGGCGACGACGGCGTTGGCGAGTGGAGCCAGTGGAGTGCTACAGTATGCACAACCACCTGTGGTGAAGGCCAAAAGGGAAGCGTGGAAAGAAGCAGAAGTTGTGTTACGCCAGCCAATAATATCAGCTGTACAGCCGCACTAACAGAAACCCAAATGGGAAACTGCGGCCTGCCTAAATGCCCAGGTAAATGTGTAGCTATGTATAAATGTACCACTTTCTTGTACTGCAGTATATAGAATGTAGCAACCCTACCCAGAGAAGTAACTCCTTTCCTGTATATTCTGAGTGCTCTATGTCCACCATCACAGTATGGAAAAGCCTCACCTCTTTGACTGAAGCAGCTCTGACAGAGCAAGTTTGTATGTTAAGGTTGTTTGCATTAATAGTGTGTCTCCAAGTTAACAAAGTAATACGAGTGGAATATCAAATCCGCCTCCAATGCACTTGCTCGTATGACACATGTTCCCAAAATAAGATATTAAAAACCATGTCCATTTTATGCTGTAAATCAATCGCCAACTGTTTTCATTAACTACATTTTGAAATACATGGAATATCCTGATAACATTATGGATTAATTTCTAAAGGCATCAGATAGATCATCACTTTGCTATATTTGTTGCACACTGTAAAGGTGAGACATGGGCAGCACCAAAACGAATGGTAGTGAATAAACAAGACTGGTTTCTTTTTCTACGTGCAAAACAGAAACATCCCTTATTTCACAATCCGCAGCAAAAAGTCGGATGAACATAATATCAGCATTTGCTACACAATTGTCACATTTGTTTTTGATAATATATGGATTGCTAGCATATCACTGTGTTGACCATGTTGATACTTTGCAGTTGATGGAGGGCTGTCAAACTGGACATCGTGGTCAATCGTACCCTGCCCTCTCACATGTGGAGTAGATGCCATGACAAATCAGAGCAGACGTAGGGATTGTAACAACCCCGCTCCGGAAGCCGGTGGCAAGAACTGCACAGGTCCACTGATGGAAAGCAGTCAGACACACTGCAATGTCCCTCCATGTAGTGGTATGTGAAGGCCAATTTGTCATTCAGTTTATACTTCTGTAGTGTACATGTACAACTTTCAGTTTAATTATTGGAGGACGAAACTTTGCCTTTCTGGTCATATGTCGAACCACAAAGATCAGATGACATCTTAAGAGTTGTATGATCACACCCAATCGTATGCACTCTCATATGGCTGTTGCAAATGTGTCTGTTACAACTAGCAGCAGTTAAAATACGCATAACTTCTGGACGTGTAGAGCGACTGTTGTAAAGATACCAGGGGTATTTAAACTAAAGAAAGCAAGAGTATGACAAACCTTAAGAAGAAATTCAGAATCCTTATATTGATCATATATGTTATGTTTGTCAGATTAAGCCTTTTGTACTGACTTTCTAATGTTCATTCATCGGTATAGAAATGATAGAAATATTGTCAAGAGAAATATAGAGGCAATGCACGAAACAGTGACACGATTTGTTTATTCCAACCACTAGGCGACGACGGCGTTGGCGAGTGGAGCCAGTGGAGTGCTGCAGTATGCACAACCACCTGTGGTGAAGGCCAAAAGGGAAGCGTGGAAAGAAGCAGAAGTTGTGTTACGCCAGCCAATAATATCAGCTGTACAGCCGCACTAACAGAAACCCAAATGGGAAACTGCGGCCTGCCTAAATGCCCAGGTAAATGTGTAGCTATGTATAAATGTACCACTTTCTTGTACTGCAGTATATAGAATGTAGCAACCCTACCCAGAGAAGTAACTCCTTTCCTGTATATTCTGAGTGCTCTATGTCCACCATCACAGTATGGAAAAGCCTTACCTCTTTGACTGAAGCAGCTTTGACAGAGCGAGTTTGTATGTAAAGGTTGTTTGCATTAATAGTGTGTCTCCTAGTTTACAAAGTAATACGCGTGGAATATCAAATCCGCCTCCAATGCACTTGCTCGTATGACACATGTTCCCAAAATAAGATATTAAAAACCATGTCCATTTTATGCTGTAAATCAATCGATAACTGTTTTCATTAACTACATTTTGAAATACATGGAATATCCTGATAACATTATGGATTAATTTCTAAAGGCATCAGATAGATCATCACTTTGCTATATTTGACGCACACTGTACAGGTGAGACATGGGCAGCACCAAAACGAATGGTAGTGAATAAACAACACTGGTTTCTTTTTCTACGTGCAAAACAGAAACATCCCTTATTTCACAATCCGCAGCAAATAGTCGGATGAACATAATATCAGCATTTGCTACACAATTGTCACATTTGTTTTTGTTAATATATGGATTGCTAGCATATCACTGTGTTGATCATGTTGATACTTTGCAGTTGATGGAGGGCTGTCAAACTGGACATCGTGGTCAATCGTACCCTGCCCTCTCACATGTGGAGTAGATGCCATGACAAATCAGAGCAGACGTAGGGATTGTAACAACCCCGCTCCGGAAGCCGGTGCCAAGAACTGCACAGGTCCACTGATTGAAAGCAGTCAGACACACTGCAATGTCCCTCCATGTAGTGGTATGTGAAGGCCAATTTGTCATTCAGTTTATACTTCTGTAGTGTACATGTACAACTTTCAGTTTAATTATTGGAGGACGAAACTTTGCCTTTCTGGTCATATGTCGAACCACAAAGATCAGATGACATCTTAAGACTTGTATGATCACACCCAATCGTATGCACTCTCATATGGGTGTTGGATATGTGTCTGTTACAACTAGCAGCAGTTAAAATACGCATAACTACTGGACGTGTAGAGCGACTGTTGTAAAGATACCAGGAGTATTTAAACCAAAGAAAGCAAGAGTATGACAAACCTTAAGAAGAAATTCACATTCCTTTTATTGATCATATATGTTATGTTTGTCAGATTAAGCCTTTTGTACTGACTTTCTAATGTTCATTCATCGGTATAGAAATGATAGAAATATTGTCAAGAGAAATATAGAGGCAATGCACGAAACAATGACACGATTTGTTTATTCCAACCACTAGGCGACGACGGCGTTGGCGAGTGGAGCCAGTGGAGTGCTGCAGTATGCACAACCACCTGTGGTGAAGGCCAAAAGGGAAGCGTGGAAAGAAGCAGAAGTTGTGTTACGCCAGCCAATAATATCAGCTGTACAGCCGCACTAACAGAAACCCAAATTGGAAACTGTGGCCTGCCTAAATGCCCAGGTAAATGTGTAGCTATGTATAAATGTACCACTTTCTTGTACTGCAGTATATAAAATGTAGCAACCCTACCCAGAGAAGTAACTCCTTTCCTGTATATTCTGAGTGCTCTATGTCCACCATCACAGTATGGAAAAGCCTCACCTCTTTGACTTAAGCATCTCTGACAGAGCGAGTTTGTATGTAAAGGTTGTTTGCATTAATAGTGTGTCTCCAAGTTAACAAAGTGATACGAGTGGAATATCAAATCCGCCTCCAATGCACTTGCTCGTATGACACATGTTCCCAAAATAAGATATTAAAAACCATGTCCATTTTATGCTGTAAATCAATCGCCAACTGTTTTCATTAACTACATTTTGAAATACATGGAATATCCTGATAACATTATGGATTAATTTCTAAAGGCATCAGATAGATCATCACTTTGCTATATTTGTTGCACACTGTAAAGGTGAGACATGGGCAGCACCAAAACGAATGGTAGTGAATAAACAACACTGGTTTCTTTTTCTACGTGCAAAACAGAAACATCCCTTATTTCACAATCCGCAGCAAATAGTCGGATGAACATAATATCAGCATTTGCTACATAATTGTCACATTTGTTTTTGATAATATATGGATTGCTAGCATATCACTGTGTTGACCATGTTGATACTTTGCAGTTGATGGAGGGCTGTCAAACTGGACATCGTGGTCAATCGTACCCTGCCCTCTCACATGTGGAGTAGATGCCATGACAAATCAGAGCAGACGTAGGGATTGTAACAACCCCGCTCCGGAAGCCGGTGGCAAGAACTGCACAGGTCCACTGATGGAAAGCAGTCAGACACACTGCAATGTCCCTCCATGTAGTGGTATGTGAAGGCAAATTTGTCATTCAGTTTATACTTCTGTAGTGTACATGTACAACTTTCAGTTTAATTATTGGAGGACGAAACTTTGCCTTTCTGGTCATATGTCGAACCACAAAGATCAGATGACATCTTAAGAGTTGTATGATCACACTCAATCGTATGCACTCTCATATGGGTGTTGGATATGTGTCTGTTACAACTAGCAGCAGTTAAAATACGCATAACTTCTGGACGTGTAGAGCGACTGTCGTAAAGATACCAGGAGTATTTAAACTAAAGAAAGCAAGAGTATGACAAACCTTAAGAAGAAATTCACATTCCTTATATTGATCATATATGTTATGTTTGTCAGATTAAGCCTTTTGTACTGACTTTCTAATGTTCATTCATCGGTATAGAAATGATAGAAATATTGTCAAGAGAAATATAGAGGCAATGCACGAAACAATGACACGATTTGTTTATTCCAACCACTAGGCGACGACGGCGTTGGCGAGTGGAGCCAGTGGAGTGCTGCAGTATGCACAACCACCTGTGGTGAAGGCCAAAAGGGAAGCGTGGAAAGAAGCAGAAGTTGTGTTACGCCAGCCAATAATATCAGCTGTACAGCCGCACTAACAGAAACCCAAATGGGAAACTGCGGCCTGCCTAAATGCCCAGGTAAATGTGTAGCTATGTATAAATGTACCACTTTCTTGTACTGCAGTATATAGAATGTAGCAACCCTACCCAGAGAAGTAACTCCTTTCCTGTATATTCTGAGTGCTCTATGTCCACCATCACAGTATGGAAAAGCCTTACCTCTTTGACTGAAGCAGCTTTGACAGAGCGAGTTTGTATGTAAAGGTTGTTTGCATTAATAGTGTGTCTCCTAGTTTACAAAGTAATACGCGTGGAATATCAAATCCGCCTCCAATGCACTTGCTCGTATGACACATGTTCCCAAAATAAGATATTAAAAACCATGTCCATTTTATGCTGTAAATCAATCGATAACTGTTTTCATTAACTACATTTTGAAATACATGGAATATCCTGATAACATTATGGATTAATTTCTAAAGGCATCAGATAGATCATCACTTTGCTATATTTGACGCACACTGTACAGGTGAGACATGGGCAGCACCAAAACGAATGGTAGTGAATAAACAACACTGGTTTCTTTTTCTACGTGCAAAACAGAAACATCCCTTATTTCACAATCCGCAGCAAATAGTCGGATGAACATAATATCAGCATTTGCTACACAATTGTCACATTTGTTTTTGTTAATATATGGATTGCTAGCATATCACTGTGTTGATCATGTTGATACTTTGCAGTTGATGGAGGGCTGTCAAACTGGACATCGTGGTCAATCGTACCCTGCCCTCTCACATGTGGAGTAGATGCCATGACAAATCAGAGCAGACGTAGGGATTGTAACAACCCCGCTCCGGAAGCCGGTGCCAAGAACTGCACAGGTCCACTGATTGAAAGCAGTCAGACACACTGCAATGTCCCTCCATGTAGTGGTATGTGAAGGCCAATTTGTCATTCAGTTTATACTTCTGTAGTGTACATGTACAACTTTCAGTTTAATTATTGGAGGACGAAACTTTGCCTTTCTGGTCATATGTCGAACCACAAAGATCAGATGACATCTTAAGACTTGTATGATCACACCCAATCGTATGCACTCTCATATGGGTGTTGGATATGTGTCTGTTACAACTAGCAGCAGTTAAAATACGCATAACTACTGGACGTGTAGAGCGACTGTTGTAAAGATACCAGGAGTATTTAAACCAAAGAAAGCAAGAGTATGACAAACCTTAAGAAGAAATTCACATTCCTTTTATTGATCATATATGTTATGTTTGTCAGATTAAGCCTTTTGTACTGACTTTCTAATGTTCATTCATCGGTATAGAAATGATAGAAATATTGTCAAGAGAAATATAGAGGCAATGCACGAAACAATGACACGATTTGTTTATTCCAACCACTAGGCGACGACGGCGTTGGCGAGTGGAGCCAGTGGAGTGCTGCAGTATGCACAACCACCTGTGGTGAAGGCCAAAAGGGAAGCGTGGAAAGAAGCAGAAGTTGTGTTACGCCAGCCAATAATATCAGCTGTACAGCCGCACTAACAGAAACCCAAATTGGAAACTGTGGCCTGCCTAAATGCCCAGGTAAATGTGTAGCTATGTATAAATGTACCACTTTCTTGTACTGCAGTATATAAAATGTAGCAACCCTACCCAGAGAAGTAACTCCTTTCCTGTATATTCTGAGTGCTCTATGTCCACCATCACAGTATGGAAAAGCCTCACCTCTTTGACTTAAGCATCTCTGACAGAGCGAGTTTGTATGTAAAGGTTGTTTGCATTAATAGTGTGTCTCCAAGTTAACAAAGTGATACGAGTGGAATATCAAATCCGCCTCCAATGCACTTGCTCGTATGAGACATGTTCCCAAAATAAGATATTAAAAACCATGTCCATTTTATGCTGTAAATCAATCGCCAACTGTTTTCATTAGCTACATGTTGAAATACATGGAATATCCTGATAACATTATGGATCAATTTCTAAAGGCATCAGATAGATCATCACTTTGCTATAATTGACGCACACTGTACAGGTGAGACATGGGCAGCACCAAAACGAATGGTAGTGAATAAACAACACTGGTTTCTTTTTCTACGTGCAAAACAGAAACATCCCTTATTTCACAATCCGCAGCAAATTGTCGGATGAACATAATATCAGCATTTGCTACACAATTGTCAAATTTTTTTTTGATAATATATGGATTGCTAGCATATCACTGTGTTGACCATGTTGATACTTTGCAGTTGATGGAGGGCTGTCAAACTGGACATCGTGGTCAATCGTACCCTGCCCTCTCACATGTGGAGTAGATGCCATGACAAATCAGAGCAGACGTAGGGATTGTAACAACCCCGCTCCGGAAGCCGGTGGCAAGAACTGCACAGGTCCACTGATTGAAAGCAGTCAGACACACTGCAATGTCCCTCCATGTAGTGGTATGTGAAGGCCAATTTGTCATTCAGTTTATAATTATTCTGTAGTGTACATGTACAACTTTCAGTTTAATTATTGGAAGACGAAACTTTGCCTTTCTGGTCATATGTCGAACCACAAAGATCAGATGACATCTTAAGAGTTGTATGATCACACCCAATCGTATGCACTCTCATATGGGTGTTGGATATGTGTCTGTTACAACTAGCAGCAGTTAAAATACGCATAACTTCTGGACGTGTAGAGCGACTGTTGTAAAGATACCAGGAGTATTTAAACCAAAGAAAGCAAGAGTATGACAAACCTTAAGAAGAAATTCACATTCCTTTTATTGATCATATATGTTATGTTTGTCAGATTAAGCCTTTTGTACTGACTTTCTAATGTTCATTCATCGGTATAGAAATGATAGAAATATTGTCAAGAGAAATATAGAGGCAATGCACGAAACAATGACACGATTTGTTTATTCCAACCACTAGGCGACGACGGCGTTGGCGAGTGGAGCCAGTGGAGTGCTGCAGTATGCACAACCACCTGTGGTGAAGGCCAAAAGGGAAGCGTGGAAAGAAGCAGAAGTTGTGTTACGCCAGCCAATAATATCAGCTGTACAGCCGCACTAACAGAAACCCAAATTGGAAACTGCGGCCTGCCTAAATGCCCAGGTAAATGTGTAGCTATGTATAAATGTACCACTTTCTTGTACTGCAGTATATAAAATGTAGCAACCCTACCCAGAGAAGTAACTCCTTTCCTGTATATTCTGAGTGCTCTATGTCCACCATCACAGTATGGAAAAGCCTCACCTCTTTGACTTAAGCAGCTCTGACAGAGCGAGTTTGTATGTAAAAGTTGTTTGCATTAATAGTGTGTCTCCAAGTTAACAAAGTGATACGAGTGGAATATCAAATCCGCCTCCAATGCACTTGCTCGTATGAGACATGTTCCCAAAATAAGATATTAAAAACCATGTCCATTTTATGCTGTAAATCAATCGCCAACTGTTTTCATTAGCTACATGTTGAAATACATGGAATATCCTGATAACATTATGGATCAATTTCTAAAGGCATCAGATAGATCATCACTTTGCTATAATTGACGCACACTGTACAGGTGAGACATGGGCAGCACCAAAACGAATGGTAGTGAATAAACAACACTGGTTTCTTTTTCTACGTGCAAAACAGAAACATCCCTTATTTCACAATCCGCAGCAAATAGTCGGATGAACATAATATCAGCATTTGCTACACAATTGTCACATTTGTTTTTGTTAAATATATGGATTGCTAGCATATCACTGTGTTGATCATGTTGATACTTTGCAGTTGATGGAGGGCTGTCAAACTGGACATCGTGGTCAATCGTACCCTGCCCTCTCACATGTGGAGTAGATGCCATGACAAATCAGAGCAGACGTAGGGATTGTAACAACCCCGCTCCGGAAGCCGGTGGCAAGAACTGCACAGGTCCACTGATTGAAAGCAGTCAGACACACTGCAATGTCCCTCCATGTAGTGGTATGTGAAGGCCAATTTGTCATTCAGTTTATACTTCTGTAGTGTACATGTACAACTTTCAGTTTAATTATTGGAAGACGAAACTTTGCCTTTCTGGTCATATGTCGAACCACAAAGATCAGATGACATCTTAAGAGTTGTATGATCACACTCAATCGTATGCACTCTCATATGGGTGTTGGATATGTGTCTGTTACAACTAGCAGCAGTTAAAATACGCATAACTTCTGGACGTGTAGAGCGACTGTTGTAAAGATACCAGGAGTATTTAAACCAAAGAAAGCAAGAGTATGACAAACCTTAAGAAGAAATTCACATTCCTTTTATTGATCATATATGTTATGTTTGTCAGATTAAGCCTTTTGTACTGACTTTCTAATGTTCATTCATCGATATAGAAATGATAGAAATATTGTCAAGAGAAATATAGAGGCAATGCACGAAACAATGACACGATTTGTTTATTCCAACCACTAGGCGACGACGGCGTTGGCGAGTGGAGCCAGTGGAGTGCTGCAGTATGCACAACCACCTGTGGTGAAGGCCAAAAGGGAAGCGTGGAAAGAAGCAGAAGTTGTGTTACGCCAGCCAATAATATCAGCTGTACAGCCGCACTAACAGAAACCCAAATTGGAAACTGTGGCCTGCCTAAATGCCCAGGTAAATGTGTAGCTATGTATAAATGTACCACTTTCTTGTACTGCAGTATATAAAATGTAGCAACCCTACCCAGAGAAGTAACTCCTTTCCTGTATATTCTGAGTGCTCTATGTCCACCATCACAGTATGGAAAAGCCTCACCTCTTTGACTTAAGCAGCTCTGACAGAGCGAGTTTGTATGTAAAGGTTGTTTGCATTAATAGTGTGTCTCCAAGTTAACAAAGTGATACGAGTGGAATATCAAATCCGCCTCCAATGCACTTGCTCGTATGAGACATGTTCCCAAAATAAGATATTAAAAACCATGTCCATTTTATGCTGTAAATCAATCGCCAACTGTTTTCATTAGCTACATGTTGAAATACATGGAATATCCTGATAACATTATGGATCAATTTCTAAAGGCATCAGATAGATCATCACTTTGCTATAATTGACGCACACTGTACAGGTGAGACATGGGCAGCACCAAAACGAATGGTAGTGAATAAACAACACTGGTTTCTTTTTCAACGTGGAAAACAGAAACATCCCTTATTTCACAATCCGCAGCAAATTGTCGGATGAACATAATATCAGCATTTGCTACACAATTGTCACATTTGTTTTTGATAATATATGGATTGCTAGCATATCACTGTGTTGACCATGTTGATACTTTGCAGTTGATGGAGGGCTGTCAAACTGGACATCGTGGTCAATCGTACCCTGCCCTCTCACATGTGGAGTAGATGCCATGACAAATCAGAGCAGACGTAGGGATTGTAACAACCCCGCTCCGGAAGCCGGTGGCAAGAACTGCACAGGTCCACTGATTGAAAGCAGTCAGACACACTGCAATGTCCCTCCATGTAGTGGTATGTGAAGGCCAATTTGTCATTCAGTTTATAATTATTCTGTAGTGTACATGTACAACTTTCAGTTTAATTATTGGAAGACGAAACTTTGCCTTTCTGGTCATATGTCGAACCACAAAGATCAGATGACATCTTAAGAGTTGTATGATCACACCCAATCGTATGCACTCTCATATGGGTGTTGGATATGTGTCTGTTACAACTAGCAGCAGTTAAAATACGCATAACTTCTGGACGTGTAGAGCGACTGTTGTAAAAATACCAGGAGTATTTAAACCAAAGAAAGCAAGAGTATGACAAACCTTAAGAAGAAATTCACATTCCTTTTATTGATCATATATGTTATGTTTGTCAGATTAAGCCTTTTGTACTGACTTTCTAATGTTCATTCATCGGTATAGAAATGATAGAAATATTGTCAAGAGAAATATAGAGGCAATGCACGAAACAATGACACGATTTGTTTATTCCAACCACTAGGCGACGACGGCGTTGGCGAGTGGAGCCAGTGGAGTGCTGCAGTATGCACAACCACCTGTGGTGAAGGCCAAAAGGGAAGCGTGGAAAGAAGCAGAAGTTGTGTTACGCCAGCCAATAATATCAGCTGTACAGCCGCACTAACAGAAACCCAAATTGGAAACTGTGGCCTGCCTAAATGCCCAGGTAAATGTGTAGCTATGTATAAATGTACCACTTTCTTGTACTGCAGTATATAAAATGTAGCAACCCTACCCAGAGAAGTAACTCCTTTCCTGTATATTCTGAGTGCTCTATGTCCACCATCACAGTATGGAAAAGCCTCACCTCTTTGACTTAAGCAGCTCTGACAGAGCGAGTTTGTATGTAAAAGTTGTTTGCATTAATAGTGTGTCTCCAAGTTAACAAAGTGATACGAGTGGAATATCAAATCCGCCTCCAATGCACTTGCTCGTATGAGACATGTTCCCAAAATAAGATATTAAAAACCATGTCCATTTTATGCTGTAAATCAATCGCCAACTGTTTTCATTAGCTACATGTTGAAATACATGGAATATCCTGATAACATTATGGATCAATTTCTAAAGGCATCAGATAGATCATCACTTTGCTATAATTGACGCACACTGTACAGGTGAGACATGGGCAGCACCAAAACGAATGGTAGTGAATAAACAACACTGGTTTCTTTTTCTACGTGCAAAACAGAAACATCCCTTATTTCACAATCCGCAGCAAATAGTCGGATGAACATAATATCAGCATTTGCTACACAATTGTCACATTTGTTTTTGTTAATATATGGATTGCTAGCATATCACTGTGTTGATCATGTTGATACTTTGCAGTTGATGGAGGGCTGTCAAACTGGACATCGTGGTCAATCGTACCCTGCCCTCTCACATGTGGAGTAGATGCCATGACAAATCAGAGCAGACGTAGGGATTGTAACAACCCCGCTCCGGAAGCCGGTGGCAAGAACTGCACAGGTCCACTGATGGAAAGCAGTCAGACACACTGCAATGTCCCTCCATGTAGTGGTATGTGAAGGCCAATTTGTCATTCAGTTTATACTTCTGTAGTGTACATGTACAACTTTCAGTTTAATTATTGGAGGACGAAACTTTGCCTTTCTGGTCATATGTCGAACCACAAAGATCAGATGACATCTTAAGAGTTGTATGGTCACACCCAATCGTCTGCACTCTCATATGGGTATTGGATATGTGTCTGTTACAACTAGCAACAGTTAAAATACGCATAACTTCTGGACGTGTAGAGCGACTGTTGTAAAGATACCAGGAGTATTTAAACCAAAGAAAGCAAGAGTATGACAAACCTTAAGAAGAAATTCACATTCCTTATATTGATCATATATGTTATGTTTGTCAGATTAAGCCTTTTGTACTGACTTTCTAATGTTCATTCATCGATATAGAAATGATAGAAATATTGTCAAGAGAAATATAGAGGCAATGCACGAAACAATGACACGATTTGTTTATTCCAACCACTAGGCGACGACGGCGTTGGCGAGTGGAGCCAGTGGAGTGCTGCAGTATGCACAACCACCTGTGGTGAAGGCCAAAAGGGAAGCGTGGAAAGAAGCAGAAGTTGTGTTACGCCAGCCAATAATATCAGCTGTACAGCCGCACTAACAGAAACCCAAATTGGAAACTGTGGCCTGCCTAAATGCCCAGGTAAATGTGTAGCTATGTATAAATGTACCACTTTCTTGTACTGCAGTATATAAAATGTAGCAACCCTACCCAGAGAAGTAACTCCTTTCCTGTATATTCTGAGTGCTCTATGTCCACCATCACAGTATGGAAAAGCCTCACCTCTTTGACTTAAGCAGCTCTGACAGAGCGAGTTTGTATGTAAAAGTTGTTTGCATTAATAGTGTGTCTCCAAGTTAACAAAGTGATACGAGTGGAATATCAAATCCGCCTCCAATCCACTTGCTCGTATGAGACATGTTCCCAAAATAAGATATTAAAAACCATGTCCATTTTATGCTGTAAATCAATCGCCAACTGTTTTCATTAGCTACATGTTGAAATACATGGAATATCCTGATAACATTATGGATCAATTTCTAAAGGCATCAGATAGATCATCACTTTGCTATAATTGACGCACACTGTACAGGTGAGACATGGGCAGCACCAAAACGAATGGTAGTGAATAAACAACACTGGTTTCTTTTTCTACGTGCAAAACAGAAACATCCCTTATTTCACAATCCGCAGCAAATTGTCGGATGAACATAATATCAGCATTTGCTACACAATTGTCACATTTGTTTTTGATAATATATGGATTGCTAGCATATCAGTGTGTTGACCATGTTGATACTTTGCAGTTGATGGAGGGCTGTCAAACTGGACATCGTGGTCAATCGTACCCTGCCCTCTCACATGTGGAGTAGATGCCATGACAAATCAGAGCAGACGTAGGGATTGTAACAACCCCGCTCCGGAAGCCGGTGGCAAGAACTGCACAGGTCCACTGATGGAAAGCAGTCAGACACACTGCAATGTCCCTCCATGTAGTGGTATGTGAAGGCCAATTTGTCATTCAGTTTATACTTCTGTAGTGTACATGTACAACTTTCAGTTTAATTATTGGAAGACGAAACTTTGCCTTTCTGGTCATATGTCGAACCACAAAGATCAGATGACATCTAAAGAGTTGTATGATCACACCCAATCGTATGCACTCTCATATGGGTGTTGGATATGTGTCTGTTACAACTAGCAGCAGTTAAAATACGCATAACTTCTGGACGTGTAGAGCGACTGTTGTAAAGATACCAGGAGTATTTAAACCAAAGAAAGCAAGAGTATGACAAACCTTAAGAAGAAATTCACATTCCTTATATTGATCATATATGTTATGTTTGTCAGATTAAGCCTTTTGTACTGACTTTCTAATGTTCATTCATCGATATAGAAATGATAGAAATATTGTCAAGAGAAATATAGAGGCAATGCACGAAACAATGACACGATTTGTTTATTCCAACCACTAGGCGACGACGGCGTTGGCGAGTGGAGCCAGTGGAGTGCTGCAGTATGCACAACCACCTGTGGTGAAGGCCAAAAGGGAAGCGTGGAAAGAAGCAGAAGTTGTGTTACGCCAGCCAATAATATCAGCTGTACAGCCGCACTAACAGAAACCCAAATTGGAAACTGTGGCCTGCCTAAATGCCCAGGTAAATGTGTAGCTATGTATAAATGTACCACTTTCTTGTACTGCAGTATATAAAATGTAGCAACCCTACCCAGAGAAGTAACTCCTTTCCTGTATATTCTGAGTGCTCTATGTCCACCATCACAGTATGGAAAAGCCTCACCTCTTTGACTTAAGCAGCTCTGACAGAGCGAGTTTGTATGTAAAAGTTGTTTGCATTAATAGTGTGTCTCCAAGTTAACAAAGTGATACGAGTGGAATATCAAATCCGCCTCCAATGCACTTGCTCGTATGAGACATGTTCCCAAAATAAGATATTAAAAACCATGTCCATTTTATGCTGTAAATCAATCGCCAACTGTTTTCATTAGCTACATGTTGAAATACATGGAATATCCTGATAACATTATGGATCAATTTCTAAAGGCATCAGATAGATCATCACTTTGCTATAATTGACGCACACTGTACAGGTGAGACATGGGCAGCACCAAAACGAATGGTAGTGAATAAACAACACTGGTTTCTTTTTCTACGTGCAAAACAGAAACATCCCTTATTTCACAATCCGCAGCAAATAGTCGGATGAACATAATATCAGCATTTGCTACACAATTGTCACATTTGTTTTTGTTAATATATGGATTGCTAGCATATCACTGTGTTGATCATGTTGATACTTTGCAGTTGATGGAGGGCTGTCAAACTGGACATCGTGGTCAATCGTACCCTGCCCTCTCACATGTGGAGTAGATGCCATGACAAATCAGAGCAGACGTAGGGATTGTAACAACCCCGCTCCGGAAGCCGGTGGCAAGAACTGCACAGGTCCACTGATGGAAAGCAGTCAGACACACTGCAATGTCCCTCCATGTAGTGGTATGTGAAGGCCAATTTGTCATTCAGTTTATACTTCTGTAGTGTACATGTACAACTTTCAGTTTAATTATTGGAGGACGAAACTTTGCCTTTCTGGTCATATGTCGAACCACAAAGATCAGATGACATCTTAAGAGTTGTATGGTCACACCCAATCGTCTGCACTCTCATATGGGTATTGGATATGTGTCTGTTACAACTAGCAACAGTTAAAATACGCATAACTTCTGGACGTGTAGAGCGACTGTTGTAAAGATACCAGGAGTATTTAAACCAAAGAAAGCAAGAGTATGACAAACCTTAAGAAGAAATTCACATTCCTTATATTGATCATATATGTTATGTTTGTCAGATTAAGCCTTTTGTACTGACTTTCTAATGTTCATTCATCGATATAGAAATGATAGAAATATTGTCAAGAGAAATATAGAGGCAATGCACGAAACAATGACACGATTTGTTTATTCCAACCACTAGGCGACGACGGCGTTGGCGAGTGGAGCCAGTGGAGTGCTGCAGTATGCACAACCACCTGTGGTGAAGGCCAAAAGGGAAGCGTGGAAAGAAGCAGAAGTTGTGTTACGCCAGCCAATAATATCAGCTGTACAGCCGCACTAACAGAAACCCAAATTGGAAACTGTGGCCTGCCTAAATGCCCAGGTAAATGTGTAGCTATGTATAAATGTACCACTTTCTTGTACTGCAGTATATAAAATGTAGCAACCCTACCCAGAGAAGTAACTCCTTTCCTGTATATTCTGAGTGCTCTATGTCCACCATCACAGTATGGAAAAGCCTCACCTCTTTGACTTAAGCAGCTCTGACAGAGCGAGTTTGTATGTAAAAGTTGTTTGCATTAATAGTGTGTCTCCAAGTTAACAAAGTGATACGAGTGGAATATCAAATCCGCCTCCAATCCACTTGCTCGTATGAGACATGTTCCCAAAATAAGATATTAAAAACCATGTCCATTTTATGCTGTAAATCAATCGCCAACTGTTTTCATTAGCTACATGTTGAAATACATGGAATATCCTGATAACATTATGGATCAATTTCTAAAGGCATCAGATAGATCATCACTTTGCTATAATTGACGCACACTGTACAGGTGAGACATGGGCAGCACCAAAACGAATGGTAGTGAATAAACAACACTGGTTTCTTTTTCTACGTGCAAAACAGAAACATCCCTTATTTCACAATCCGCAGCAAATTGTCGGATGAACATAATATCAGCATTTGCTACACAATTGTCACATTTGTTTTTGATAATATATGGATTGCTAGCATATCAGTGTGTTGACCATGTTGATACTTTGCAGTTGATGGAGGGCTGTCAAACTGGACATCGTGGTCAATCGTACCCTGCCCTCTCACATGTGGAGTAGATGCCATGACAAATCAGAGCAGACGTAGGGATTGTAACAACCCCGCTCCGGAAGCCGGTGGCAAGAACTGCACAGGTCCACTGATGGAAAGCAGTCAGACACACTGCAATGTCCCTCCATGTAGTGGTATGTGAAGGCCAATTTGTCATTCAGTTTATACTTCTGTAGTGTACATGTACAACTTTCAGTTTAATTATTGGAAGACGAAACTTTGCCTTTCTGGTCATATGTCGAACCACAAAGATCAGATGACATCTAAAGAGTTGTATGATCACACCCAATCGTATGCACTCTCATATGGGTGTTGGATATGTGTCTGTTACAACTAGCAACAGTTAAAATACGCATAACTTCTGGACGTGTAGAGCGACTGTTGTAAAGATACCAGGAGTATTTAAACCAAAGAAAGCAAGAGTATGACAAACCTTAAGAAGAAATTCACATTCCTTTTATTGATCATATATGTTATGTTTGTCAGATTAAGCCTTTTGTACTGACTTTCTAATGTTCATTCATCGGTATAGAAATGATAGAAATATTGTCAAGAGAAATATAGAGGCAATGCACGAAACAATGACACGATTTGTTTATTCCAACCACTAGGCGACGACGGCGTTGGCGAGTGGAGCCAGTGGAGTGCTGCAGTATGCACAACCACCTGTGGTGAAGGCCAAAAGGGAAGCGTGGAAAGAAGCAGAAGTTGTGTTACGCCAGCCAATAATATCAGCTGTACAGCCGCACTAACAGAAACCCAAATTGGAAACTGTGGCCTGCCTAAATGCCCAGGTAAATGTGTAGCTATGTATAAATGTACCACTTTCTTGTACTGCAGTATATAAAATGTAGCAACCCTACCCAGAGAAGTAACTCCTTTCCTGTATATTCTGAGTGCTCTATGTCCACCATCACAGTATGGAAAAGCCTCACCTCTTTGACTTAAGCAGCTCTGACAGAGCGAGTTTGTATGTAAAGGTTGTTTGCATTAATAGTGTGTCTCCAAGTTAACAAAGTGATACGAGTGGAATATCAAATCCGCCTCCAATCCACTTGCTCGTATGAGACATGTTCCCAAAATAAGATATTAAAAACCATGTCCATTTTATGCTGTAAATCAATCGCCAACTGTTTTCATTAGCTACATGTTGAAATACATGGAATATCCTGATAACATTATGGATCAATTTCTAAAGGCATCAGATAGATCATCACTTTGCTATAATTGACGCACACTGTACAGGTGAGACATGGGCAGCACCAAAACGAATGGTAGTGAATAAACAACACTGGTTTCTTTTTCTACGTGCAAAACAGAAACATCCCTTATTTCACAATCCGCAGCAAATTGTCGGATGAACATAATATCAGCATTTGCTACACAATTGTCACATTTGTTTTTGATAATATATGGATTGCTAGCATATCAGTGTGTTGACCATGTTGATACTTTGCAGTTGATGGAGGGCTGTCAAACTGGACATCGTGGTCAATCGTACCCTGCCCTCTCACATGTGGAGTAGATGCCATGACAAATCAGAGCAGACGTAGGGATTGTAACAACCCCGCTCCGGAAGCCGGTGGCAAGAACTGCACAGGTCCACTGATGGAAAGCAGTCAGACACACTGCAATGTCCCTCCATGTAGTGGTATGTGAAGGCCAATTTGTCATTCAGTTTATACTTCTGTAGTGTATATGTACAACTTTCAGTTTAATTATTGGAAGACGAAACTTTGCCTTTCTGGTCATATGTCGAACCACAAAGATCAGATGACATCTAAAGAGTTGTATGATCACACCCAATCGTATGCACTCTCATATGGGTGTTGGATATGTGTCTGTTACAACTAGCAACAGTTAAAATACGCATAACTTCTGGACGTGTAGAGCGACTGTTGTAAAGATACCAGGAGTATTTAAACCAAAGAAAGCAAGAGTATGACAAACCTTAAGAAGAAATTCACATTCCTTTTATTGATCATATATGTTATGTTTGTCAGATTAAGCCTTTTGTACTGACTTTCTAATGTTCATTCATCGGTATAGAAATGATAGAAATATTGTCAAGAGAAATATAGAGGCAATGCACGAAACAATGACACGATTTGTTTATTCCAACCACTAGGCGACGACGGCGTTGGCGAGTGGAGCCAGTGGAGTGCTGCAGTATGCACAACCACCTGTGGTGAAGGCCAAAAGGGAAGCGTGGAAAGAAGCAGAAGTTGTGTTACGCCAGCCAATAATATCAGCTGTACAGCCGCACTAACAGAAACCCAAATTGGAAACTGTGGCCTGCCTAAATGCCCAGGTAAATGTGTAGCTATGTATAAATGTACCACTTTCTTGTACTGCAGTATATAAAATGTAGCAACCCTACCCAGAGAAGTAACTCCTTTCCTGTATATTCTGAGTGCTCTATGTCCACCATCACAGTATGGAAAAGCCTCACCTCTTTGACTTAAGCAGCTCTGACAGAGCGAGTTTGTATGTAAAGGTTGTTTGCATTAATAGTGTGTCTCCAAGTTAACAAAGTGATACGAGTGGAATATCAAATCCGCCTCCAATCCACTTGCTCGTATGAGACATGTTCCCAAAATAAGATATTAAAAACCATGTCCATTTTATGCTGTAAATCAATCGCCAACTGTTTTCATTAGCTACATGTTGAAATACATGGAATATCCTGATAACATTATGGATCAATTTCTAAAGGCATCAGATAGATCATCACTTTGCTATAATTGACGCACACTGTACAGGTGAGACATGGGCAGCACCAAAACGAATGGTAGTGAATAAACAACACTGGTTTCTTTTTCTACGTGCAAAACAGAAACATCCCTTATTTCACAATCCGCAGCAAATTGTCGGATGAACATAATATCAGCATTTGCTACACAATTGTCACATTTGTTTTTGATAATATATGGATTGCTAGCATATCAGTGTGTTGACCATGTTGATACTTTGCAGTTGATGGAGGGCTGTCAAACTGGACATCGTGGTCAATCGTACCCTGCCCTCTCACATGTGGAGTAGATGCCATGACAAATCAGAGCAGACGTAGGGATTGTAACAACCCCGCTCCGGAAGCCGGTGGCAAGAACTGCACAGGTCCACTGATGGAAAGCAGTCAGACACACTGCAATGTCCCTCCATGTAGTGGTATGTGAAGGCCAATTTGTCATTCAGTTTATACTTCTGTAGTGTACATGTACAACTTTCAGTTTAATTATTGGAAGACGAAACTTTGCCTTTCTGGTCATATGTCGAACCACAAAGATCAGATGACATCTAAAGAGTTGTATGATCACACCCAATCGTATGCACTCTCATATGGGTGTTGGATATGTGTCTGTTACAACTAGCAACAGTTAAAATACGCATAACTTCTGGACGTGTAGAGCGACTGTTGTAAAGATACCAGGAGTATTTAAACCAAAGAAAGCAAGAGTATGACAAACCTTAAGAAGAAATTCACATTCCTTATATTGATCATATATGTTATGTTTGTCAGATTAAGCCTTTTGTACTGACTTTCTAATGTTCATTCATCGGTATAGAAATGATAGAAATATTGTCAAGAGAAATATAGAGGCAATGCACGAAACAATGACACGATTTGTTTATTCCAACCACTAGGCGACGACGGCGTTGGCGAGTGGAGCCAGTGGAGTGCTGCAGTATGCACAACCACCTGTGGTGAAGGCCAAAAGGGAAGCGTGGAAAGAAGCAGAAGTTGTGTTACGCCAGCCAATAATATCAGCTGTACAGCCGCACTAACAGAAACCCAAATTGGAAACTGTGGCCTGCCTAAATGCCCAGGTAAATGTGTAGCTATGTATAAATGTACCACTTTCTTGTACTGCAGTATATAAAATGTAGCAACCCTACCCAGAGAAGTAACTCCTTTCCTGTATATTCTGAGTGCTCTATGTCCACCAACACAGTATGGAAAAGCCTCACCTCTTTGACTTAAGCAGCTCTGACAGAGCGAGTTTGTATGTAAAAGTTGTTTGCATTAATAGTGTGTCTCCAAGTTAACAAAGTGATACGAGTGGAATATCAAATCCGCCTCCAATGCACTTGCTCGTATGAGACATGTTCCCAAAATAAGATATTAAAAACCATGTCCATTTTATGCTGTAAATCAATCGCCAACTGTTTTCATTAGCTACATGTTGAAATACATGGAATATCCTGATAACATTATGGATCAATTTCTAAAGGCATCAGATAGATCATCACTTTGCTATAATTGACGCACACTGTACAGGTGAGACATGGGCAGCACCAAAACGAATGGTAGTGAATAAACAACACTGGTTTCTTTTTCTACGTGCAAAACAGAAACATCCCTTATTTCACAATCCGCAGCAAATTGTCGGATGAACATAATATCAGCATTTGCTACACAATTGTCACATTTGTTTTTGATAACATATGGATTGCTAGCATATCACTGTGTTGACCATGTTGATACTTTGCAGTTGATGGAGGGCTGTCAAACTGGACATCGTGGTCAATCGTACCCTGCCCTCTCACATGTGGAGTAGATGCCATGACAAATCAGAGCAGACGTAGGGATTGTAACAACCCCGCTCCGGAAGCCGGTGGCAAGAACTGCACAGGTCCACTGATTGAAAGCAGTCAGACACACTGCAATGTCCCTCCATGTAGTGGTATGTGAAGGCCAATTTGTCATTCAGTTTATAATTATTCTGTAGTGTACATGTACAACTTTCAGTTTAATTATTGGAGGACGAAACTTTGCCTTTCTGGTCATATGTCGAACCACAAAGATCAGATGACATCTTAAGAGTTGTATGATCACACCCAATCGTATGCACTCTCATATGGGTGTTGGATATGTGTCTGTTACAACTAGCAGCAGTTAAAATACGCATAACTTCTGGACGTGTAGAGCGACTGTTGTAAAGATACCAGGAGTATTTAAACCAAAGAAAGCAAGAGTATGACAAACCTTAAGAAGAAATTCACATTCCTTTTATTGATCATATATGTTATGTTTGTCAGATTAAGCCTTTGGTACTGACTTTCTAATGTTCATTCATCGGTATAGAAATGATAGAAATATTGTCAAGAGAAATATAGAGGCAATGCACGAAACAATGACACGATTTGTTTATTCCAACCACTAGGCGACGACGGCGTTGGCGAGTGGAGCCAGTGGAGTGCTGCAGTATGCACAACCACCTGTGGTGAAGGCCAAAAGGGAAGCGTGGAAAGAAGCAGAAGTTGTGTTACGCCAGCCAATAATATCAGCTGTACAGCCGCACTAACAGAAACCCAAATTGGAAACTGTGGCCTGCCTAAATGCCCAGGTAAATGTGTAGCTATGTATAAATGTACCACTTTCTTGTACTGCAGTATATAAAATGTAGCAACCCTACCCAGAGAAGTAACTCCTTTCCTGTATATTCTGAGTGCTCTATGTCCACCATCACAGTATGGAAAAGCCTCACCTCTTTGACTTAAGCAGCTCTGACAGAGCGAGTTTGTATGTAAAAGTTGTTTGCATTAATAGTGTGTCTCCAAGTTAACAAAGTGATACGAGTGGAATATCAAATCCGCCTCCAATGCACTTGCTCGTATGAGACATGTTCCCAAAATAAGATATTAAAAACCATGTCCATTTTATGCTGTAAATCAATCGCCAACTGTTTTCATTAGCTACATGTTGAAATACATGGAATATCCTGATAACATTATGGATCAATTTCTAAAGGCATCAGATAGATCATCACTTTGCTATAATTGACGCACACTGTACAGGTGAGACATGGGCAGCACCAAAACGAATGGTAGTGAATAAACAACACTGGTTTCTTTTTCTACGTGCAAAACAGAAACATCCCTTATTTCACAATCCGCAGCAAATAGTCGGATGAACATAATATCAGCATTTGCTACACAATTGTCACATTTGTTTTTGATAATATATGGATTGCTAGCATATCACTGTGTTGACCATGTTGATACTTTGCAGTTGATGGAGGGCTGTCAAACTGGACATCGTGGTCAATCGTACCCTGCCCTCTCACATGTGGAGTAGATGCCATGACAAATCAGAGCAGACGTAGGGATTGTAACAACCCCGCTCCGGAAGCCGGTGGCAAGAACTGCACAGGTCCACTGATTGAAAGCAGTCAGACACACTGCAATGTCCCTCCATGTAGTGGTATGTGAAGGCCAATTTGTCATTCAGTTTATAATTATTCTGTAGTGTACATGTACAACTTTCAGTTTAATTATTGGAGGACGAAACTTTGCCTTTCTGGTCATATGTCGAACCACAAAGATCAGATGACATCTTAAGAGTTGTATGATCACACCCAATCGTATGCACTCTCATATGGGTGTTGGATATGTGTCTGTTACAACTAGCAGCAGTTAAAATACGCATAACTTCTGGACGTGTAGAGCGACTGTTGTAAAGATACCAGGAGTATTTAAACCAAAGAAAGCAAGAGTATGACAAACCTTAAGAAGAAATTCACATTCCTTTTATTGATCATATATGTTATGTTTGTCAGATTAAGCCTTTGGTACTGACTTTCTAATGTTCATTCATCGGTATAGAAATGATAGAAATATTGTCAAGAGAAATATAGAGGCAATGCACGAAACAATGACACGATTTGTTTATTCCAACCACTAGGCGACGACGGCGTTGGCGAGTGGAGCCAGTGGAGTGCTGCAGTATGCACAACCACCTGTGGTGAAGGCCAAAAGGGAAGCGTGGAAAGAAGCAGAAGTTGTGTTACGCCAGCCAATAATATCAGCTGTACAGCCGCACTAACAGAAACCCAAATTGGAAACTGTGGCCTGCCTAAATGCCCAGGTAAATGTGTAGCTATGTATAAATGTACCACTTTCTTGTACTGCAGTATATAAAATGTAGCAACCCTACCCAGAGAAGTAACTCCTTTCCTGTATATTCTGAGTGCTCTATGTCCACCATCACAGTATGGAAAAGCCTCACCTCTTTGACTTAAGCAGCTCTGACAGAGCGAGTTTGTATGTAAAAGTTGTTTGCATTAATAGTGTGTCTCCAAGTTAACAAAGTGATACGAGTGGAATATCAAATCCGCCTCCAATGCACTTGCTCGTATGAGACATGTTCCCAAAATAAGATATTAAAAACCATGTCCATTTTATGCTGTAAATCAATCGCCAACTGTTTTCATTAGCTACATGTTGAAATACATGGAATATCCTGATAACATTATGGATCAATTTCTAAAGGCATCAGATAGATCATCACTTTGCTATAATTGACGCACACTGTACAGGTGAGACATGGGCAGCACCAAAACGAATGGTAGTGAATAAACAACACTGGTTTCTTTTTCTACGTGCAAAACAGAAACATCCCTTATTTCACAATCCGCAGCAAATAGTCGGATGAACATAATATCAGCATTTGCTACACAATTGTCACATTTGTTTTTGATAATATATGGATTGCTAGCATATCACTGTGTTGACCATGTTGATACTTTGCAGTTGATGGAGGGCTGTCAAACTGGACATCGTGGTCAATCGTACCCTGCCCTCTCACATGTGGAGTAGATGCCATGACAAATCAGAGCAGACGTAGGGATTGTAACAACCCCGCTCCGGAAGCCGGTGGCAAGAACTGCACAGGTCCACTGATTGAAAGCAGTCAGACACACTGCAATGTCCCTCCATGTAGTGGTATGTGAAGGCCAATTTGTCATTCAGTTTATAATTATTCTGGAGTGTACATGTACAACTTTCAGTTTAATTATTGGAGGACGAAACTTTGCCTTTCTGGTCATATGTCGAACCACAAAGATCAGATGACATCTTAAGAGTTGTATGATCACACCCAATCGTATGCACTCTCATATGGGTGTTGGATATGTGTCTGTTACAACTAGCAGCAGTTAAAATACGCATAACTTCTGGACGTGTAGAGCGACTGTTGTAAAGATACCAGGAGTATTTAAACCAAAGAAAGCAAGAGTATGACAAACCTTAAGAAGAAATTCACATTCCTTTTATTGATCATATATGTTATGTTTGTCAGATTAAGCCTTTTGTACTGACTTTCTAATGTTCATTCATCGGTATAGAAATGATAGAAATATTGTCAAGAGAAATATAGAGGCAATGCACGAAACAATGACACGATTTGTTTATTCCAACCACTAGGCGACGACGGCGTTGGCGAGTGGAGCCAGTGGAGTGCTGCAGTATGCACAACCACCTGTGGTGAAGGCCAAAAGGGAAGCGTGGAAAGAAGCAGAAGTTGTGTTACGCCAGCCAATAATATCAGCTGTACAGCCGCACTAACAGAAACCCAAATTGGAAACTGTGGCCTGCCTAAATGCCCAGGTAAATGTGTAGCTATGTATAAATGTACCACTTTCTTGTACTGCAATATATAAAATGTAGCAACCCTACCCAGAGAAGTAACTCCTTTCCTGTATATTCTGAGTGCTCTATGTCCACCATCACAGTATGGAAAAGCCTCACCTCTTTGACTTAAGCAGCTCTGACAGAGCGAGTTTGTATGTAAAAGTTGTTTGCATTAATAGTGTGTCTCCAAGTTAACAAAGTGATACGAGTGGAATATCAAATCCGCCTCCAATGCACTTGCTCGTATGAGACATGTTCCCAAAATAAGATATTAAAAACCATGTCCATTTTATGCTGTAAATCAATCGCCAACTGTTTTCATTAGCTACATGTTGAAATACATGGAATATCCTGATAACATTATGGATCAATTTCTAAAGGCATCAGATAGATCATCACTTTGCTATAATTGACGCACACTGTACAGGTGAGACATGGGCAGCACCAAAACGAATGGTAGTGAATAAACAACACTGGTTTCTTTTTCTACGTGCAAAACAGAAACATCCCTTATTTCACAATCCGCAGCAAATAGTTGGATGAACATAATATCAGCATTTGCTACACAATTGTCACATTTGTTTTTGTTAATATATGGATTGCTAGCATATCAGTGTGTTGACCATGTTGATACTTTGCAGTTGATGGAGGGCTGTCAAACTGGACATCGTGGTCAATCGTACCCTGCCCTCTCACATGTGGAGTAGATGCAATGACAAATCAGAGCAGACGTAGGGATTGTAACAACCCCGCTCCGGAAGCCGGTGGCAAGAACTGCACAGGTCCACTGATTGAAAGCAGTCAGACACACTGCAATGTCCCTCCATGTAGTGGTATGTGAAGGCCAATTTGTCATTCAGTTTATACTTCTGTAGTGTACATGTACAACTTTCAGTTTAATTATTGGAGGACGAAACTTTGCCTTTCTGGTCATATGTCGAACCACAAAGATCAGATGACATGTTAAGAGTTGTATGGTCACACCCAATCGTCTGCACTCTCATATGGGTATTGGATATGTGTCTGTTACAACTAGCAACAGTTAAAATACGCATAACTTCTGGACGTGTAGAGCGACTGTTGTAAAGATACCAGGAGTATTTAAACCAAAGAAAGCAAGAGTATGACAAACCTTAAGAAGAAATTCACATTCCTTATATTGATCATATATGTTATGTTTGTCAGATTAAGCCTTTTGTACTGACTTTCTAATGTTCATTCATCGATATAGAAATGATAGAAATATTGTCAAGAGAAATATAGAGGCAATGCACGAAACAATGACACGATTTGTTTATTCCAACCACTAGGCGACGACGGCGTTGGCGAGTGGAGCCAGTGGAGTGCTGCAGTATGCACAACCACCTGTGGTGAAGGCCAAAAGGGAAGCGTGGAAAGAAGCAGAAGTTGTGTTACGCCAGCCAATAATATCAGCTGTACAGCCGCACTAACAGAAACCCAAATGGGAAACTGTGGCCTGCCTAAATGCCCAGGTAAATGTGTAGCTATGTATAAATGTACCACTTTCTTGTACTGCAGTATATAAAATGTAGCAACCCTACCCAGAGAAGTAACTCCTTTCCTGTATATTCTGAGTGCTCTATGTCCACCATCACAGTATGGAAAAGCCTCACCTCTTTGACTTAAGCAGCTCTGACAGAGCGAGTTTGTATGTAAAAGTTGTTTGCATTAATAGTGTGTCTCCAAGTTAACAAAGTGATACGAGTGGAATATCAAATCCGCCTCCAATCCACTTGCTCGTATGAGACATGTTCCCAAAATAAGATATTAAAAACCATGTCCATTTTATGCTGTAAATCAATCGCCAACTGTTTTCATTAGCTACATGTTGAAATACATGGAATATCCTGATAACATTATGGATCAATTTCTAAAGGCATCAGATAGATCATCACTTTGCTATAATTGACGCACACTGTACAGGTGAGACATGGGCAGCACCAAAACGAATGGTAGTGAATAAACAACACTGGTTTCTTTTTCTACGTGCAAAACAGAAACATCCCTTATTTCACAATCCGCAGCAAATAGTCGGATGAACATAATATCAGCATTTGCTACACAATTGTCACATTTGTTTTTGATAATATATGGATTGCTAGCATATCACTGTGTTGACCATGTTGATACTTTGCAGTTGATGGAGGGCTGTCAAACTGGACATCGTGGTCAATCGTACCCTGCCCTCTCACATGTGGAGTAGATGCCATGACAAATCAGAGCAGACGTAGGGATTGTAACAACCCCGCTCCGGAAGCCGGTGGCAAGAACTGCACAGGTCCACTGATGGAAAGCAGTCAGACACACTGCAATGTCCCTCCATGTAGTGGTATGTGAAGGCCAATTTGTCATTCAGTTTATACTTCTGTAGTGTACATGTACAACTTTCAGTTTAATTATTGGAAGACGAAACTTTGCCTTTCTGGTCATATGTCGAACCACAAAGATCAGATGACATCTAAAGAGTTGTATGATCACACCCAATCGTATGCACTCTCATATGGGTGTTGGATATGTGTCTGTTACAACTAGCAGCAGTTAAAATACGCATAACTTCTGGACGTGTAGAGCGACTGTTGTAAAGATACCAGGAGTATTTAAACCAAAGAAAGCAAGAGTATGACAAACCTTAAGAAGAAATTCACATTCCTTTTATTGATCATATATGTTATGTTTGTCAGATTAAGCCTTTTGTACTGACTTTCTAATGTTCATTCATCGGTATAGAAATGATAGAAATATTGTCAAGAGAAATATAGAGGCAATGCACGAAACAATGACACGATTTGTTTATTCCAACCACTAGGCGACGACGGCGTTGGCGAGTGGAGCCAGTGGAGTGCTGCAGTATGCACAACCACCTGTGGTGAAGGCCAAAAGGGAAGCGTGGAAAGAAGCAGAAGTTGTGTTACGCCAGCCAATAATATCAGCTGTACAGCCGCACTAACAGAAACCCAAATTGGAAACTGTGGCCTGCCTAAATGCCCAGGTAAATGTGTAGCTATGTATAAATGTACCACTTTCTTGTACTGCAGTATATAAAATGTAGCAACCCTACCCAGAGAAGTAACTCCTTTCCTGTATATTCTGAGTGCTCTATGTCCACCATCACAGTATGGAAAAGCCTCACCTCTTTGACTTAAGCAGCTCTGACAGAGCGAGTTTGTATGTAAAAGTTGTTTGCATTAATAGTGTGTCTCCAAGTTAACAAAGTGATACGAGTGGAATATCAAATCCGCCTCCAATGCACTTGCTCGTATGAGACATGTTCCCAAAATAAGATATTAAAAACCATGTCCATTTTATGCTGTAAATCAATCGCCAACTGTTTTCATTAGCTACATGTTGAAATACATGGAATATCCTGATAACATTATGGATCAATTTCTAAAGGCATCAGATAGATCATCACTTTGCTATAATTGACGCACACTGTACAGGTGAGACATGGGCAGCACCAAAACGAATGGTAGTGAATAAACAACACTGGTTTCTTTTTCTACGTGCAAAACAGAAACATCCCTTATTTCACAATCCGCAGCAAATAGTCGGATGAACATAATATCAGCATTTGCTACACAATTGTCACATTTGTTTTTGTTAATATATGGATTGCTAGCATATCACTGTGTTGACCATGTTGATACTTTGCAGTTGATGGAGGGCTGTCAAACTGGACATCGTGGTCAATCGTACCCTGCCCTCTCACATGTGGAGTAGATGCCATGACAAATCAGAGCAGACGTAGGGATTGTAACAACCCCGCTCCGGAAGCCGGTGGCAAGAACTGCACAGGTCCACTGATGGAAAGCAGTCAGACACACTGCAATGTCCCTCCATGTAGTGGTATGTGAAGGCCAATTTGTCATTCAGTTTATACTTCTGTAGTGTACATGTACAACTTTCAGTTTAATTATTGGAAGACGAAACTTTGCCTTTCTGGTCATATGTCGAACCACAAAGATCAGATGACATCTAAAGAGTTGTATGATCACACCCAATCGTATGCACTCTCATATGGGTGTTGGATATGTGTCTGTTACAACTAGCAGCAGTTAAAATACGCATAACTTCTGGACGTGTAGAGCGACTGTTGTAAAGATACCAGGAGTATTTAAACCAAAGAAAGCAAGAGTATGACAAACCTTAAGAAGAAATTCACATTCCTTATATTGATCATATATGTTATGTTTGTCAGATTAAGCCTTTTGTACTGACTTTCTAATGTTCATTCATCGATATAGAAATGATAGAAATATTGTCAAGAGAAATATAGAGGCAATGCACGAAACAATGACACGATTTGTTTATTCCAACCACTAGGCGACGACGGCGTTGGCGAGTGGAGCCAGTGGAGTGCTGCAGTATGCACAACCACCTGTGGTGAAGGCCAAAAGGGAAGCGTGGAAAGAAGCAGAAGTTGTGTTACGCCAGCCAATAATATCAGCTGTACAGCCGCACTAACAGAAACCCAAATGGGAAACTGTGGCCTGCCTAAATGCCCAGGTAAATGTGTAGCTATGTATAAATGTACCACTTTCTTGTACTGCAGTATATAAAATGTAGCAACCCTACCCAGAGAAGTAACTCCTTTCCTGTATATTCTGAGTGCTCTATGTCCACCATCACAGTATGGAAAAGCCTCACCTCTTTGACTTAAGCAGCTCTGACAGAGCGAGTTTGTATGTAAAAGTTGTTTGCATTAATAGTGTGTCTCCAAGTTAACAAAGTGATACGAGTGGAATATCAAATCCGCCTCCAATCCACTTGCTCGTATGAGACATGTTCCCAAAATAAGATATTAAAAACCATGTCCATTTTATGCTGTAAATCAATCGCCAACTGTTTTCATTAGCTACATGTTGAAATACATGGAATATCCTGATAACATTATGGATCAATTTCTAAAGGCATCAGATAGATCATCACTTTGCTATAATTGACGCACACTGTACAGGTGAGACATGGGCAGCACCAAAACGAATGGTAGTGAATAAACAACACTGGTTTCTTTTTCTACGTGCAAAACAGAAACATCCCTTATTTCACAATCCGCAGCAAATAGTCGGATGAACATAATATCAGCATTTGCTACACAATTGTCACATTTGTTTTTGTTAATATATGGATTGCTAGCATATCAGTGTGTTGACCATGTTGATACTTTGCAGTTGATGGAGGGCTGTCAAACTGGACATCGTGGTCAATCGTACCCTGCCCTCTCACATGTGGAGTAGATGCCATGACAAATCAGAGCAGACGTAGGGATTGTAACAACCCCGCTCCGGAAGCCGGTGGCAAGAACTGCACAGGTCCACTGATGGAAAGCAGTCAGACACACTGCAATGTCCCTCCATGTAGTGGTATGTGAAGGCCAATTTGTCATTCAGTTTATACTTCTGTAGTGTACATGTACAACTTTCAGTTTAATTATTGGAAGACGAAACTTTGCCTTTCTGGTCATATGTCGAACCACAAAGATCAGATGACATCTAAAGAGTTGTATGATCACACCCAATCGTATGCACTCTCATATGGGTGTTGGATATGTGTCTGTTACAACTAGCAGCAGTTAAAATACGCATAACTTCTGGACGTGTAGAGCGACTGTTGTAAAGATACCAGGAGTATTTAAACCAAAGAAAGCAAGAGTATGACAAACCTTAAGAAGAAATTCACATTCCTTTTATTGATCATATATGTTATGTTTGTCAGATTAAGCCTTTTGTACTGACTTTCTAATGTTCATTCATCGGTATAGAAATGATAGAAATATTGTCAAGAGAAATATAGAGGCAATGCACGAAACAATGACACGATTTGTTTATTCCAACCACTAGGCGACGACGGCGTTGGCGAGTGGAGCCAGTGGAGTGCTGCAGTATGCACAACCACCTGTGGTGAAGGCCAAAAGGGAAGCGTGGAAAGAAGCAGAAGTTGTGTTACGCCAGCCAATAATATCAGCTGTACAGCCGCACTAACAGAAACCGAAATTGGAAACTGTGGCCTGCCTAAATGCCCAGGTAAATGTGTAGCTATGTATAAATGTACCACTTTCTTGTACTGCAGTATATAAAATGTAGCAACCCTACCCAGAGAAGTAACTCCTTTCCTGTATATTCTGAGTGCTCTATGTCCACCATCACAGTATGGAAAAGCCTCACCTCTTTGACTTAAGCAGCTCTGACAGAGCGAGTTTGTATGTAAAAGTTGTTTGCATTAATAGTGTGTCTCCAAGTTAACAAAGTGATACGAGTGGAATATCAAATCCGCCTCCAATGCACTTGCTCGTATGAGACATGTTCCCAAAATAAGATATTAAAAACCATGTCCATTTTATGCTGTAAATCAATCGCCAACTGTTTTCATTAGCTACATGTTGAAATACATGGAATATCCTGATAACATTATGGATCAATTTCTAAAGGCATCAGATAGATCATCACTTTGCTATAATTGACGCACACTGTACAGGTGAGACATGGGCAGCACCAAAACGAATGGTAGTGAATAAACAACACTGGTTTCTTTTTCTACGTGCAAAACAGAAACATCCCTTATTTCACAATCCGCAGCAAATAGTCGGATGAACATAATATCAGCATTTGCTACACAATTGTCACATTTGTTTTTGTTAATATATGGATTGCTAGCATATCACTGTGTTGACCATGTTGATACTTTGCAGTTGATGGAGGGCTGTCAAACTGGACATCGTGGTCAATCGTACCCTGCCCTCTCACATGTGGAGTAGATGCCATGACAAATCAGAGCAGACGTAGGGATTGTAACAACCCCGCTCCGGAAGCCGGTGGCAAGAACTGCACAGGTCCACTGATTGAAAGCAGTCAGACACACTGCAATGTCCCTCCATGTAGTGGTATGTGAAGGCCAATTTGTCATTCAGTTTATACTTCTGTAGTGTACATGTACAACTTTCAGTTTAATTATTGGAGGACGGAACTTTGCCTTTCTGGTCATATGTCGAACCACAAAGATCAGATGACATCTTAAGAGTTGTATGGTCACACCCAATCGTCTGCACTCTCATATGGGTATTGGATATGTGTCTGTTACAACTAGCAACAGTTAAAATACGCATAACTTCTGGACGTGTAGAGCGACTGTTGTAAAGATACCAGGAGTATTTAAACCAAAGAAAGCAAGAGTATGACAAACCTTAAGAAGAAATTCACATTCCTTATATTGATCATTTATGTTATGTTTGTCAGATTAAGCCTTTTGTACTGACTTTCTAATGTGCATTCATCGATATAGAAATGATAGAAATATTGTCAAGAGAAATATAGAGGCAATGCACGAAACAATGACACGATTTGTTTATTCCAACCACTAGGCGACGACGGCGTTGGCGAGTGGAGCCAGTGGGGTGCTGCAGTATGCACAACAACCTGTGGTGAAGGCCAAAAGGGAAGCGTGGAAAGAAGCAGAAGTTGTGTTACGCCAGCCAATAATATCAGCTGTACAGCCGCACTAACAGAAACCCAAATGGGAAACTGCGGCCTGCCTAAATGCCCAGGTAAATGTGTAGCTATGTATAAATGTACCACTTTCTTGTACTGCAGTATATAAAATGTAGCAACCCTACCCAGAGAAGTAACTCCTTTCCTGTATATTCTGAGTGCTCTATGTCCACCATCACAGTATGGAAAAGCCTCACCTCTTTGACTTAAGCAGCTCTGACAGAGCGAGTTTGTATGTAAAGGTTGTTTGCATTAATAGTGTGTCTCCAAGTTAACAAAGTGATACGAGTGGAATATCAAATCCGCCTCCAATGCACTTGCTCGTATGAGACATGTTCCCAAAATAAGATATTAAAAACCATGTCCATTTTATGCTGTAAATCAATCGCCAACTGTTTTCATTAGCTACATGTTGAAATACATGGAATATCCTGATAACACTATGGATCAATTTCTAAAGGCATCAGATAGATCATCACTTTGCTATAATTGACGCACACTGTACAGGTGAGACATGGGCAGCACCAAAACGAATGGTAGTGAATAAACAACACTGGTTTCTTTTTCTACGTGCAAAACAGAAACATCCCTTATTTCACAATCCGCAGCAAATAGTCGGATGAACATAATATCAGCATTTGCTACACAATTGTCACATTTGTTTTTGATAATATATGGATTGCTAGCATATCACTGTGTTGACCATGTTGATACTTTGCAGTTGATGGAGGGCTGTCAAACTGGACATCGTGGTCAATCGTACCCTGCCCTCTCACATGTGGAGTAGATGCCATGACAAATCAGAGCAGACGTAGGGATTGTAACAACCCCGCTCCGGAAGCCGGTGGCAAGAACTGCACAGGTCCACTGATGGAAAGCAGTCAGACACACTGCAATGTCCCTCCATGTAGTGGTATGTGAAGGCCAATTTGTCATTCAGTTTATACTTCTGTAGTGTACATGTACAACTTTCAGTTTAATTATTGGAAGACGAAACTTTGCCTTTCTGGTCATATGTCGAACCACAAAGATCAGATGACATCTAAAGAGTTGTATGATCACACCCAATCGTATGCACTCTCATATGGGTGTTGGATATGTGTCTGTTACAACTAGCAGCAGTTAAAATACGCATAACTTCTGGACGTGTAGAGCGACTGTTGTAAAGATACCAGGAGTATTTAAACCAAAGAAAGCAAGAGTATGACAAACCTTAAGAAGAAATTCACATTCCTTTTATTGATCATATATGTTATGTTTGTCAGGTTAAGCCTTTTGTACTGACTTTCTAATGTTCATTCATCGGTATAGAAATGATAGAAATATTGTCAAGAGAAATATAGAGGCAATGCACGAAACAATGACACGATTTGTTTATTCCAACCACTAGGCGACGACGGCGTTGGCGAGTGGAGCCAGTGGAGTGCTGCAGTATGCACAACCACCTGTGGTGAAGGCCAAAAGGGAAGCGTGGAAAGAAGCAGAAGTTGTGTTACGCCAGCCAATAATATCAGCTGTACAGCCGCACTAACAGAAACCCAAATTGGAAACTGTGGCCTGCCTAAATGCCCAGGTAAATGTGTAGCTATGTATAAATGTACCACTTTCTTGTACTGCAGTATATAAAATATAGCAACCCTACCCAGAGAAGTAACTCCTTTCCTGTATATTCTGAGTGCTCTATGTCCACCATCACAGTATGGAAAAGCCTCACCTCTTTGACTTAAGCAGCTCTGACAGAGCGAGTTTGTATGTAAAGGTTGTTTGCATTAATAGTGTGTCTCCAAGTTAACAAAGTAATACGAGTGGAATATCAAATCCGCCTCCAATGCACTTGCTCGTATGACACATGTTCCCAAAATAAGATATTAAAAACCATGTCCATTTTATGCTGTAAATCAATCGCCAACTGTTTTCATTAACTACATTTTGAAATACATGGAATATCCTGATAACATTATGGATTAATTTCTAAAGGCATCAGATAGATCATCACTTTGCTATAATTGACGCACACTGTACAGGTGAGACATGGGCAGCACCAAAACTAATGGTAGTGAATAAACAACACTGGTTTCTTTTTCTACGTGCAAAACAGAAACATCCCTTATTTCACAATCCGCAGCAAATAGTCGGATGAACATAATATCAGCATTTGCTACACAATTGTCACATTTGTTTTTGTTAATATATGGATTGCTAGCATATCACTGTGTTGACCATGTTGATACTTTGCAGTTAATGGAGGGCTGTCAAACTGGACATCGTGGTCAATCGTACCCTGCCCTCTCACATGTGGAGTAGATGCCATGACAAATCAGAGCAGACGTAGGGATTGTAACAACCCCGCTCCGGAAGCCGGTGGCAAGAACTGCACAGGTCCACTGATGGAAAGCAGTCAGACACACTGCAATGTCCCTCCATGTAGTGGTATGTGAAGGCCAATTTGTCATTCAGTTTATAATTATTCTGTAGTGTACATGTACAACTTTCAGTTTAATTATTGGAGGACGAAACTTTGCCTTTCTGGTCATATGTCGAACCACAAAGATCAGATGACATCTTAAGAGTTGTATGATCCCACCCAATCGTATGCACTCTCATATGGGTGTTGGATATGTGTCTGTTACAACTAGCAGCAGTTAAAATACGCATAACTTCTGGACGTGTAGAGCGACTGTTGTAAAAATACCAGGAGTATTTAAACCAAAGAAAGCAAGAGTATGACAATCCTTAAGAAGAAATTCACATTCCTTATATTGATCATATATGTTATGTTTGTCAGATTAAGCCTTTTGTACTGACTTTCTAATGTTCATTCATCGGTATAGAAATGATAGAAATATTGTCAAGAGAAATATAGAGGCAATGCACGAAACAATGACACGATTTATTTATTCCAACCACTAGGCGACGACGGCGTTGGCGAGTGGAGCCAGTGGAGTGCTGCAGTATGCACAACCACCTGTGGTGAAGGCCAAAAGGGAAGCGTGGAAAGAAGTAGAAGTTGTGTTACGCCAGCCAATAATATCAGCTGTACAGCCGCACTAACAGAAACCCAAATTGGAAACTGCGGCCTGCCTAAATGCCCAGGTAAATGTGTAGCTATGTATAAATGTACCACTTTCTTGTACTGCAGTATATAAAATGTAGCAACCCTACCCAGAGAAGTAACTCCTTTCCTGTATATTCTGAGTGCTCTATGTCCACCATCACAGTATGGAAAAGCCTCATCTCTTTGGCTTAAGCAGCTCTGACAGAGCGAGTTTGTATGTAAAGGTTGTTTGCATTAATAGTGTGTCTCCAAGTTAACAAAGTGATACGAGTGGAATATCAAATCCGCCTCCAATGCACTTGCTCGTATGAGACATGTTCCCAAAATAAGATATTAAAAACCATGTCCATTTTATGCTGTAAATCAATCGCCAACTGTTTTCATTAACTACATGTTGAAATACATGGAATATCCTGATAACATTATGGATCAATTTCTAAAGGCATCAGATAGATCATCACTTTGCTATAATTGACGCACACTGTACAGGTGAGACATGGGCAGCACCAAAACGAATGGTAGTGAATAAACAACACTGGTTTCTTTTTCTACGTGCAAAACAGAAACATCCCTTATTTCACAATCCGCAGCAAATAGTCGGATGAACATAATATCAGCATTTGCTACACAATTGTCACATTTGTTTTTGATAATATATGGATTGCTAGCATATCAGTGTGTTGACCATGTTGATACTTTGCAGTTGATGGAGGGCTGTCAAACTGGACATCGTGGTCAATCGTACCCTGCCCTCTCACATGTGGAGTAGATGCCATGACAAATCAGAGCAGACGTAGGGATTGTAACAACCCCGTTCCGGAAGCCGGTGGCAAGAACTGCACAGGTCCACTGATGGAAAGCAGTCAGACACACTGCAATGTCCCTCCATGTAGTGGTATGTGAGGGCCAATTTGTCATTCAGTTTATACTTCTGTAGTGTACATGTACAACTTTCAGTTTAATTATTGGAGGACGAAACTTTGCCTTTCTTGTCATATGTTGAACCACAAAGATCAGATGACATCTTAAGAGTTGTATGATCACACCCAATCGTATGCACTCTCATATTGGTGTTGGATATGTGTCTGTTACAACTAGCAGCAGTTAAAATACGCATAACTTCTGGACGTGTAGAGCGACTGTTGTAAAGATACAAGGAGTATTTAAACTAAAGAAAGCAAGAGTATGACAAACCTTAAGAAGAAATTCACATTCCTTATATTGATCATATATATTATGTTTGTCAGATTAAGCCTTTTGTACTGACTTTCTAATGTTCATTTATCGGTATAGAAATGATAGAAATATTGTCAAGAGAAATATAGAGGCAATGCGCGAAACAATGACACGATTTGTTTATTCCAACCACTAGGCGACGACGGCGTTGGCGAGTGGAGCCAGTGGAGTGCTGCAGTATGCACAACCACCTGTGGTGAAGGCCAAAAGGGAAGCGTTGAAAGAAGCAGAAGTTGTGTTACGCCAGCCAATAATATCAGCTGTACAGCCGCACTAACAGAAACCCAAATGGGAAACTGTGGCCTGCCTAAATGCCCAGGTAAATGTGTAGTTATGTATAAATGTACCACTTTCTTGTACTGCAGTATATAAAATGTAGCAACCCTACCCAGAGAAGTAACTCCTTTCCTGTATATTTTGAGTGCTCTATGTCCACCATCACAGTATGGAAAAGCCTCATCTCTTTGGCTTAAGCAGCTCTGACAGAGCGAGTTTGTATGTAAAGGTTGTTTGCATTAATAGTGTGTCTCCAAGTTAACAAAGTGATACGAGTGGAATATCAAATCCGCCTCCAATGCACTTGCTCGTATGACACATGTTCCCAAAATAAGATATTAAAAACCATGTCCATTTTATGCTGTAAATCAATCGCCAACTGTTTTCATTAGCTACATGTTGAAATACATGGAATATCCTGATTACATTATGGATCAATTTCTAAAGGCATCAGATAGATCATCACTTTGCTATAATTGACGCACACTGTACAGGTGAGACATGGGCAGCACCAAAACGAATGGTAGTGAATAAACAACACTGGTTTCTTTTTGTACGTGCAAAACAGAAACATCCCTTATTTCACAATCCGCAGCAAATTGTCGGATGAACATAATATCAGCATTTGCTACACAATTGTCACATTTGTTTTTGATAATATATGGATTGCTAGCATATCACTGTGTTGACCATGTTGATACTTTGCAGTTGATGGAGGGCTGTCAAACTGGACATCGTGGTCAATCGTACCCTGCCCTCTCACATGTGGAGTAGATGCCATGACAAATCAGAGCAGACGTAGGGATTGTAACAACCCCGTTCCGGAAGCTGGTGGCAAGAACTGCACAGGTCCACTGATGGAAAGCAGTCAGACACACTGCAATGTCCCTCCATGTAGTGGTATGTGAAGGCCAATTTGTCATTCAGTTTATACTTCTGTAGTGTACATGTACAACTTTCAGTTTAATTATTGGATGACGAAACTTTGCCTTTCTGGTCATATGTCGAACCACAAAGATCAGATGACATCTTAAGAGTTGTATGATCACACCCAATCGTATGCACTCTCATATGGGTGTTGGATATGTGTCTGTTACAACTAGCAGCAGTTAAAATACGCATAACTTCTGGACGTGTAGAGCGACTGTCGTAAAGATACCAGGAGTATTTAAACTAAAGAAAGCAAGAGTATGACAAACCTTAAGAAAAAATTCACATTCCTTATATTGATCATATATGTTATGTTTGTCAGATTAAGCCTTTTGTACTGACTTTCTAATGTTCATTTATCGGTATAGAAATGATAGAAATATTGTCAAGAGAAATATAGAGGCAATGCACGAAACAATGAGACGATTTGTTTATTCCAACCACTAGGCGACGACGGCGTTGGCGAGTGGAGCCAGTGGAGTGCTGCAGTATGCACAACCACCTGTGGTGAAGGCCAAAAGGGAAGCGTGGAAAGAAGCAGAAGTTGTGTTACGCCAGCCAATAATATCAGCTGTACAGCCGCACTAACAGAAACCCAAATTGGAAACTGCGGCCTGCCTAAATGCCCAGGTAAATGTGTAGCTATGTATAAATGTACCACTTTCTTGTACTGCAGTATATAAAATGTAGCAACCCTACCCAGAGAAGTAACTCCTTTCCTGTATATTATGAGTGCTCTATGTCCACCATCACAGTATGGAAAAGCCTCACCTCTTTGACTGAAGCAGCTCTGACAGAGCGAGTTTGTATGTAAAGGTTGTTTGCATTAATAGTGTGTCTCCAAGTTAACAAAGTAATACGAGTGGAATATGAAATCCGCCTCCAATGCACTTGCTCGTATGACACATGTTCCCAAAATAAGATATTAAAAACCAAGTCCATTTTATGCTGTAAATCAATCGCCAACTGTTTTCATTAACTACATTTTGAAATACATGGAATATCCTGATAACATTATGGATTAATTTCTAAAGGCATCAGATAGATCATCACTTTGCTATATTTGAAGCACACTGTACAGGTGAGACATGGGCAGCACCAAAACGAATGGTAGCGAATAAACAACACTGGTTTCTTTTTGTACGTGCAAAACAGAAACATCCCTTATTTCACAATCCGCAGCAAATAGTCAGATGAACATAATATCAGCATTTGCTACACAATTGTCACATTTGTTTTTGTTAATATATGGATATCTAGCATATCACTGTGTTGACCATGTTGATACTTTGCAGTTGATGGAGGGCTGTCAAACTGGACATCGTGGTCAATCGTACCCTGCCCTCTCACATGTGGAGTAGATGCCATGACAAATCAGAGCAGACGTAGGGATTGTAACAACCCCGCTCCGGAAGCCGGTGGCAAGAACTGCACAGGTCCACTGATTGAAAGCAGTCAGACACACTGCAATGTCCCTCCATGTAGTGGTATGTGAAGGCCAATTTGTCATTCAGTTTATACTTCTGTAGTGTACATGTACAACTTTCAGTTTAATTATTGGAGGACGAAACTTTGCCTTTCTGGTCATATGTCGAACCACAAAGATCAGATGACATCTTAAGAGTTGTATGATCACACCCAATCTTATGCACTCTCATATGGGTGTTGGATATGTGTCTGTTACAACGAGCAGCAGTTAAAATACGCATAACTTCTGGACGTGTAGAGCGACTGTTGTAAAGATACAAGGAGTATTTAAACTAAAGAAAGCAAGAGTATGACAAACCTTAAGAAGAAATTCACATTCCTTATATTGATCATATATGTTATGTTTGTCAGATTAAGCCTTTTGTACTGACTTTCTAATGTTCATTCATCGGTATAGAAATGATAGAAATATTGTCAAGAGAAATATAGAGGCAATGCACGAAACAATGACACGATTTGTTTATTCCAACCACTAGGCGACGACGGCGTTGGCGAGTGGAGCCAGTGGAGTGCTGCAGTATGCACAGCCACCTGTGGTGAAGGCCAAAAGGGAAGCGTGGAAAGAAGCAGAAGTTGTGTTACGCCAGCCAATAATATCAGCTGTACAGCCGCACTAACAGAAACCCAAATGGGAAACTGCGGCCTGCCTAAATGCCCAGGTAAATGTGAAGCTATGTATAAATGTACCACTTTCTTGTACTGCAGTTTATAAAATGTAGCAACCCTACCCAGAGAAGTAACTCCTTTCCTGTATATTCTGAGTGCTCTGTGTCCACCGTCACAGTATGGAAAAGCCTCACCTCTTTGACTGAAGCAACTCTGACAGAGCGAGTTTGTATGTAAAGGTTGTTTGCATTAATAGTGTGTCTCCAAGTTAACAAAGTAATACGAGTGGAATATCAAATCCGCCTCCAATGCACTTGCTCGTATGACACATGCTCCCAAAATAAGATATTAAAAACCAAGTCCATTTTCTGCTGTAAATCAATCGCCAACTGTTTTCATTAACTACATTTTGAAATATATGGAATATCCTGATAACATTATGTATGAATTTCTAAAGGCATCACATAGATCATCACTTTGCTATATTTGACGCACACTGTACAGGTGATACATGGGCAGCACAAAAAAGAGTGGTAGTGAATAAACAACACTGGTTTCTTTTTCTACGTGCAAAACAGAAATATCCCTTATTTCACAATCCGCAGCAAATAGTCGGATGAACATAATATCAGCATTTGCTACACAATTGTCACATTTGTTTTTGATAATATATGGATTGCTAGCATATCACTGTGTTGACCATGTTGATACTTTGCAGTTAATGGAGGGCTGTCAAACTGGACATCGTGGTCAATCGTACCCTGCCCTCTCACATGTGGAGTAGATGCCATGACAAATCAGAGCAGACGTAGGGATTGTAACAACCCCGTTCCGGAAGCTGGTGGCAAGAACTGCACAGGTCCACTGATGGAAAGCAGTCAGACACACTGCAATGTCCCTCCATGTAGTGGTATGTGAAGGCCAATTTGTCATTCAGTTTATACTTCTGTAGTGTACATGTACAACTTTCAGTTTAATTATTGGATGACGAAACTTTGCCTTTCTGGTCATATGTCGAACCACAAAGATCAGATGACATCTTAAGAGTTGTATGATCACACCCAATCTTATGCACTCTCATATGGGTGTTGGATATGTGTCTGTTACAACTAGCAGCAGTTAAAATACGCATAACTTCTGGACGTGTAGAGCGACTGTCGTAAAGATACCAGGAGTATTTAAACTAAAGAAAGCAAGAGTATGACAAACCTTAAGAAAAAATTCACATTCCTTATATTGATCATATATGTTATGTTTGTCAGATTAAGCCTTTTGTACTGACTTTCTAATGTTCATTTATCGGTATAGAAATGATAGAAATATTGTCAAGAGAAATATAGAGGCAATGCACGAAACAATGAGACGATTTGTTTATTCCAACCACTAGGCGACGACGGCGTTGGCGAGTGGAGCCAGTGGAGTGCTGCAGTATGCACAACCACCTGTGGTGAAGGCCAAAAGGGAAGCGTGGAAAGAAGCAGAAGTTGTGTTACGCCAGCCAATAATATCAGCTGTACAGCCGCACTAACAGAAACCCAAATTGGAAACTGCGGCCTGCCTAAATGCCCAGGTAAATGTGTAGCTATGTATAAATGTACCACTTTCTTGTACTGCAGTATATAAAATGTAGCAACCCTACCCAGAGAAGTAACTCCTTTCCTGTATATTATGAGTGCTCTATGTCCACCATCACAGTATGGAAAAGCCTCACCTCTTTGACTGAAGCAGCTCTGACAGAGCGAGTTTGTATGTAAAGGTTGTTTGCATTAATAGTGTGTCTCCAAGTTAACAAAGTAATACGAGTGGAATATGAAATCCGCCTCCAATGCACTTGCTCGTATGACACATGTTCCCAAAATAAGATATTAAAAACCAAGTCCATTTTATGCTGTAAATCAATCGCCAACTGTTTTCATTAACTACATTTTGAAATACATGGAATATCCTGATAACATTATGGATTAATTTCTAAAGGCATCAGATAGATCATCACTTTGCTATATTTGAAGCACACTGTACAGGTGAGACATGGGCAGCACCAAAACGAATGGTAGCGAATAAACAACACTGGTTTCTTTTTGTACGTGCAAAACAGAAACATCCCTTATTTCACAATCCGCAGCAAATAGTCAGATGAACATAATATCAGCATTTGCTACACAATTGTCACATTTGTTTTTGTTAATATATGGATATCTAGCATATCACTGTGTTGACCATGTTGATACTTTGCAGTTGATGGAGGGCTGTCAAACTGGACATCGTGGTCAATCGTACCCTGCCCTCTCACATGTGGAGTAGATGCCATGACAAATCAGAGCAGACGTAGGGATTGTAACAACCCCGTTCCGGAAGCCGGTGGCAAGAACTGCACAGGTCCACTGATTGAAAGCAGTCAGACACACTGCAATGTCCCTCCATGTAGTGGTATGTGAAGGCCAATTTGTCATTCAGTTTATACTTCTGTAGTGTACATGTACAACTTTCAGTTTAATTATTGGAGGACGAAACTTTGCCTTTCTGGTCATATGTCGAACCACAAAGATCAGATGACATCTTAAGAGTTGTATGATCACACCCAATCTTATGCACTCTCATATGGGTGTTGGATATGTGTCTGTTACAACGAGCAGCAGTTAAAATACGCATAACTTCTGGACGTGTAGAGCGACTGTTGTAAAGATACAAGGAGTATTTAAACTAAAGAAAGCAAGAGTATGACAAACCTTAAGAAGAAATTCACATTCCTTATATTGATCATATATGTTATGTTTGTCAGATTAAGCCTTTTGTACTGACTTTCTAATGTTCATTCATCGGTATAGAAATGATAGAAATATTGTCAAGAGAAATATAGAGGCAATGCACGAAACAATGACACGATTTGTTTATTCCAACCACTAGGCGACGACGGCGTTGGCGAGTGGAGCCAGTGGAGTGCTGCAGTATGCACAGCCACCTGTGGTGAAGGCCAAAAGGGAAGCGTGGAAAGAAGCAGAAGTTGTGTTACGCCAGCCAATAATATCAGCTGTACAGCCGCACTAACAGAAACCCAAATGGGAAACTGCGGCCTGCCTAAATGCCCAGGTAAATGTGAAGCTATGTATAAATGTACCACTTTCTTGTACTGCAGTTTATAAAATGTAGCAACCCTACCCAGAGAAGTAACTCCTTTCCTGTATATTCTGAGTGCTCTGTGTCCACCGTCACAGTATGGAAAAGCCTCACCTCTTTGACTGAAGCAACTCTGACAGAGCGAGTTTGTATGTAAAGGTTGTTTGCATTAATAGTGTGTCTCCAAGTTAACAAAGTAATACGAGTGGAATATCAAATCCGCCTCCAATGCACTTGCTCGTATGACACATGCTCCCAAAATAAGATATTAAAAACCAAGTCCATTTTCTGCTGTAAATCAATCGCCAACTGTTTTCATTAACTACATTTTCAAATATATGGAATATCCTGATAACATTATGTATGAATTTCTAAAGGCATCACATAGATCATCACTTTGCTATATTTGACGCACACTGTACAGGTGAGACATGGGCAGCACAAAAAAGAGTGGTAGTGAATAAACAACACTGGTTTCTTTTTCTACGTGCAAAACAGAAACATCCCTTATTTCACAATCCGCAGCAAATAGTCGGATGAACATAATATCAGCATTTGCTACAAAATTGTCACATTTGTTTTTGATAATATATGGATTGCTAGCATATCACTGTGTTGACCATGTTGATACTTTGCAGTTAATGGAGGGCTGTCAAACTGGACATCGTGGTCAATCGTACCCTGCCCTCTCACATGTGGAGTAGATGCCATGACAAATCAGAGCAGACGTAGGGATTGTAACAACCCCACTCCAGAAGCCGGTGGCAAGAACTGCACAGGTCCACTGATGGAAAGCAGTCAGACACACTGCAATGTCCCTCCATGTAGTGGTATGTGAAGGCCAATTTGTCATTCAGTTTATACTTCTGTGGTGTACATGTACAACTTTCAGTTTAATTATTGGAGGACGAAACTTTGCCTTTCTGGTCATATGTCGAACCACAAAGATCAGATGACATCTTAAGAGTTGTATGATCACACCCAATCTTATGCACTATCATATGGGTGTTGGATATGTGTCTGTTACAACTAGCAGCAGTTAAAATACGCATAACTTCTGGACGTGTAGAGCGACTGTCGTAAAGATACAAGGAGTATTTAAACTAAAGAAAGCAAGAGTATGACAAACCTTAAGAAGAAATTCACATTCCTTATATTGATCATATATATTATGTTTGTCAGATTAAGCCTTTTGTACTGACTTTCTAATGTTCATTCATCGGTATAGAAATGATAGAAATATTGTCAAGAGAAATATAGAGGCAATGCACGAAACAATGACACGATTTGTTTATTCCAACCACTAGGCGACGACGGCGTTGGCGAGTGGAGCCAGTGGAGTGCTGCAGTATGCACAACCACCTGTGGTGAAGGCCAAAAGGGAAGCGTGGAAAGAAGCAGAAGTTGTGTTACGCCAGCCAATAATATCAGCTGTACAGCCGCACTAACAGAAACCCAAATGGGAAACTGCGGCCTGCCTAAATGCCCAGGTAAATGGGTAGCTATGTATAAATGTACCACTTTCTTGTACTGCAGTATATAAAATGTAGCAACCCTACCCAGAGAAGTAACTCATTTCCTGTATATTTTGAGTGCTCTATGTCCACCATCACAGTATGGAAAAGCCTCACCTCTTTGACTTAAGCAGCTCTGACAGAGCGAGTTTGTATGTAAAAGTTGTTTGCATTAATAGTGTGTCTCCAAGTTAACAAAGTAATACGAGTGGAATATCAAATCCGCCTCCAATGCACTTGCTCGTATGACACATGTTCCCAAAATAAGATATTAAAAACCATGTCTGTTTTATGCTGTAAATCAATCGCCAACTGTTTTCATTAACTAAATTTTGAAATACATGGAATATCCTGATAACATTATGTATCAATTTTCCTAAGGCATCAGATAGATCATCACTTTGCTATATTTGACGCACACTGTACAGGTGAGACATGGGCAGCACCAAAACGAATGGTAGTGAATAAACAACACTGGTTTCTTTTTCTACGTGCAAAACAGAAACATCCCTTATTTCACAATCCGCAGCAAATAGTCGGATGAACATAATATCAGCATTTGCTACACAATTGTCACATTTGTTTTTGATAATATGTGGATTGCTAGCATATCACTGTGTTGACCATGTTGATACTTTGCAGTCGATGGAGGGCTGTCAAACTGGACATCGTGGTCAATCGTACCCTGCCCTCTCACATGTGGAGTAGATGCCATGACAAATCAGAGCAGACGTAGGGATTGTAACAACCCCGCTCCAGAAGCCGGTGGCAAGAACTGCACAGGTCCACTGATGGAAAGCAGTCAGACACACTGCAATGTCCCTCCATGTAGTGGTATGTGAAGGCCAATTTGTCATTCAGTTTATACTTCTGTGGTGTACATGTACAACTTTCAGTTTAATTATTGGAGGACGAAACTTTGCCTTTCTGGTCATATGTCGAACCACAAAGATCAGATGACATCTTAAGAGTTGTATGATCACACCCAATCTTATGCACTCTCATATGGGTGTTGGATATGTGTCTGTTACAACTAGCAGCAGTTAAAATACGCATAACTTCTGGACGTGTAGAGCGACTGTCGTAAAGATACAAGGAGTATTTAAACTAAAGAAAGCAAGAGTATGACAAACCTTAAGAAGAAATTCACATTCCTTATATTGATCATATATGTTATGTTTGTCAGATTAAGCCTTTTGTACTGACTTTCTAATGTTCATTCATCGGTATAGAAATGATAGAAATATTGTCAAGAGAAATATAGAGGCAATGCACGAAACAATGACACGATATGTTTATTCCAACCACTAGGCGACGACGGCGTTGGCGAGTGGAGCCAGTGGAGTGCTGCAGTATGCACAACCACCTGTGGTGAAGGCCAAAAGGGAAGCGTGGAAAGAAGCAGAAGTTGTGTTACGCCAGCCAATAATATCAGCTGTACAGCCGCACTAACAGAAACCCAAATGGGAAACTGCGGCCTGCCTAAATGCCCAGGTAAATGGGTAGCTATGTATAAATGTACCACTTTCTTGTACTGCAGTATATAAAATGTAGCAACCCTACCCAGAGAAGTAACTCATTTCCTGTATATTTTGAGTGCTCTATGTCCACCATCACAGTATGGAAAAGCCTCACCTCTTTGACTTAAGCAGCTCTGACAGAGCGAGTTTGTATGTAAAGGTTGTTTGCATTAATAGTGTGTCTCCAAGTTAACAAAGTAATACGAGTGGAATATCAAATCCGCCTCCAATGCACTTGCTCGTATGACACATGTTCCCAAAATAAGATATTAAAAACCATGTCTATTTTATGCTGTAAATCAATCGCCAACTGTTTTCATTAACTACATTTTGAAATACATGGAATATCCTGATAACATTATGTATCAATTTTTCCTAAGGCATCAGATAGATCATCACTTTGCTATATTTGATGCACACTGTACAGGTGAGACATGGGCAGCACCAAAACGAATGGTAGTGAATAAACAACACTGGTTTCTTTTTGTACGTGCAAAACAGAAACCTCCCTTATTTCACAATCCGCAGCAAATAGTCGGATGAACATAATATCAGCATTTGCTACAAAATTGTCACATTTGTTTTTGATAATATATGGATTGCTAGCATATCACTGTGTTGACCATGTTGATACTTTGCAGTTGATGGAGGGCTGTCAAACTGGACATCGTGGTCAATCGTACCCTGCCCTCTCACATGTGGAGTAGATGCCATGACAAATCAGAGCAGACGTAGGGATTGTAACAACCCCGCTCCAGAAGCCGGTGGCAAGAACTGCACAGGTCCACTGATGGAAAGCAGTCAGACACACTGCAATGTCCCTCCATGTAGTGGTATGTGAAGGCCAATTTGTCATTCAGTTTATACTTCTGTGGTGTACATGTACAACTTTCAGTTTAATTATTGGAGGACGAAACTTTGCCTTTCTGGTCATATGTCGAACCACAAAGATCAGATGACATCTTAAGAGTTGTATGATCACACCCAATCTTATGCACTCTCATATGGGTGTTGGATATGTGTCTGTTACAACTAGCAGCAGTTAAAATACGCATAACTTCTGGACGTGTAGAGCGACTGTCGTAAAGATACAAGGAGTATTTAAACTAAAGAAAGCAAGAGTATGACAAACCTTAAGAAGAAATTCACATTCCTTATATTGATCATATATGTTATGTTTGTCAGATTAAGCCTTTTGTAATGACTTTCTAATGTTCATTCATCGGTATAGAATTGATAGAAATATTGTCAAGAGAATGTGGAGGCAATGCACGAAACAATGACACGATTTGTTTTTATTCCAACCACTAGGCGACGACGGCGTTGGCGAGTGGAGCCAGTGGAGTGCTGCAGTATGCACAACCACCTGTGGTGAAGGCCAAAAGGGAAGCGTGGAAAGAAGCAGAAGTTGTGTTACGCCAGCCAATAATATCAGCTGTACAGCCGCACTAACAGAAACCCAAATGGGAAACTGCGGCCTGCCTAAATGCCCAGGTAAATGTGTAGCTATGTATAAATGTGCCACTTTCATTTACTGCAGTATATAAAATGTAGCAACCCTACCCAGAGAAGTAACTCATTTCCTGTATATTTTGAGTGCTCTATGTCCACCATCACAGTATGGAAAAGCCTCACCTCTTTGACTGAAGCAGCTCTGACAGAGCGAGTTTGTATGTAAAGGTTGTTTGCATTAATAGTGTGTCTCCAAGTTAACAAAGTAATACGAGTGGAATATCAAATCCGCCTCCAATGCACTTGCTCGTATGACACATGTTCCCAAAATAAGATATTAAAAACCATGTCTATTTTATGCTGTAAATCAATCGCCAACTGTTTTCATTAACTACATTTTGAAATACATGGAATATCCTGATAACATTATGGATTAATTTCTAAAGGCATCAGATAGATCATCACTTTGCTATATTTGACACACACTGTACAGGTGAGACATGGGCAGCACCAAAACGAATGGTAGTGAATAAACAACACTGGTTTCTTTTTGTACGTGCAAAACAGAAACCTCCCTTATTTCACAATCCGCAGCAAATAGTCGGATGAACATAATATCAGCATTTGCTACACAATTGTCACATTTGTTTTTGATAATATATGGATTGCTAGCATATCAGTGTGTTGACCATGTTGATACTTTGCAGTTGATGGAGGGCTGTCAAACTGGACATCGTGGTCAATCGTACCCTGCCCTCTCACATGTGGAGTAGATGCCATGACAAATCAGAGCAGACGTAGGGATTGTAACAACCCCGCTCCAGAAGCTGGTGGCAAGAACTGCACAGGTCCACTGATGGAAAGCAGTCAGACACACTGCAATGTCCCTCCATGTAGTGGTATGTGAGGGCCAATTTGTCATTCAGTTTATACTTCTGTAGTGTACATGTACAACTTTCAATTTTAATTATTGGAAAACGAAACTTTGCCTTTCTGGTCATATGTCGAACCACAAAGATCAGATGACATCTTAAGAGTTGTATCATGACACACAATCTTATGGACTCTCATATGGGTGTTGGATATGTGTCTGTTACAATTAGCAGCAGTTAAAATACGCATAATTTCTGGACGTGTAGAGCGACTGTCGTAAAGATGCCAGGAGTATTTAAACTAAAGAAAGCAAGAGTATGACAAACCTTAAGAAGAAATTCACATTCCTTATATTGATCATATATATTATGTTTATCATACCAAGTTTTTTGTACTGACTTTCAAATGTTCATCTATCGTTGTAGACATGATAGAAATATTGTCAAGAGAAATATAGAGGCAATGCACGAAACAATGACACGATTTGTTTATTCCAACAACTAGGCGACGACGATGTTGGCGAGTGGAGCCAGTGGAGTGCTGCAGTATGCACAACCACTTGTGGTGACGGCCAAAAGGGAAGCGTGGAAAGAAGCAGAAGTTGTGTTACGCCAGCCAATAATATCAGCTGTACAGCCGCACTAACAGAAACCCAAATGGGAAACTGCGGCCTGCCTAAATGCCCAGGTAAATGTGTAGTTATGTATAAATGTGCCACTTTCTTGTACCTCAGTATATAAAATGTAGCAACCCTACCCAGAGAAGTAACTCATTTCCTGTATATTCTGAGTGCTCTATGTCCACCGTCACAGTATGGAAAAGCCTCACCTCTTTGACTGAAGCAACTCTGACAGAGCGAGTTTGTATGTAAAGGTTGTTTGCATTAATAGTGTGTCTCCAAGTTAACAAAGTAATACGAGTGGAATATCAAATCCGCCTCCAATGCACTTGCTCGTATGACACATGTTCCCAAAATAAGATATTAAAAACCATGTCCATTTTATGCTCTAAATCAATCGGCAACTGTTTTCATGCAACAACATTTTGAAATACATGGAATATCCTGATAACATTATGTATCAATTTCTGAAGGCATCAGATGGATCGTCACTTTGCTATATTTGACGCACACTCTACAGGTGAGACAAGGGCAGCATCAAAACGAATGGCAGTGAATAAACAACACTGGTTTCTTTTTCTACGTGAGAAACATCCCTTATTTCACAATCCACAGGAAATAGTCGGATGAACATAACATCAGCATTTGCTACACAATTGTTACATTTGTTATTGATAATATTTGGATTGCTAGCATATCACTGTGTTGACCATGTTGATACTTTGCAGTCGATGGAGGGCTGTCAAACTGGACATCGTGGTCAATCGTACCCTGCCCTCTCACATGTGGAGTAGATGCCATGACAAATCAGAGCAGACGTAGGGATTGTAACAACCCCGCTCCAGAAGCCGATGGCAAGAACTGCACAGGTCCACTGATGGAAAGCAGTCAGACACACTGCAATGTCCCTCCATGTATTGGTATGTGAAGGCCAATTTGTCATACAGCTTATACTTCTTTAGTGTACATGTACAACTTTCAGTTTAATTATTGGAGGACGGAACTTTGCCTTACTGGTCATATGTCGAACCACAAAGATCAGATGACATCTTAAGAGTTATATGATCACACACAATCTTATTCACTCTCATATAGGTGTTGGATATGTGTCTGTTACAACTAGCAGCAGTTAAAATACGCATAACTTCTGGACGTGTAGAGCGACTGTCGTAAAGATACCAGGAGTATTGAAACTAAAGAAAGCAAGAGTATGACAAACCTTAAGAAGAAATTCACATTCCTTATATTGATCATATATGTTATGTTTGTCAGATTAAGCCTTTTGTACTGACTTTCTAATGTTCATTCATCGGTATAGAAATGATAGAAATATTGTCAAGAGAAATATAGAGGCAATGCACGAAACAATGACACGATTTGTTTATTCCAACCACTAGGCGACGACGGCGTTGGCGAGTGGAGCCAGTGGAGTGCTGCAGTATGCACAGCCACCTGTGGTGAAGGCCAAAAGGGAAGCGTGGAAAGAAGCAGAAGTTGTGTTACGCCAGCCAATAATATCAGCTGTACAGCCGCACTAACAGAAACCCAAATGGGAAACTGCGGCCTGCCTAAATGCCCAGGTAAATGTGAAGCTATGTATAAATGTACCACTTTCTTGTACTGCAGTTTATAAAATGTAGCAACCCTACCCAGAGAAGTAACTCCTTTCCTGTATATTCTGAGTGCTCTGTGTCCACCGTCACAGTATGGAAAAGCCTCACCTCTTTGACTGAAGCAACTCTGACAGAGCGAGTTTGTATGTAAAGGTTGTTTGCATTAATAGTGTGTCTCCAAGTTAACAAAGTAATACGAGTGGAATATCAAATCCGCCTCCAATGCACTTGCTCGTATGACACATGCTCCCAAAATAAGATATTAAAAACCAAGTCCATTTTCTGCTGTAAATCAATCGCCAACTGTTTTCATTAACTACATTTTCAAATATATGGAATATCCTGATAACATTATGTATGAATTTCTAAAGGCATCACATAGATCATCACTTTGCTATATTTGACGCACACTGTACAGGTGATACATGGGCAGCACAAAAAAGAGTGGTAGTGAATAAACAACACTGGTTTCTTTTTCTACGTGCAAAACAGAAACATCCCTTATTTCACAATCCGCAGCAAATAGTCGGATGAACATAATATCAGCATTTGCTACACAATTGTCACATTTGTTTTTGATAATATATGGATTGCTAGCATATCACTGTGTTGACCATGTTGATACTTTGCAGTTAATGGAGGGCTGTCAAACTGGACATCGTGGTCAATCGTACCCTGCCCTCTCACATGTGGAGTAGATGCCATGACAAATCAGAGCAGACGTAGGGATTGTAACAACCCCACTCCAGAAGCCGGTGGCAAGAACTGCACAGGTCCACTGATGGAAAGCAGTCAGACACACTGCAATGTCCCTCCATGTAGTGGTATGTGAAGGCCAATTTGTCATTCAGTTTATACTTCTGTGGTGTACATGTACAACTTTCAGTTTAATTATTGGAGGACGAAACTTTGCCTTTCTGGTCATATGTCGAACCACAAAGATCAGATGACATCTTAAGAGTTGTATGATCACACCCAATCTTATGCACTATCATATGGGTGTTGGATATGTGTCTGTTACAACTAGCAGCAGTTAAAATACGCATAACTTCTGGACGTGTAGAGCGACTGTCGTAAAGATACAAGGAGTATTTAAACTAAAGAAAGCAAGAGTATGACAAACCTTAAGAAGAAATTCACATTCCTTATATTGATCATATATATTATGTTTGTCAGATTAAGCCTTTTGTACTGACTTTCTAATGTTCATTCATCGGTATAGAAATGATAGAAATATTGTCAAGAGAAATATAGAGGCAATGCACGAAACAATGAGACGATTTGTTTATTCCAACCACTAGGCGACGACGGCGTTGGCGAGTGGAGCCAGTGGAGTGCTGCAGTATGCACAACCACCTGTGGTGAAGGCCAAAAGGGAAGCGTGGAAAGAAGCAGAAGTTGTGTTACGCCAGCCAATAATATCAGCTGTACAGCCGCACTAACAGAAACCCAAATGGGAAACTGCGGCCTGCCTAAATGCCCAGGTAAATGGGTAGCTATGTATAAATGTACCACTTTCTTGTACTGCAGTATATAAAATGTAGCAACCCTACCCAGAGAAGTAACTCATTTCCTGTATATTTTGAGTGCTCTATGTCCACCATCACAGTATGGAAAAGCCTCACCTCTTTGACTTAAGCAGCTCTGACAGAGCGAGTTTGTATGTAAAGGTTGTTTGCATTAATAGTGTGTCTCCAAGTTAACAAAGTAATACGAGTGGAATATCAAATCCGCCTCCAATGCACTTGCTCGTATGACACATGTTCCCAAAATAAGATATTAAAAACCATGTCTGTTTTATGCTGTAAATCAATCGCCAACTGTTTTCATTAACTAAATTTTGAAATACATGGAATATCCTGATAACATTATGTATCAATTTTCCTAAGGCATCAGATAGATCATCACTTTGCTATATTTGACGCACACTGTACAGGTGAGACATGGGCAGCACCAAAACGAATGGTAGTGAATAAACAACACTGGTTTCTTTTTCTACGTGCAAAACAGAAACATCCCTTATTTCACAATCCGCAGCAAATAGTCGGATGAACATAATATCAGCATTTGCTACACAATTGTCACATTTGTTTTTGATAATATGTGGATTGCTAGCATATCACTGTGTTGACCATGTTGATACTTTGCAGTCGATGGAGGGCTGTCAAACTGGACATCGTGGTCAATCGTACCCTGCCCTCTCACATGTGGAGTAGATGCCATGACAAATCAGAGCAGACGTAGGGATTGTAACAACCCCACTCCAGAAGCCGGTGGCAAGAACTGCACAGGTCCACTGATGGAAAGCAGTCAGACACACTGCAATGTCCCTCCATGTAGTGGTATGTGAAGGCCAATTTGTCATTCAGTTTATACTTCTGTGGTGTACATGTACAACTTTCAGTTTAATTATTGGAGGACGAAACTTTGCCTTTCTGGTCATATGTCGAACCACAAAGATCAGATGACATCTTAAGAGTTGTATGATCACACCCAATCTTATGCACTCTCATATGGGTGTTGGATATGTGTCTGTTACAACTAGCAGCAGTTAAAATACGCATAACTTCTGGACGTGTAGAGCGACTGTCGTAAAGATACAAGGAGTATTTAAACTAAAGAAAGCAAGAGTATGACAAACCTTAAGAAGAAATTCACATTCCTTATATTGATCATATATGTTATGTTTGTCAGATTAAGCCTTTTGTACTGACTTTCTAATGTTCATTCATCGGTATAGAAATGATAGAAATATTGTCAAGAGAAATATAGAGGCAATGCACGAAACAATGACACGATATGTTTATTCCAACCACTAGGCGACGACGGCGTTGGCGAGTGGAGCCAGTGGAGTGCTGCAGTATGCACAACCACCTGTGGTGAAGGCCAAAAGGGAAGCGTGGAAAGAAGCAGAAGTTGTGTTACGCCAGCCAATAATATCAGCTGTACAGCCGCACTAACAGAAACCCAAATGGGAAACTGCGGCCTGCCTAAATGCCCAGGTAAATGGGTAGCTATGTATAAATGTACCACTTTCTTGTACTGCAGTATATAAAATGTAGCAACCCTACCCAGAGAAGTAACTCATTTCCTGTATATTTTGAGTGCTCTATGTCCACCATCACAGTATGGAAAAGCCTCACCTCTTTGACTTAAGCAGCTCTGACAGAGCGAGTTTGTATGTAAAGGTTGTTTGCATTAATAGTGTGTCTCCAAGTTAACAAAGTAATACGAGTGGAATATCAAATCCGCCTCCAATGCACTTGCTCGTATGACACATGTTCCCAAAATAAGATATTAAAAACCATGTCTATTTTATGCTGTAAATCAATCGCCAACTGTTTTCATTAACTACATTTTGAAATACATGGAATATCCTGATAACATTATGTATCAATTTTTCCTAAGGCATCAGATAGATCATCACTTTGCTATATTTGAAGCACACTGTACAGGTGAGACATGGGCAGCACCAAAACGAATGGTAGTGAATAAACAACACTGGTTTCTTTTTGTACGTGCAAAACAGAAACCTCCCTTATTTCACAATCCGCAGCAAATAGTCGGATGAACATAATATCAGCATTTGCTACAAAATTGTCACATTTGTTTTTGATAATATATGGATTGCTAGCATATCACTGTGTTGACCATGTTGATACTTTGCAGTTGATGGAGGGCTGTCAAACTGGACATCGTGGTCAATCGTACCCTGCCCTCTCACATGTGGAGTAGATGCCATGACAAATCAGAGCAGACGTAGGGATTGTAACAACCCCGCTCCAGAAGCCGGTGGCAAGAACTGCACAGGTCCACTGATGGAAAGCAGTCAGACACACTGCAATGTCCCTCCATGTAGTGGTATGTGAAGGCCAATTTGTCATTCAGTTTATACTTCTGTGGTGTACATGTACAACTTTCAGTTTAATTATTGGAGGACGAAACTTTGCCTTTCTGGTCATATGTCGAACCACAAAGATCAGATGACATCTTAAGAGTTGTATGATCACACCCAATCTTATGCACTCTCATATGGGTGTTGGATATGTGTCTGTTACAACTAGCAGCAGTTAAAATACGCATAACTTCTGGACGTGTAGAGCGACTGTCGTAAAGATACAAGGAGTATTTAAACTAAAGAAAGCAAGAGTATGACAAACCTTAAGAAGAAATTCACATTCCTTATATTGATCATATATGTTATGTTTGTCAGATTAAGCCTTTTGTAATGACTTTCTAATGTTCATTCATCGGTATAGAATTGATAGAAATATTGTCAAGAGAATGTGGAGGCAATGCACGAAACAATGACACGATTTGTTTTTATTCCAACCACTAGGCGACGACGGCGTTGGCGAGTGGAGCCAGTGGAGTGCTGCAGTATGCACAACCACCTGTGGTGAAGGCCAAAAGGGAAGCGTGGAAAGAAGCAGAAGTTGTGTTACGCCAGCCAATAATATCAGCTGTACAGCCGCACTAACAGAAACCCAAATGGGAAACTGCGGCCTGCCTAAATGCCCAGGTAAATGTGTAGCTATGTATAAATGTGCCACTTTCATTTACTGCAGTATATAAAATGTAGCAACCCTACCCAGAGAAGTAACTCATTTCCTGTATATTTTGAGTGCTCTATGTCCACCATCACAGTATGGAAAAGCCTCACCTCTTTGACTGAAGCAGCTCTGACAGAGCGAGTTTGTATGTAAAGGTTGTTTGCATTAATAGTGTGTCTCCAAGTTAACAAAGTAATACGAGTGGAATATCAAATCCGCCTCCAATGCACTTGCTCGTATGACACATGTTCCCAAAATAAGATATTAAAAACCATGTCTATTTTATGCTGTAAATCAATCGCCAACTGTTTTCATTAACTACATTTTGAAATACATGGAATATCCTGATAACATTATGGATTAATTTCTAAAGGCATCAGATAGATCATCACTTTGCTATATTTGACACACACTGTACAGGTGAGACATGGGCAGCACCAAAACGAATGGTAGTGAATAAACAACACTGGTTTCTTTTTCTACGTGAGAAACATCCCTTATTTCACAATCCACAGGAAATAGTCGGATGAACATAACATCAGCATTTGCTACACAATTGTTACATTTGTTATTGATAATATTTGGATTGCTAGCATATCACTGTGTTGACCATGTTGATACTTTGCAGTCGATGGAGGGCTGTCAAACTGGACATCGTGGTCAATCGTACCCTGCCCTCTCACATGTGGAGTAGATGCCATGACAAATCAGAGCAGACGTAGGGATTGTAACAACCCCGCTCCAGAAGCCGATGGCAAGAACTGCACAGGTCCACTGATGGAAAGCAGTCAGACACACTGCAATGTCCCTCCATGTATTGGTATGTGAAGGCCAATTTGTCATACAGCTTATACTTCTTTAGTGTACATGTACAACTTTCAGTTTAATTATTGGAGGACGGAACTTTGCCTTACTGGTCATATGTCGAACCACAAAGATCAGATGACATCTTAAGAGTTATATGATCACACACAATCTTATTCACTCTCATATAGGTGTTGGATATGTGTCTGTTACAACTAGCAGCAGTTAAAATACGCATAACTTCTGGACGTGTAGAGCGACTGTCGTAAAGATACCAGTAGTATTGAAACTAAAGAAAGCAAGAGTATGACAAACCTTAAGAAGAAATTCACATTCCCTATATTGATCATATATATTATGTTTGACAGACCAAGTCTTTTGTACTGACTTTCTAATGTTCATTCATCGGTATAGAAATGATAGAAATATTGTCAAGAGAAATATAGAGGCAATGCACGAAACAATGACACGATTTGTTTATTCCAACCACTAGGCGACGACGATGTTGGCGAGTGGAGCCAGTGGAGTGCTGCAGTATGCACAGCCACCTGTGGTGAAGGCCAGGAGGGTAGTATGGAAAAAAGCAGAAGTTGCGTTATGCCAGCCAATAATATCAGCTGTACAGCCGCACTAACAGAAACCCAAATGGGAAATTGCGGCCTGCCTAAATGCCCAGGTAAATGTGCAGCAATGTATAACTGTAACACTTTCATTTACTGCAGTATATAAAATGTAGCAACCCTACCCTGAGAAGTAACTCTTTTCATGTACATTCTGAGTGCTATATTTCCACAATCAGACTACAGAAAAGCCTCACCTCTTTGACTGAAGCAGCGTTGACAGAGAAAATTTGTATGTAAATGTTGTTTGCATCAATAGTGTGTCTCGAAGTTAAGAAAGGAGAGAGTACGAGTGGAATATCAAATCCGTCTCCAATTCAGTTGCGCGTATGACACATGTTTCCAAAATAAGATATTTAAAACCATGTCCATTTTGTGCCGTTACTCAATCGCCACATTTTGAAATACATGGAATATCCTGATAACGTTATGTATCAATTTCTAAAGGTATGAGAGAAATCGTCACTTTGCTATATTTGACGGACACTGTACATCTGAGACATGGGCAGAACCAAAACGAATCGTAGTGAATAGACAACACTGGTTTCTTTTTGTACATGCAAAACAGAAACATTCCTGATTTCACAATCCGGAGCAAATAGTCGAATGAACATAACATCAGCATTTGCTACACAATTGTCACATTTGTTATTGATAATATATGGATTGCTAGCATATCATTGTGTTGAACATTTTGATACTTTGCAGTTGATGGAGGGCTGTCAAACTGGACATCGTGGTCAATCGTACCCTGCCCTGTCACATGTGGAGTAGATGCCATGACAAATCAGAGCAGACGTAGGGATTGTAACAACCCTGTTCCAAAGGAAGGGGGCCAGAACTGTGTAGGCGCATTGACGGAAGGCAGTCGGACATTCTGCAATGTCCCTCCATGTATTGGTATGTCATTTGTATATGGGAATGCGATGATAATTTTAGTCGGATCAGTGGTTGAAAAAATAGTGTGGAGTTGGCCACAATTGGAACCACAAAGATGAAATATCAAATAAACAACTTTATCGGTTCGTTAAATGTTATGTATTGTATTAGCCGCCTTGCAATCTAGTGAATGTGAAATCCTTGTTTATATTTGAGGCAATTAGAATACAAATGATAACGTGACTTTAGATAGCTGTTCGTACATATATCACGAGTATATAATCAAAAGTAATCAGGAGCATGACCATGAAGATGTTGCTATGAGTTATTTTGCAAATGCCATACTGAAATCATATATATTTCTGCCAGAGCAACATTTGGGGATACTTTCAATGTTCGTCCTGCTTGCAAACATGCTATGGAGGTCGTCCGTAGAGTTACAAAATCATTGCACCAAAGAATGAAATGATTTCCTTTTTTCAACCTCTAGGCGACGACGATGTTAGCCAATGGACCAAGTGGAGTGCTGCAGAATGTACAGCCACCTGTGGTTTAGGCCTAAAAGGAAATATGGAAAGGACTAGAACTTGTATTGCACCTTCCAATAATATCAGCTGTGTTGCCACTCTCATAGAAAGGCAAATGGGTAACTGCCATCTTCCTAAATGCCCAGGTAAATGTGTTACCATTTGTAAACTGAACGACTTTCATGTTGAGATATTGTTCATGTGTGTAGCAACCCTATTCAGAGAAATAGATCATTGGAAACATATTCTTAGCGTTATATTTATACCACAAGAGCATAGAAAGGCAAATGGGTAACTGCTGTCTTCCTAAATGCCCAGGTAAATGTGTCACCATTTGTAAACTGAACGACGTTCATGTTGAGATATTGTTCATGTGTGTGTCAACCCTATCCAGATAAATAGATCATTGGAAACATATTCTAAGCATTATGTATAAACCACAAGAGCATATAAATAACAGCCCTTTGACTGAAGCAGCATTTTCAGAATGAGTCTACATGTACATGTTTATTTGAAATTATTAAATTGTTTCTAATTAAGCAAAAACGTAAATACATTTGAAATATGTAATCTATTACCTGTTAGTGTGTTCGTATGAAACAGGTTTTCTGGATAAGATATGGCAAAGGAAAGGTTCCTATTGTGTTCCCAATCAATGAGCAACCGCCTCTGTGGTCTAGAGGTAGAGCGTCCGCCCGGAGAGCGGAAGGTCCGGGGTTCGCTCCCCGGCCGCGTCATACCAAAAGACGTTTAAGGATGGTACTTGATGGTACTATATGTTACCCTGTAACTGCGCTCGGCATTGAGGGGCAAAAATAAGGACAGGTCGGCTCGGAGTCAGTATACTCTGTCTGAGTGAGGTATTCATGTTACACTGCGGCATGGTATCTCAGTTTGCTTGCGCTTTATATCGGCATCAGTCAGGACCAGTACAAGCAGCCACACACATGTGCATGCACGTCGCTATGTAAGTGCAATAATCTTGGACGCCCAATTTAACCTCACCCCAATCAATCAGAAGCCTTTTTGAAACTTCGCAGTTGATGGAGGGATGTCAAACTGGACATCGTGGGCAATTGTACCATGCTCATTCACATGTGGAGTAGATGCCATGACAAATCAGAGCAGACGTAGGGATTGCAACAACCCTGTTCCAAAGGAAGGAGGCCAGAACTGTGTAGGCGCATTGACGGAAAGCAGTCAGACATTCTGCAATGTCCCTCCATGTCTTGGTATGTCAATTTGAGTCATACTTATTTCTGTAGTGGATATGGCAATGCGATGATAAATGTAGACGGATCATTGGTTGCAACAATAGTGTAGTGTTGGTCTCAATTGGATCCACAAAGAAAATGTATCAAATAAACAGCTGTATCGGCTCACTAAATATATATATATATATATATATATATATATATATATATATATATATATATTGTGGACGTATTTCTAATGTGTTTTACAACGTCGCAGGCGATGACAACGTCACACAATGGTCAGATTGGAGTGACACGTCCTGTCAAGCTACGTGTGGTCAAGAAAGAGAAGATATTGTGGAGAGAAAAAGAACTTGCATCGATCCTGCAAATGGTATCAATTGTACAGCACTACTCCATGATACCACAAAGAGGTTTTGTGGTCTTCCGAAGTGCCCAGGTAATAATTATGAAAAGCTCCTTTCAAGCGTTGCATTACCTACATTAGGTATAATGAATCTCCAATGCAATCAATAGACATATTTTTAAAGTTGCCCTAAAAATAAATATGACCGGATGCCAGGAATTTGTTACGTTTTAATGAAAAACGTTTAACATGTTTCATTATTATCATTATTATTATCAGAATATATATTAGTATCAGAAGTAGTAGCAGCAGAAACAGCAGTTGTAGTAATAGTAGTATTAGAAGTGGTAGTAGTAGCCTTATAAACATAATAGCTGTACATTTGTGTAAGCTAATATAGTTGAACCAGACAAAGTTTGGAATCAGTTAATGCTTAAAAGTTGTGTCATCGTTGATCAATTTGACATAACTTCTGTCTGTACAAAGTGCAAGCATCGTTTTCCAACTGGACGGAGTGGTCAATCGTCCCCTGCCCAAGTACCTGTGGAGCTTCTGCCACGACAACCCGGAGTAGGCAGAGAACATGCATCAATGGTCCTTCCTCAGCACTCAGCGATAGTGGGTGTTCAGGGCCTTTAAACGAAACAGAGACGCTATTTTGCAATATCTCAGCGTGTTCTGGTACGTGGAAGTCATTTTCGTAAACAAAATGACCCAGTGATTCTGAGTGTGTATGCGCAAACTTTAACCTAACTTGAACTTAAAGTCTCCTTTTTCAGAGATCATTGAAGAAGTAAGATGTCACGCTTTGTGTTCGCATAGTTTTTTCAGATTGGAAACGGTGCATGGTTTGTCCCTTGTCAAAATGCGCGATGCTATATAATTGTTACATATAGTTTCACACCTCCTTACTCATTCTTTACTCAAGAGCAGGGCATGCTTACCCTTTTTTCGTGTACACCCGGTGTCATCACCAATGTTGATGTAACCAGGAGAGCAGGGCATGGTACCATTTTCGTTAACATCTTGTATCATCACTTATTTTGATGTAACCATTAGAGTAGCACATGCGTACTTTTTTCGCGAAAACCTGGAGTCATTAATAATTTTCAGTGATCCATTCATATACTTTTCAACACCATTTACCTGTTACCTTTTGTACTTTCTGTTTCGTCGGATACTTGATACAGATGATTCTTCAGCGTTGGCGTCTTGAATTTTGATAGACACATTTCGTTTCTGTGTATGTATGATTTATTCACGTCTGTCTATAGATGATGACGATGTCGGTGCTTGGTCACTGTGGACGGATCCGGAATGTACTGTGTCCTGCGGTCCGGGAACAAAAGCCTTCGTGTCAAGAATCAGGAAATGTACAAGGCCAGCAAATGGTTTTAATTGTACCCAAACTCTTCAAGATACAGAGTTTAGAGACTGTGGTCTTCCTGAATGCCGAGGTAACTTTATAATACATGGAAGTTCAGTACATTTTGTAATTCATTCTTGTAATTATAGAAACGTTTTTGGTCTCTTTAAGAATCATGATCGTGAAGTACTTTGCCATTATCAACAGACAATGGGGTAGCCTTTTTTAAATACTCTCTTGTCCTCTAATTTCAAAAAGACAAAGAGATTGTGTTTGACAATCTGAGGTCGTTTGATTTATTTATTCCATAAAGATGCACTTTATTAAATACAAGTCAAAGAACAATAATTTTCTGTACTATTTGTGTCCATTGGTTTTACTGTTAAGCCTCAAAATCTTGTTTCGTCTGTTGTCAACCTAACATGTCTACGTACACGACAATCTTCCCTGCACTGACATTATTTTGGAACCAACTGTATATGTTAGACTCCCATAACCTCTCTCGGAGTTTGCAATACACTGTTATAAAATTGGCATTTAAGAGTTTTCATGTCCATAGTCAACGGAGGGTTGTCACTCTGGTCATCGTGGACACCGGATCCATGTTCAGTGACCTGTGGGGTATCTGCTTTGACCAGTCAGAGAAGGACGAGGCAATGCAACAACCCTGCGCCAAACCATGGTGGAAATCCGTGCACAGATCCCCTTCTGGAAACTAGTTTCACATTTTGTGATGTCCAAGCATGCGATGGTAAGCAAGCGTAATTCCATTGCAAGTAAAATAATTTAAAACATTTATGAATATGTACTGCACATTATATTGTTCCAAATAAAAGGAAGCAAGCATAAAGTATAGACGATACCAAAGTCGTCATCTGGCAAGGTACAAGAATACTTTTACTGTTTAACAGTAGCAATATCCCTATAAATGATGAGACGAGGTCAGTCATGTGTAATGTTACTCACATAATCACCAAAGATGCGACATAGTACATATTGACATATTGAATGAGTTGGGTCTTGAGCTATTGGCAATATCCCAGCAATATCACCCACGAACACCAGAAATGGGCATCACACATTATATCCATGTTGAGTCTCAAACCCAGGCATTCGGCGGGTGCTACCAGTGGGGCTGAAACATTGCCATGAGGTAGTGATTCATTAGCATCCACCTGCTTATGAAATGTAGGAATCATACAATGAAGACCTTTAGTACAGATTTCTTATCATTAGGAAAAAAATTTCTTATCGCTTGTTATTTAAATATAGTATAACTTGAGCTATTTCGAGAGTACTATAGTACATATTGACATAGTACATATTGACATCAAAATCGAAATCAAAGGAATATCTTAGAAACTTTTGTGCATCGAAATAATCAAAATGACAGCAGTATCTATACCAAGTTTTAACAATCAAGAATATCCTCTTCATGTCGAGGAATATATAATTAGATCCGGCTCTACATTTCCCAACCCCTTAGGTATCTTTGAGCAGATTAATTGTATTCGAATTTTACGGAAAGGCATTTTTTGCTTACAAATTAAGCTGTCCTGGTTTCACCATCAAACGTCTCAATAACGAAAACGTGTCATTTCGATGTTTTATTTATTGATGACATATATCTAATGTGTTTTACAACGCCACAGGCGATGACAACGTAACACAATGGTCAGATTGGAGTGACCAGCCCTGTCAAGCCACGTGTGGTCAAGGAAGAGAGAATCTTTTGGAGAGAAAAAGAACTTGCATCGATCCTGCCAATGGTTTCAATTGCACAGCACAGTTGCAACATACATCAATAAGGGGCTGCGGTCTTCCCGAATGTCCAAGTAGGTTTTGATAAATATCTTTTGAACAAATACGTTTGACTGCGATGACGTTATTGTTAAGGAAAAACACATGATGTGTTTTAAGGCGTCAAAATTACCGACTGCTAATTTGGGTTCTAGTCTGATATTTTTAAAGGAATAGTTTGTTCAGAAAGATGCCCATAAGGATTAGTTGTTGGCAGAGTAGAAAACAGTAAATAGTTGGTCAAATTATTTGTGTTAACGGTGAAAATGAATGAACTGTTTGATGACGCTCAGTAAATAAATGCATAAGAAAATTACAATGTATGGCAGTGGTTACGGCTGGGAATAAAATATACTGTTCTAAAACCTCCTATCCCAAAACCCATCCAAATGAAATAGATCCAACCTCAGGGCGTTAAGCTAGCACGATCTAAAATAACAATGCTAACAATGTGTGTGAGGTCGATCCGTGAATTGAAACAATTTCTTATTCGTAGTTCATGGAGGATTGTCAACGTGGACATCGTGGTTTATGGTTCCCTGTTCAAGAACATGTGGAGTATCGGCCACGACAACTCAGAGTAGAAGGAGGTCGTGCACCAATCCTACTCCAAGATACGGTGGGAGCAATTGTACAGGAAATCTGGAAATAACCAGGACGATATTCTGTGATGTCGAGGCATGTGCTGGTATGTGAATGTTATTTACCTAATTATTCGAACTTAATAGCGGAATATCAGAATGTGGTTGGGATGTTATTGGTCAATACATGTAAACTGTTGCTGTCATGTCACATGCTAAAATACGCTTTAATATCAGAAGCTATGTTTCTATTCATTCGAATCATTTCGCGGAATGATAAAATGCTGCTGTGAGTTTAGAGATAAATAAAGAAGGATTTCGTTTTAATTGAACTTTACGTGAGAAAATTATATTAAATATGAATGTATCTTCAGATTTATCTAAAATGATATTCTGATACACAGGATAAACTAATGGAAACGCATGGACATTCATGAGTTTGATATGTTCTGACCATTACATTTCCTCAATTCGATCAGATATCCTACTTGTTGTTACCCTGTCTGGTGCTCGGCATTTAGGGGCTGAAACATGGACTGGTCGGCCCCCCGGAGTCAGTATACATTATGCTGTGTCTGAAATGGGTATTCATGTTAAGCTCCGGCATGGTATCTCAGTGGGCTAGCACTATAAATCGGCATCAGTCCGGACTAGTACAGGCAGCCACAAAAAACACACAAACGTGCATGCACATCGCTATATAAGTGCAATAATCTTGGACGCGACGTTAAACCCCACCTCACCTATTGTCATTAAGTATGAATATGGTGTTTGTTTAGGCTTTTGGTTTATAATTAAATAAACTACTTTCAAATCTGTAGGCGACGATAACGTAACCCAGTGGTCGACTTGGAGTGGCCCGAACTGTAAAGATACCTGTGGTCCAGTGAAAGTAAGACGAATGGAGAGGATTCGAAATTGCAATGAACCGTCCAACTGCACAGCACCTCTTGTAGATACATCAGAGGAGGAATGTGGCCTTCCTAAATGTCCAGGTAATCGTCCGCATAACGTGGTGAACTATGTTTATTACAGGAGTGAGTGAGTAAGTGAGTGAGTGAGGCTTTACGCTGCTTTCAGCAATATTCCAGCAATATCGCGGCGGGCGGGCGACACAAACAATACTTCACGTATGGTACCCATATGGGAAATCGACCCCGGGCCTTCAGCGTGGTGAGCGAACACTTTAACCGAAGTTACAACATATGTGAACCCTAACGGTGGTCCCTATTCGTTGATCGTTGGTGCGATACCCGGAGTCGCCCTGATTAGTATCAATTGGTTTCTTAGCTCCATACCGTGCGCATGGTTAAATTAAATTGGTGAACAGCTATGACAAGCATTACTTCAGTATTTACACAATCAAGCTGGGTGGATACAGTTCATGTGAATCACTGCCCCAACACCGTTAATAAGTGGAGAGGTGTGTATGTGTTAGTGAGCTAATTTTTATGTTTCTATGTCACTAAGTGGTTCTTATACATCGAATAGGTGTACGTAAAAATATGAGAATCGCAATTAACAGTATTTTAAATATATTTACTGTATTTCATGTTTCACAAAACAGTCCTGCTCTCCCCTCTTTGTGTAACCAGTGTCTCAGGCGCCGCAATTCGCGGTGCCGAATTTCGTCCCTTGCGCACGCCAGAAACCTATGATCGTGTGATCTAATCCCGATTCGCCTTACCTGTGCTCGTGGGTTTTACCAAAGTGATTAACCAGGCCTGCATCACTTCGGGCTTTCCGCCCACATTAAGCTGACACGCCGCGATATAAGTGGAAGTCTGTTCAAAGTGGCCTTAAACCCAACTCACTCCCTCACTCACTCACTCATCCACTATTGTTAAATATTTGCACAACCATGACTAAGGATATATTATGGTCATATATAATGCAGAGTTAATAAACCAACATGATGGTCGTGAACACCGTTGATAAAGTGTGGTTTAATCAGCGTTACAGCGTCAAATCCATCGTAAACCAAAACAAACTTTCAAAAACATTACTGAAGGACAGGTGGAGGAAATTTCCATATTTGATGCATCAGTGCCAAATATTCTGTCTGATTCAATTCCTTTTTTTGACATGTACGTTATGTCTCAGTTTGTTGCGATAAACAACAGGTGCCATCGATGGAGCAGGATACGCTCTTTCAGCGAACACCTGGTGTCATCACTATTTGATTGTGTTTCATTAACACACGATTATGATATAACCTCGGAATCATACAATGGACTCTGCTTTCAGCGGAGAGTTTTCATCCTTATGGGAAAGGCTGTGTCACTTGTATTTACACACTTTGTTTTTTCTACAGTTCATGGAGGTTGGTCAAACTGGACGGCCTGGTCGGTTGTTCCCTGTTCAAGAACATGCGGAAATTCTGCCCAAACAAGTCAAAGTAGACGCAGGACATGCACAAACCCTTCTCCAATGTATGGCGGAGACAATTGTACAGGAACATTATCTGAAACCGAGGAAACTTTCTGTGAGATCCCACCGTGCATCGGTATGTGATTGCAATGTTCAGCATTAACACAACTTAAATTACTCATATTTTGTCGTCAGAATTCGTTATTGCGAGTAAGTGCCTGAGTGTGATTTTTCGCAACGTTTAGCAATATGTCTGCAATATCAAAAAGGGGACTCTATAAATTGGCTTCATGTTTTGTACAAGTTGGTAATAAAACCCAGACCTTCAACATGACCAGGGTTATTGGTTCCAAATAATGCTAATGCAAATAATAAATGTTTTTTTCTATAAACCTTATTACAAAGAATATATTTTAGGAGCTGCCTTGCAATTCTTTTTGGAACATGCACTCACTCACTCAATCCCTCACCCATTCATCCACTCACTCACTCACTTTCATTTACATTGTAGGCGATGACAACGTAACTGAGTGGTCATCGTGGAGCAATATTTCCTGCCCCACCACTTGCGGGCGAGGAACAAGAGGAGTCGTTAGTAGGATCAGAGATTGCGTCGAACCTGCCAGTGGTACAACATGCTCAGCACCACTTGAAGACAAACGTTCTCGGGACTGCAGTTTTACTGAATGTCCAGGTTAGCAACACGTCTCACCGCGGAAATGTTCTTACACCATCGGCCACGATTTTTTAAATATTATTTTCAATGAACTAAGCGAATATTGCGTGAATTACGTGTGTCGACTATAAATCGGCCTCACTGGGTGAAGAAGCTCCCTGCTATTCTATGACTAGCATCAGAGTGGATTTTCATAAGATTTGGTGGTTGTAAGGTGTGATCATGATTTGGCTGATGTTCTGTCATCCTTCCTTAACGGCGTGGATCATAGTCCCCGCAACCAACCACTGTTGTCACTACAGAGGCTTGATACCTTACAGGCATACACGATACAGCTAGCCTGTCACCTTGATTTGGATCTAAATCCAGCGTGGTCAGGTGTTGACGACTTCGATGAAACTGATGAGCACGGGCTGGCGCTGACACATCTAGAAACATAAACTGTGTTAATCTGGGATTTGAACCCACGATTATAGTTTTCTGGCCCACCTAAGAAAACACAGCGGATTAAGACGCCTCCGACGACTGGGCCACCGTGCCCCTTCCCATTTGGGGCTTCTTTTTATCCCAGAATATGCCCGCGTCTCAAATGCATGCTTTCATGTCGAGCAATATTCCAGTAGCTCGAGCTCCAGCTTTGGTGTTTACATTTCGCAACTTTTGAGATAAAGTCGAGCATGCACTTTCTACTAAGATTTTAAAGAGCGTCATACGACTCTTGCATATAAGTTGTTTGATCAAGCTTACAACATTCAAGGCCTAAGTAAAGATTTTCAAAGTGGTTTATGGTAGACATGTATGGGATATTTCAGTGACAAAAATGATGTCAGATGCAATTCCCTATTTTGACTTGTGACTTTCTGGGGGAACAATTGAATGGCCTTTACACGTGTTTGTGACGGGTGCCACCGGTGGGGTAGGATACGCTCACCTGAACACCTGGTATCATTACTATTATTTGATAGTGATTCATAAACACACGGTCATGATATAGTCGGAATTGTACAATCGACTCTGCTGTAAGCAGCGATTTCTATTGGATATAGAAAGGGTTTTGTCGATTTATTTACGCTTCATACAATGAAAACAACATAAATAATTATGTTAACCTTTGTCGATGAGTATTTAATTCATGTAAAGTTTAATCAATTTTATCTAGAATCCTCTCCACGTGTGGAAGTAAGGAATAACAAATGATGTCTGACAGTCACTCTTCTATAAATATTTGACGTAGTTCATTATTAATATACATATGCATCCATGTTTAGTGGACGGAAGACCTGGTCTGTGGTCGGAGTGGATAGACCCTCCCTGTCCTGCCACATGCGGAGCAGTAATAACGAAATATCTGGTGCGGAAACGAAACTGCTCAGACCCAGAACCTGCCTATGGTGGGCGGAACTGTACAGATCCACTCGTGGAGACAAAGATCGGAACATGTGGTGGAGTTGATTGCGAAGAGCCACGTGAGTAACAACGCATCTGGCTGGTCGAGTTTGCTGACAAGATGACTGATCGTATTTTCCTAGTAAATTATACTCTTCCTCAATTGAAACGCACAGGTGATATGATTTGTACAATTTTGAAAAGTAGATATCAATAGTATTGAATTTCACAAATGCTACTGTGCCATTTGATACACTATTTGATAGCTTTTCGCTCAACTTTCCGCGAACTCCTGGCTACATCACTAATTGATAGGGATTCATAAACACATGTTCATGATACAGTCGGAATCGTGAAATCGACTCGACAATCAAGATTTCTTGTGGCCATGGAAATGGTTTTACCCTTTTCAGTTTAAAACGTCGGCTTGCTTCGTCACAAACCGCAAACGAAACGACTTGTAAAATTGAGGAATCCGTTTCAGGATATCTAAAACATTTTGCTCTCTGTTCGCATTTCGGTATGCAAGGAGACGTCACTGTTTTCATCGTCAACTAGTTCCAGTTATTCGCCTTCAGAGGGACATATTCCAGAGCAAGATATTTCAAGGCTCGTCATGCACGTGTTACAATGGACGTTCTATGAAACATGTACTGCGTTCACATTTGTGAGATGACCTTGTTGGAGTGCATAACCGTCACATCAAACGCTTTACGGGGTGTTGGGGTAGCTCAGCGTTCTCCCGTCACACCGAAGGCCCGAGTTCGATTCCCCACATGGGTACAAGTGTGAAGCCCATTTCTGGTGTCCTCCGCCGTGATATTGGTGGAATATTGCTGAAAACGGCGTAAAACCTCCTTTACTCAATCAAACAGTTTAGCAGCTTGAGGAGGTACTGCTTGATGGATGACCAAGAGTACTACAGTCTCGAATTCAGACACTTATTCAATCCATGTGCTACAGGCGAATGGTGGTCACAACAGATACTGACGGTAGCGCCGTCGTTTCGGGAGTTCAAAGGTGTATTTGTCCGTTAGTTTGGTAAATCGTCACAACTTGCCTTTGCCGTGCTCCGTGTATAAATGATGTTCATACATGTCCGATCTAGTACTTTACTTAAGAATTGACTTTCACTTGCGACGACGTTCATACAATGTTTGGCCCTCACTCTATGATGGTTCATATACCAATGAGTGAGTGAGTGATTATGTTTTTACGCCGCTTTTAGCAATATTCCAGCAATATCACGGCGGGGGACACCAGAAATAGGCTTCACACATTGTACCCACATATTCCAATGAACTCACACAAAGTGAAAGTCAATCCTTAAAATGTTTTATCTCAATTTCTTACCTCATAGATTGCTGTAGACTGTCACTATCAGCATAGACACGGATCAAGTCGATACTACCATAGTTTGGATGTGCATTTCTTCGTTTTGGTCACTAGGATGGGTCGTAGCGAAGATATTCGTGAACGATCGCCCAGTCAAACTCTCTGACGTTTCTTAATAATAAAACGCTGAGTTTGAGATTAAAGGGTCTAAATTATCAGAAAGAACGCTTCTGTACGTATTCGTACTAGGGAAATCCCAGGGGTTTCCCCGGGAATGTGGAAGTAGTCCGTCAGTGTTTACGTCATTTCAAGAAGACGGTCTCGTGAAAAACGTATGAACGTCAAATTGTGTCGTTCATAGACTTATGAACGTCAATTTCGCGGTCAGGTGACCGACCTCTCGTCCAATTGAAGAGCCGTACATCGTGTAAACTTCAAATTAAAAAATAAATTTCATATTAAGCTAAACTTGTCTATGCGTCCTCATCGTACCTGCGTACAGTAACCGAAGTCTAGTGCCCGTACGACGTATTTCACTTGTTGTCTTGTTGTCTGTTTTTTGTACATTGTTATATTGTGCTGACAAAGAAAGGATCATTATCAAGGGGAACCTTGGATTCGAAACCAGTATCATGGGATCCTAGCACGACCAAGGGAGGCAAATAGGGAGAGCAATTTATAGCGCCTTAGTAGACTTGGCCATCCTTGCACCGCTATCTCTGAACGTTTCAGCAAACGCATAGCGGTAAAGCGGAATAAAGATGGTAAATGTGCTGATAGCGGTAGACACTAACCATGAGCGTATGGGGCGGTCGGTTAGCCTAGAGGTTAAAGGCTAAAGCGTTCGCTCGTCACGCCGAAGACCCGGGTTCGATTCCCGACATTGGTACGTGTGAAGCCCATTTCTGGTGTCCCCCGCCGTGATTGTGCTGGAATATTGCTGAAAGCGGCGTAAAACCATACTCTATCACTACCATGCGCGTAACCCTTCATACACATTACATTCTACTGTTGACGGTAGCATTCTATCATCTGTATTTCAGCTATCCCACCAACTCTGAGCTATCTCGCTATCGGCATTAGCAGCACAGTTGGGGCAGGGTTAATCGCCGCTATTGCCGCCATAGTCTCTGCCATCTACTGTCGCAAGAAAGGGTAAGTTCATGTATTTTTAACGCTTGTGCGTCAATGTTAAGTAAGTGAGTCAATGATAAGTAAGTGCGTCAACGAGTTGAAGCCAATGACCAGAGGTATGATGTTGACAAACCAATGATTATATTCAGGGAGAAGTAGGGATTCGAACCTTGTATGTCAATAAACATATATATACAATATAATGATAAACCTTAATAGCTAATACATTATTTTTAGTGATTATTATTGGCTTTTTCGTATGCTGTGACAAAAAAGTCCATTGTCAGCAGTACGAGTTAACAGTTTTAATAAACAAACTTTGTATATAGTTGCGAATCTTAATTATTTGTTTTTTATATTATAGACATGTACGGGTAGGATGTATAGTATTCAACAACATAAACGTCCCTCTTGATGAGTCGTTACAATATGCTAAGGGCCAGGTTAAGATCATGCATGGAGTAATGAAATTTTGTTTCTGGTGGCTGCAATTTTGAAAATAAAGCATTCCGACATCACAGACCCGTGAAGATCCGGGGTAGAATAGGTCTTCAGCAACCCATGCTTGCCGTAAAAGGCGACTATGCTTGTCATAAAAGACGACTAAAGGGATAAGGTGGTCAGGCTCGCTGATTTTGTTGATGCATGTCTTCGTATCCCAATTGCGTGGATCGAATATCATGATATTAATCACTGAATTGTCTGGCCTAGACTTGATTATGTACAGACCGCTGTCATATAGCTGGAATATTGCTGAGCGCGGCGTTAAACAACAAAACAACCAACCAACCAACCCGACATCACAGAATCATTGGTCATTCTGAGACTTTTATAACATCTTTGCTGATATTATATTTGTCTCGAAAATTTAGATCGGGTCCGCATGCTTGCATTTTACTGCACGGCGTACAAACACCAACCTATATTTTCAGAGCGTCAGTGAAAGACCTTCCAACTTCTGAACCGCCTGACAATGAGTCAAGCATTTGGTCGGACACTGATCTCAACACTACATACAGCAGTTTAGTGAGTGTGGACCTTAAACCGTTGGATACAAGGGGTTATGGAGAATACCCCGATGTGTTACAAAACAAGGAAGGACCGTTCTCAGTCCACGACATGTCTGCAATACAGTACTAGGCCGTCTTCAGAACATATACTGACTCTAACATAGGAGACACTGGAGAACACAGTCCAGCTGGCTGGTCTTCATGGTGCCTTATAATATGATGCTAATAAAATGGTATTTTGGTACGATAACGTTACCAGGTCTGTTGTTGTGGAACATGCTGTGTCATGCATTCATTGTATCAATCAGTCATAGCTCAGGATATTCTTTTACCTTGTGCAATGTCACCCGGAGATATACTTTGTGTCGTCAGTTGTATGTATGTTTACTTTAACTAGATAATGTTGATATTGTATGATATAGATGTGTTCATATTAGTTTTGTATGATTACAAAATGATATTGAGAAGCTATGATATTGAATGACCTTTAATTTCATAAATGTTTCTTGGTGTACGGTAAAACTATTTATATTTTTGTTTAACCAATAAATCAGGTATCAGACTCGTTTGGTATACATAAGATACTAGTTTCTATCGCAAATTATTCCAGAACGTTGCTATTGTACTTGAAGTGCGTGGTGTAGGAATAACTTAGTTTGAATTTTAGATGTATCCAATGTGACTCATTAAAGCTTTGGCTTTAATATTGACCTGAAACGTTTCTCATTTCCACGTTATAGCTACATGTCTAATAACAGATTAAACATATTATTGGACAATGTCCATTCAAGTAGTATAGCAAATCAACATGTTGTTGCAAAATGCGTTTAATCAATTTATTTCTGAACATATTATATGTAGGTTTGTGTTATAAATGACATATCTCGCATCTATATGTCATCACTGAGATATCTGCCCTTATTTTCATGAAAGCTTGACACAACTATACCAAACATAGAATTATACATAATATCATAACCGTTGATAATGACTTAAGACTCATGTAAACGGCCGGGGAAAAAGTATACACCCTTGTTTGATTGTGTCTGAAAATGAAGCAAACACGAAAACGGTTATTCAATGGTGATGTATTTGATACGGGTATCATAGTTGTGTTTTGGACGTTGGGTTTGCAATGTTTCAGAGACTGTTTTTAGCCCAGTAACGTTTTGATAACGCATATAATGTGTTGGTCCAATACCAATCTGGAGATTGCGTAACTACACTTTCTTTTGAAGGATGTTTTGTTATATATTTACGTCGTATAGACATATTATGCTAAATAATACATGCATTAATATTACCTTTAATACTACGATTTATTGCAGCCGACTTATGTTTGATAAATGTATTTTGTACGATGAATAAAATGTTGCGCCCATGTCCTTTTTGTTTGAAAGAGCATCTGGAATATATTAATATTACATAGGGAAAATATACGTGAATAATTACGCAACGAGTTGACAACTCGTTTAACTATGCCCGTTTGCGATGAGACGGAACCCAATCGCAAAAATGGCCTCGAGGGGGGCACGAGTCGCTTGTCCCCTTAGTAGTCATGGATGTGGCAACCTCCTCTCGTTCAACAGACTAGGAGGTAAACGTGAAAGTCATAATAACTTACACAATCTATCGTGTATATTATCAACATACGTGACCCACCAGAATAAAAGGGAGCTTTTGACGTGAAAGTAGTTGCGTGTAAATCTCCATGTGTGTCAACTGTACAAAAATATCACTCACTCATCTGATTCATATTTTTCTCTCGTTAGTTCGTAACGTAATAAAACATTATTTCCTAACATTACAGCATACATGTCGACTTTCAATTAATCAGACATTATATGTAAAAATGCAATCATAACATAAACAGTTATAAATTGAAAATTGGACTGTGCAGAAAATGAGTCCCAATATTTGATGCCATGCATATCTGTAATGAATAGGAATTGAAGCTTATAAATAGTTTTTGTATAGTCCTGAGATAATGAAGTTTTAATTAAAATATAACGTCATATGTTATTTTTCTCCCGTAAGGCCCCTTATCTCATGGTTGGTCACATATACAGATGGATGGAAAGAACGAGTTCTACACCTTGTTCCCATATGGGGAAATCGAACCCGGGCCTTCGGCATGGTCCTGTATATTTTCAAATTTTGAAAAACAACTTGCGCTTCCACCAGCTGAAACTGAACCACTGCTGCAGCTGGTATGTGTAACCTCATTCACTCATCAACTGCTCTTGTAGTGTGTTTGTTTGTTGTTTAACGCCGCACACAGCAATACTCTATCCATATGACGGCGGTCTGTAAGTAATCGGGTCTTGACCAGATATACCAGGGATTGCAAAACATCATCAGGCATCGATCTACGCATTTCGGATACAATGACATGCATCAACCAAAGCAAGTCAGCGAGCCTGATCATCCGATCCATTTGGTCGCCTCTGACGACAAGCATGGATTGCTGAAGACAATTCTAATTCTAGTTTTCATGGGTTTTTTTATATTGATTTTTTAAAAACATTGACAGTGCTTAAGTCTGTGTACGAATACCACATCCTGTCAGTACGTAAAAGACTTTTAACATATTGTATTGTTTTACAAATGGTATTATTCAGTTAATCTGGATCTATGATTAACGCGATGGCAAAAGACAAGGTACTTATCGCCGTTTTTTTTAAGGGGGATACACGAAGATTTATTTCCAGAAAAAAAGTTTAAAGTTAAAGATACATTCATAAAATGCAAAGTAAAATTGAGCCCAGAACAGGGATTCCTTAAGATCCGGGGTTAAATAGGTCTTTAGCAACCCATGCTTGTCGTAAGAGGCAACTGACCGCCTCCGTGGTCTATTGGTAGAGCGTCCGCCCGGAGAGCGGAAGGTCCGGGGTTCGATCCCCGGCCGCGTCATACCAAAAGACGATAAAAGATTACTTGTTATGACCCTGTCAGGCGCTCGGCATTAAGGGGCTAAAACAAGGACTGGTCGGCTCGGAGTCAGTATACTGTGTCTGAGTGGGGTATTCATGTTATACTGTGGCATGGTATCTCAGTGAGCTAGCACTATAAATCGGCATCAGTCCGGACTAGTACAAGCAGCCACACAAACACACACACGTACATGCACGTCGTTATATAAGTGCAATAATCTTGGACGCGACGTTAAACCCCATTTCACCTCACCTCACCGTAAAAGGCGACTAACGGGATCGGGTGGTCAGGCTCGCTGACTTGGTTGATGCATGTCATCTTTTCCCAATTGCGTGGATCGATGCTCATGATATCAATCACTGGATTGACTGGTCCAGATTCGATTATTTACAGACGGCCGTCATATAGCTGGAATATTGCTGAGTTCGTCGTTAAACAACAAACGAACAAAAAAGTTTCCTGGAAAACAAACAAATGGGGACACCAAGATGGTCTTAATAGATGTGGGGATTCGAACACTGGTCTTAGACTTGATAAGCCAACGCTTTAATCACTGGGCTAACCAACCTCGCCCAGGGGTTGCCGTGAACACGTGGAAGTAATGCTATGGTAGATTGTTTGGCATCGATTGCGCGTGACGTTTTTAGATGCACCTTTACTGTTCAAAGTTTAACCATAAGCTGCTTCTGTTGTGTGTAATCAGAAGTATGAATGTGTAAACACTTCGTCGTTTAGTATTGATTTGATTTCATACTACCGCGTACATTGTGTCGCTTCTACAATGAATTTTAAGTGATATACGGATTCTATAAGGCATGCATAGGATTGGGGTTGGAGACATAATCTCATCCTGAACATTCAACATTGTGTATCTTATTCGGAAAATAGGTAGGTGCAGTTATTGTTTTTCATTGTACCGAAATATAGATGTCGTAATAAAAAAAGTCTGACTGAAAATGTCGGACAGATGCATTACGCATCCTGGTTGACTGCGCGTCAACGTGCACTTTGAACATTATTCACCGCTCATGTTAACAGAGGGTGGCCCAGTCGTCAAAGGCGCCGCATCCCTTAGGCGTGCTGATGTGTTCGAATCCAGTATTCGTGTGACTATATGTCTATGTCTATAAAAGAAATACTGTTCACAGCCGAGTTAAATCAAACTGACTCCTCTAATAATAAACAGAAATATATGTAATAATCTGCAGGGTATCTGTATAATGGGAAAAAACTGTACTGTTATTTTTAGTTAATGTTGCCTGAATGACTACATGTATCGTGTGTTACTTTCAAATATCTTGTAGGTTTTATTTTCAGTTACATATACATGTTTGTTTGTTTGTTTTTTAACGCCGCACTCAGCAATGTTCCAGCTATATGACGGCGGTTTGTAAATAATCGAGTCTGAACCAGACAATCCAGTGATTGATATCATGATATTCGATCCATGCAATTGGGATACGATGACATGCATCAACCAAGTCAGCGAGCCTGACCACCCGATCCCGTCAGTCGCCCCTTACAACAAGCATAGTCGCCGTTTACCGCAAGCATCGGTTGCTGAAGACCTATTCTACCCCGGATCTTTTCAGGTGGCATATACATGTATATCGCTTGCATCACATATGTACATCAATTTCACGTCCAACACAGAGCCAGTGTCAGCAATGTGATCAATCTGTTATAACATGTTTTTTAATGTTGTAACTCACCAGTTTCCTGCTATATGACGGCGGCCCGTAAACAATAAAGTATTGACGACAAACCAGTGATTGATATTATAAGCAGCCATTCGCTCAATCAACCAAGTCACGCAGTTTGACCATCCAATCCATGAAGTCGTTTCCAAGGACAAGCATAGGTTGCTCTAGACGTTTTCTAATCCTAATCCCTTAAGGATATAACATGTATTAAACATTAATAAAAACACGTTTCAAATTTGTATTTCCAGAAATGGCCAGGAAGTTCGTACGGCGAATGAAACTACTGATGACACAGACAGCCATAGTGACGACAATCGTCTTCACACTACCGGTGTTCTTTGTCCTAGATAACATCCACGACACATCACCCATTGAGGAAATAGTTACTCATAAGTCACTGTCGCGTTTGGAGACCAGTTCATGTCCGCATAAGAACTGTTCGAGAACACCACATGGACTTTACCCTTTATCAGAACAAGACGTTTCTTGCAGCAAAATAATCTTAGGGGACAAACATGAACTTGTAAAAGCTGAATATTTGATGTCAATATCTCTGAAATCGACACTCATGGATGAAATGTATCCTTTGAAGACACAGGCATGTCATGAATATAGGCAAAAAGCAGGCTACATCAATCACACAATGACTAAAGACGAAGAGGATTTCCCTATTGCATTTAGCATGATTGTGTACAAACATATTGAGCAGGTTGAGAGATTACTACGCATGGTATGGCGACCGAACAACGTATACTGTATATCCATTGACGCCAAGACAAGAAAAGAGTTCGTGGAGGCGGTTTTATCTATAGCCAAGTGTTTTGATAATGTTTTTGTTCACCCAGTGCAGGTTGATGTGCAATGGGGGACCTTCTCCGTCCTGGAGCCAGATGTGCACTGCATGGACCTGCTATGGAAGCAGAACAGAAAATGGCGATACTTCATTAATTTGACGGGGCAGGAATTTCCACTGAAAACCAACTACGAACTTGTTCAGATTCTGAAAGCGTACAATGGTGCTAATGATATAAAGGGAACGTTCAGAGAGTGAGTAAATATACCAATCTATATCAGTTGTATATAAATGGGTGTATTTAGTTCATAGATCCGAAGCCCTGAGTTCGAGGTACGCGGCAAGATCCGTCGATAGGGAACATTACCCGGCTTGTATGGGCAAGTCATGATATGAGTGCGCTTGATTGCAACAGTTTATCGTTCGGGGGTTTTAAACAATATTTCTGCGTTTTAAAATACAATATAGAATTCGGCGTCATGCTGAAGTTTCGCTTCACGTTCAAGGCTCTCTTGTATTGTATATCAAATAATACACTGAGATTTTACCAGCTGATCGTTCATATACACCAAATTGCTACATGCTGAACACGAAGCTTCAGTTCTTAAAATTTCGAGCACCTTCGCTCGGACATATAAGACTCATTTGAATGTCAATCGGGAAAATAACGTGTAACAAAGAACTGCACGATTCTTTATCGGTATATACAGTTCTATTGTAAAAAATAATAATGACGATATTGTTCTCGTAAGTACAGTCACGAGTCTTCCAGCATAGCGTGGTCTAGAGCATCTCCCTGGAAAGCGGAAGGTCGGTGGTTCGACCCCCGGTCGCGGCATACTAAAACCAGTAATAGTACCACTCTGCCCGTCGGTCTGCATTTAGGATATAAAACAAGGGCTGGTCGGTGTGTCGGTAAACAAGGTTGGTTGGTTGGTTGGTTTGTTGTTTAACGCCGCACACAGCAATATTCCTGCTTTATGACGGCGGTCCGTAAATAATCGAGTCTGGACCAGACAATCCAGTGATTAATATCATGAGCATCGATCCACGCAATTGGGATCGATGACCTGTATCAACCAAGTCAGCGGGCCTGACCACCCAATCCCGTCAGTTGCCTTTTACGAAGGGCATAGCGGGAGTGGGGTTTCTATGTTAAAACTGGCGTCTCACGAATATCTGGGGCCAGGGATCAGTGTCAATCTCGAGGCATGAGCAACCAAAACGCACTGTATTATCGGCATATAACTGCACGACACATAACCCAAATGACAAACGTCCACTGGAGGAATGCATTCAGGCAAAACTCATGGTTCGTGAAGGTGAAAATGAGAAGGAGGCGTTCGTAAAATCTCACTTCTCAGTCAGAATCTTGAACATTGTTTGTGTCTGTTGTTTAACGTCGCATTCACCAATATTCAAGCTGTAAGAAGGCGGTTTGTAAACAAGCAAGTCTTGAGGTAATCGTATCTCTTTGCTGTTCCATAGTATTTTCCTAATATATTCCAAATTCGTAACATACCGCACCACCAACCATACCATAATTTACATGAATCGTAATCTTACGAAAACTGCAACACGATTCCTACACACATGCTTTCAAATATGTCTACTTATATCTTCGATCAACTTTCCATTTACTTATCAGGTTGGCTACATCGAAAGGGTGTGAAAGTTTGGCCGCCATCGCTCAGCGCATTGGCGGATAAAAAACTCTTCATCGGTCGTTTCCAACTCGGTCAGTAAATACATGGTTGCACGATCTCAGCTTTATGTTTTTTCTTGTTCGTTTGTACGCCGCCCTCAGCAATGTGCCAGCTATATGACGGAAGTGTGGCCCAGACAAGCCAGTGGTTGACATCATGCAATTGGGATACGATGACATGCATCAACCAAGTCAGTGAGCCTGACAAACCGATACCGTTAGTCGCCTCTTACGACAAGAATAGTCGCCTTTGACGGCAAGCATGGTTGCTGAGTACCTATTCTAACACGGATCTTCCTAAGCTATATGTATTCGTATTTGAAGACAAGTGTCGAATGAAATGAATCAAAATGCATTTGTTGTAGCGATGCAAGCAGAAGTATATAAACTGCGATTAAGATTTGGCTCGGATATATGTGAGTTGATTTGAAATTGGGTTTAACGTCTATTGCACGCGTCTATAATTGCACTTATATAGCGACGTGTGTGCTGGGAGGGGGGGGGGGGGGGGGGGGGGGAGGGGAGGAGGAGGCTGGGGCTGCTTTAACTAGTCCGGACTGATGCCGATTTATAGTGCTAGCTCACTGAGATACCATGTCGCAGTTTAACATGAATACCCCACTCAGACACAGTATACTGACTACGAGCCGACCAGTTCTTGTTTTAGCCCCTTATATTAATGCCGAGCGACAGACAGGTTAACAACAAGCACCATCTTTTAACATCTTTTGGTATGACGCGGTCTCTCCGGGCGGACGCTCTACCACTAGACCACGGAGGCGGTCTAGATCGGATATATCGAAATATTAAGAACATGTTATAGGTCATCCCTTAGCTCTGTGTAGCGACAAGAGAATGTCAAAATCGGGGAGCAACATGATCAACTAACATGCTGTTCAATGAGACAATGAATCAAACTTGATCACACGCACTATAAACCTTGTGTATTGAAGGGCCAATATGGATCGGTGGGCGGGTGCAGGAGTGCCTCCGGCTGGTTTGAAGCCACGGAAAGGCGCTGTCCATATCGCCGCATCCCGTGGCTACGTCGACTACGTCTTACACAACGACACTGCGATGTTGTTGTTGCAGTGGGTGAAGAAGGTCCGGATCCCAGACGAGGCTTTCTTCTCAATGCTCAACTACAATCCACATCTGGAAGTACCGGGATCCTACACAGGTAGGACGCATGTTGTTCGTTTTGTTTTGTTTTGTTTGTTACGCCGAACAATATTCCAGCTACATGCAGGTGAAAGCCTGGACATAATTGAATCTGAACCAGATCATCCAGTGAGTGATCGACCCACGTCGTCGGGGTACGATGACACACAGTTAACCAAGACACCTGGTGAAACTTTTTGCTCACCCAGAAAATGAGTGAATGATGTTCTAGGCCGCAATCATCAAAGGTCCATCAATTTCACGTTGATCTGTATACTAGTATTATCGCGTCTAGGGCAGGCATACGCCGTCGAGATACGAAGATAATCAGCCACGAAAACTATCATCAAGCTTTTGATCCGTGTTTGGGAACTTGATTATACCTTAATAACAGAAGAGGGACGATTACAATTAAGCCGTTTGGTGTTGTGTATTGACCTGTGGGAATGTTTGACTTTTGTACTTTGGGTGATTCCTTAGTCAGTGAATTGTGTACAGTACACTACGGTTATAACGAACTCAAAGGACTACTAATTGTAGTTCGTTATAACCGTGGTTCGTTATAAGCATATATACAGCATAACTACAGCAAATAGTTGGGACCAAAAAAGTAAGTTCGTTATATCCGTCAGTTCGTTATAAGCGTGTTCGTTATAACCGTAGTTAACTGTATGTAAATCTTGACCGACGATACGTCACAAGGTAATGATGCTGTATTATTACATAATAATAACTTGTACGGCTATGTACTGCGGCCGTTTGAAAATAGAATTCACCGAGTGCGATGAGTTTGATACTGTTAGATTTGCTTGTAGATATACTCTACGTTATGGAAACTTAATCCATATTTTCATTCCATATATTTTTAGTTAATAATTATATCAGAAAAACTCTTATATTTAAAGAAAATATTGGAACAATATTGAGTGTATTTTACACTGGTATTAACCCACGAACTATTCTTTGAAATTCTCCAGCACTTTTGTTTTCATTCTAACGCTGGTCGACCTGGATGAGTAATAGTCTGTCCAGGAAGACAGGGTCACACCACAGTGAATACGATATGTGATATCAGAGTGAGTGAGTGAGTGAGTGAGTTTGGTTTAAAGCCGATTTTAACAGTATTCCAGTTATATCACGGCGCGTCAGCTTAATGTGGGAGGAAAGCCCGAAGTGATGCAGGTCTCAGACGTTTACCACTTCGGTGAAACCCACGAGCACGGGTATGGTGCTGACAAACCTAGAAACATAATCGGGGCGAACCGGGATTCAAACCCACAATCATAGGTTTCTGGCGTGCCCAAGGGTCGCAACTCTGCACAGCGAATCGCGGCGCCTCAGGCGACTGGGTCACCCGTGCCCCCTGTGATATCAGAAGTGATAACGAAATCTTGTTTAAAGTGTCTTAAACACTAGCACCCTACCACGCAGGTGGTTCTCGACGTTTGAGCTGTGACATGACAAGCAAGTGACGTCGCATTAAACAATATAATTCATGATGGTCTTAGAAGCTGGCCAACCGAGTAATATGGTTTGTTAAAATACGGCAAGTTAGATCCTTTAACGAGTTGTAATAATCTTTATTTCCCAGGTGACGTGGATGACGACAAGCGTATGTTCCTAGGACGTTACAAACTGTGGTACCCTCAAGACACCTGTTCTGGCAGGATTGCCAGGAATATTTGCATAATGGAGGTTCGGGACCTGCCAAATCTTGTCAAGGCCCCGGAGCTGTTCGTCAACAAGTTCTTCTACGATCACCACCCCCTGGCGTACGACTGTCTGGAGAAGTGGTACCACAACAAGGTGGATCTGGAGAAGAGTGGGAATCTGGAGTTTGATGCAACCCTGTATAGAAACAGATGTATTACTCGTGATCACTTTTAGAGTGTGCGTGAATGAGTTTAAATCAACTTTGAACAGTATCTCAGTTGGATCACAGCGTGTAATCCGATCGAACTGGAATTCGGGGCGGTGGGGTAGCCTTATGGTTAAAGCGTTCGAAGTCCGGGGTTCGAATCACCACATGGGTACAATGTGTGAAGCCCATTTCTGGTGTCCAAAGCCGTGATATTGCTGGAATATTGCTAAAAGCGGTGTTAAACCAAAACTCATTCCCTCACTCGAACTGGACTTCAAACCCTCAGGTTTGAGGAGCGCCTAAGGGACTTCTAACAGGTGTCCAAGTTCCCCATGCAGAGTTGCGTCTCTTGGACGTGCCAGAAACCTGCGATTGTGGGTTCGAATCCCATATATATTCTGATTCTTGGTTTGTCAGCGCCATACCCTTTGGTTTTTGCTGGTATGTGTTTTAGATATCAGATCCACTTAAGTTTCAACATCCACGCCATGATTTAACGGAATTATTGTTCAAAGCGGTGTTTAAATTCGAACTCATACACCACACTAACGACTAACGAGTGTACGGCAGAGTGGATGAAAAGTTGTCTTGGACAAAAATAAAAGTCATTTTTGAAGTCTTCACCAGAACATTTTCTCAAGTGATTGTCCTCCCGAAGAACTTGACCGCCTCCGTGGTCTAGTGGTAGAGCGTCCGCCCGGAAAGCGGAAGGTTCGGGGTTCGGTCCCCGGCAGCGTCATACCAAAAGACTGTAAAAGATGGTTTTTGTCTTTACCCTGCATGGTGTTCGGCATTTAGGGGTTAAATCAAGACGAATCGGTACGTACACTGTGTCTGAGTGGGGTATCCATGTTAAACTGCGGCATGGCATTTCAGTGGACTAGCAGTATAAAAGCGTCATTTGTCCGGACTAGTACAAGCAACCACACACACACACACGCGCGCACACGCGCACGCTCATGTGCATGCACGTCGTTATATAAGTGAACGCGAGGTAAAACCCCATTACACCTCTCCGTATTGTTGAGTGTTAAAAAAGACTTCAGTGTAACCTCGTTAATCCGCACTCCATGAGTTAAAAAAGTCCGCAATTCGGTCGACTTTCATTTGGAACGTCAACTTGAATACAGCCATTACAATTCAATATCGACCCGTAAGAGGCTTGTCCGGTTAGAGTCAACTAACCGGATCGGGTGGTCAGACTTGACAGGTGCATGTCATCGAGTCCCAATTGCGCGCATGATGTCAATCACTGGATGTCTTGTCTGGTATATATATATATATATATATATATATATATATATATATATATATATATATATATATATATATATATATGCGGACGATTTGCTACCGTCAGATAGGCTACCGTCCGGTTTAACGAGGTGCACTGTATAATGTATGTCTATTGGTGCAAAGGAAAACACTGCATTATACCACCGAGTAATGTGCTTCTATTATGCCAGGAATTTGGTCTTATTGTCAGGTTGCTTCGACACAAGGTTTCCAAAGCGTGGGATACTTTAAGGGACATTCCCGCGATCTTAAATTCTCTCACTTTCGGTATATTTAGCTCGTTTTTAAGGTCGACATCGCGAGTCTTTCCCTGACAGTATTCCATTCATGGTGCATTTTTTACACGGGTTCTAACCCTCATCGTTTGATTTGAGGACGTCTAACTGTCAACCTCAGCTTCGGCGTCACATGACAGTACGGTGTGAAAAAACTAATAAGTATTTTCAAATATTTGTATACTCATTAAACGCTCAGGTAAGACTTCTGCCCGTATCCCCCCTCAAATACACACATGTATATATATGCTTACATATACAACGTTTGAAGGGGGGATAGTCGCCTTTTACAACAAGCATGGGTTGCTGAAGACCTATTCTACCCCGGGTCTTCACGGGTCATGTTGATTGGGATATTTCGTTGATTATGTCAACAGCATTTCCTTGCAGAGTTTTTTGTGTGTTTTGTTTGTTGTTTAACGCCGCACTAAAAACGCCGTATTGATGAATGAAATGTTGCTTGTTTGAATGTTAAACTTTTATAGAGGGAAAACTAAAAAGTTGCCGCTTCCACATGTATCTGAATGTTCACTGAGTGGAATCGTGCGGTTATGTGGCTCATGTTTAAGGAATCGAGTGTTACTCGGACATTCCCCCTGAGTAATAAGACAAGAATATAAGAATATGTCCCATGATGAACGCTAGAAGCATTCGTAAAATATGATACATATCTCTCGGAATCTATCAGTTTTACCAAGCCGTACCAAGGTGGGAACATGAGAGTGTTTGAGTATTGTTTGACGCCGCCTCGAGCACTATTCAGGCAATATCACGGCGGGGGACACTAGAAATGGGCTTCACACATTGTACGCATGTTTGAAATCGAACCTGGGTCTTCGGCGTGACGAGGAACACTTTAACCGCCAGGCTACCCCACCGCCTCGGGAAGATAAGAATATATGGTTATATCTTGTACCAATATGGGGATGCGAACCAGGCTCCCGCTCACGCTATATGCTTTAGGTCTTAACCCTGTTGACTACCACGGGTAGTATAGGTCTTCAGGAACCCATACTTTGCGCAAGAGGCGACTAACGGGATCAGGTGGTCAGGCTCGCTGATTTGGTTGATGGATGTCATCGTATCCCAATTGCCTGGATCGATGCTCATGATGTCAATCACTGGCTTGTCTCGTCCAGACGCGATTATTTACAGACCGCCGTCATATAGCTGGCATATTGCTGAGTGCGGCGTTAAACAACAAACAAACATATGTCTATACCATGTATTAAAAGCATGTGTTAATTAATTACTGTCAAGTAGAGATGATACCAGGTGTTCGCGAAAAGGTGACCGTATCCTGCTCCAAACGGCGGTACACGTAGCAAACACATGCAAAGGCAAGTCCTGTGCTCACCGAAAAAGACTTATGAATACGTAAATATGGTTCTAAACAAGTCAAAATAGGGAATTGCATCAGACATCAGTTTTGTCACTAGTGCGTGAAATTATGCGTGCAGTAGTTTTGGTGCTCTTTCGTCATAACAGTGCAAGAGTATTGCTTTCAAGCGTAACAACATGCATCTGCTCTTCAAATAACAACAATCACAGTTCACTGGCACACGATGTGCACCTTGTATAGATGCCTGGTGTAGCATTCATTTATCCTTGGAGCTACTGACTTTCATTCCGTGAGGATATAGCGTCAGAGTAGGTCCCCAGTTCCCCACGTCTGTTTGTAATGGGGATCAAGCTTATGCAATATGTTTGGTTGATTATGTTTTAGCGTACCCCGACGTCGTTGGTCGTTACTTGTGCCGTCAGCCACTGCTTTGACGTAAGGAATCACGTATTCACAGATAAGCTTGATAAGCGGAAAACTTTCAGGTAAAACAATATTTACTCATTAACGTCGCCCACATGCAAACGAAAATGAAGACCGTTTTTCTCTAAGTATTTATATCAAATCGTGAATGTCCTTTCAAAAGTCTTGACAAAACAGCCTTCTAAATAAATACCAATGATTGTGAACAAATACGAATGTACAAGCGTCATTCGATATAATTAGGGACTTCTGGATGAATTATTCAGATATGTATAATGAAAACAACATCCTTTGATGGGGGCGAGTGACGTCAATGCAAATATTCTTTGGCCGAGCTTGTAGATTTAATTGGAGCTGAAATGGAACATTGTCAAAAGAAGTGTCTCAGAAAATGATTACAATTAGTTCCTCTTCTATAGTAAACTTATTATCTTTTCTGGTTTTGAAACATCACTGTCTTCATACCTGCATTTTGTAGACGGATTCTAGATTCCTCAGTAACACTAGTCAAACTTTAATTGTTATTCGAATACAAGATAGTCTTGGTCTCCAAGGTGCCTGATCTGAAATACAAGTCGGGATAATTAGAAATACTAATGAATACAACGTCAATATCGAACCAATTTAAAGTAAATGTTGAATTTGTTTGTGTCCCGTGTGTGGTGCAGCGCACAATGCGTGAACTAATCATCCTGAATATGGGCGCGTTGTGGCGTGGCTCCCATTGCTGGTCGTACTAATATGAATGACATATCCAGACTCTGTTACTTGCCTGTCAGCTGTACCGATGACGTGGATTAATTCCCATGCTTTCAGGCTCTGGGTTGCCTGGTCCAGACTTGATCATTTATCGGCTAGTAAAGATGGAGCAATACAGAAGGTTGCGCTAACTACATTGACTTAAAATAATACTGATTTGAGGTTGGGTCCAGAGAATGAATCTCTTTTTTTTAAATTTTCGACTCCGTTTTATAGTGACAGAAATGTGATTGTACATGTAGTGCTATACTGAACAACAAAAGTTCCTGTGACATTGAATAAGATTTAATGCAAAGTTATGTTTTTTACCAAATCTGAAACAATTTCGGTTTGCAACAGATAAAAGACTCCTGTAAGTCTTCAAATGGTTTAATGTGCCATACTGACTTCAGAAAATGCGTGATTTCATAAAATAAAAAAATGAACACGCCAAAATGTCAATTTACAAATCAATAGAATGTGTGTCCACCTCTGATTGCGAAGCAAGCAACACATCTTCGTCTCATGGAATGGACCAGGCGTCGCACAAAGTCATGTGGGATATCTGTCGATATCTGCTTGAGCATATCTCCTCCGCCCCCCGAATCCGTCCATCGCTGTGGCTGAGGTGAAAACGAGACTCGTCAGTGAATAGAACTTGTCCCCACTGCATGGCCGTCCAGCGTAGACGCTGTCTGCACCACTGTAGACGTGCTTGACGGTGGTTTCTTGTCTAAGTGGGACGTCTGGCGGGTCTTCTGGCGACAATCTGCACATCTGAGGCGACGACGTACGGTTTGTGAAGATATTCGTCGAATACAAGGGATGCTTCTTGCAGTCACTGTTGCTGGCTGGAATCGATTTCGTAGGTGTGTTTTTCGAATCCGGTTGTCTTGTCGATTATTGGTTACGCGTGGCCTGTCACTCCCAGGATGGTCTCTGACTGCATTCG